CTCATAGTGAGCGTCTTTTTAAGTAATCTTCAATACAGATGAAAACAAATTGGACGTTACAAGGAAAGTAAGCCAATTAGTATCAAAGTTTAACAGCGTAAGGGAGGGAGGCAGGACATTTCCTTACACTTGACAGAAGGGAAGGAAAGCGAAACGTGATCTAGCAGGGTCCTTATTTTTTAAGAAATTAGATCTTCCTTTTCTAAAAAAAAACTTTAATTTGAGCTTCCTTAATGAGGTAATTTTATTATGGTTTGAATGGATACAAAATCACTATTTCTTTTTATGTTGTACCAACACTCTTGACTTTTCCATTAATATCATGAAAAATTTCCCCTTTTTCCTAAAAACTATTCTAATCATCATTTTCTCATATTTTCCTACATGTTACTTAGGAATAATTCTTTACTACGTATATATTCTCAGATTTCTCTTCTCCAGCAAGATGGTAGATTAAGATTTTTTTTAGGTAAAAATATCTAGAAATGCTTCTATAAAGAAAAAAATGTCCAGAATTCAGAAATTAGGAGGAAACTGAAGGCCAAAATGTCATGGCTGTGAGCTGACGCTGCTGCTTCTCCAGGGAAGGCTTATCAGTCTATGAAGGCAGAATCTTTTTTTTTTAAAACATATTTGGTGAAGGTCTTGAGCCCACGTAGGAAAGGGGATGATCCGACCTTAGATAAAGGCATGGCTTTCCAAGAGCTTAGTTCTCTTTCGAGAGATGAATGTGAAAACACAAAGGTTGTAAGAAAGGTAACTTTTCTTTGCCTGATGTCGGCCTGAAAAAAAGCAGTCTTCCTTGAGAAATGGAAATTCTTGGAATGAGGTTTAGACAAGTTTGAGATCTGGTTTTAAAGCACCTACGAGTTACTAGCTCACTTATTTATTTGGCATCTCTGAAAGAATAAAATTCAATATTACATTGAAAAATATTCTTTTGACACAGGATTGCCTTGGGGAAAGGGGATTGGAGGGAAAGAAAGCCCTGTTAAGGATAAGTTCACAATGAAAGTGGCCTAAAACATAAGAATATGCAAAGGATAGGCAGAAGTCACAGCAAGAGAATCAAGTGTCACCAAAAAATAATAATAATGATAATAATTTTGAAAAAAAGAAAGAAAATCTATAAGTAATTTACTATGTATATGTTTGTAAAGATACAAAAGAAGAAATCCAAATCCTAAGAAAAGAATTACATCCTCTTTATTAGTCAATGCTAGTAATCGATGCTAGCTAGAATATAAAGTAGCAAGTAGGAAATAATCAATGCTGGTTTCAGTGTCAAACAACCTCCAAATCTCAGGGACCTTACACAACAAAAGGTATTTCTTATTCATACTGGTATGTGATTAGGAGTTTATTGGTAAATTTGAATGCAATGACTGAGGATTCCTGGCTTCTTCTATCCTGGGGTGTTGCCATTTTCTGAGGTCTTCTCCTAAGGACTGAGCCATGCATCAAGCAAGAAGATAGTGAGGAAGCATCTCACAGACTGTTTTATGAACCTAAAGGTGGGATACAACATACCTCCCCACATGCTATTCTCTAAAACACCATCACAAGGTATAAAACTGCAAAGGAGTATGGGAAATGTAGGAAATGGAAAACAGAATAGGTGTACATCTTGGTCAATCTCTACCTATCTGTAAAAGTTTGAAACAGTATTAATTAGAAATGATATACATATAAAGACATTCATTCTTTTATTTTATATAGACAGATAGATGACAGAGAGGCACATAGATTGCCTATGTTGTCCATCACTCTTCCTGTTGTTGGAGATGAAGGGAGTGAACAAAAACACCCAACCTTCCTACCAGGGTAGACAGTACAAACTCTGCCTGTGGAAACACACACCAAGCACATAAATAAGGAGTAGTGAGAGAATTGTCAAGTGCTATAGACGTGAATCAATACACCAGCAAGCAGAGAGGCGAGAGTTGCTATCTAAGATAGGTGTTCAGGAAAGTTCTTTCCACCTCCAACCCCAAAAGGTGACATTTGAGGGAGACTTTCACTTTCTTGTTGCTAAGTACAACATTTATTTGTTTATACCTTATCTTGTTTCATCTATTAACATTTAGACCTGTGGCTCAGGCTTTCATTTTTGAAAACATTGCCTTTCTTGACTTCCAAGGCATCACCCTCTATTAAGTTCTCCTACCTCATTGTTTCTTCTGGCTGCTGTAACATAACACCACAAACCTCATGACGTAAAACAATATGAATTTGTTATTTTGCATTTGTAGAAGTCCAACATCAGCCTCACCAAGCTAGTGTCAAGGTGTCAGTAGGCAGCATCCGCTCTGGATGCTCAAAGAAAGGATCTTTCCCAGTTTCTGAACAGGTTCCTCCTTCCTTGGCTGTGGCCTCTTTTCTCCGTCTTCAAACCAGAAATTTTGCATTTCTGTGAATTCTTCCGGAGTCCATCTCCGTCTGACGACTACTGTCTCTTTCTTTCACTTTTGAGGACCCTTGGGAGTACATTGGGACTACCCAGATAATCTAAGGATACTCACCCCATTTCAAGTTACTTAACTTAAAGATATCTATGAAGTGTCTTATGGAAAAAAAGAACATGTATCTACTGGTTCCAAGGATTAGGATATAGATATATTCTTTTTTGGGTGTGGGGGAGGCATTATTTTGTCTACCACACTGACTGCTTTTCACATACTCTCTCTGACTTTTAACAGGGAATACCAGAACATATATATCGCTGTGTTGATAGTTCTAACACGGAGATGTTTTTATATTGATTAGTGAGTAGCCTTAACAATAACCTTACCAGACATTTCTGCCTCCTGCTCTGGGTCCTTACCTACCCTGAGGACCTTACACACCTGACCCACCACTTAAAGTAAAGAATGTATGTCTAGCTTGTAGCTTTGAGGACATGGCCCAGCATGGGGACCAGGGTCCATTAAGATTGGTCAGTGTTCATTCCCTACTAGTTGTTACATGTTTTGAATAGTGTCTGGGAGTGCATCTTCCTTCTGTATAGTAATTTTCTTTGTGACTTCATGTAGTTTTAAGACTTTAAATATCATCCAAATGCTGATGACTGTCAAATTTGCACTTTTTGTTTAAATTTTTTTTTTTCTCTCAAACATTAGAATTCTATAATTTCCTGTTCAACATCTCCATAGATATGTGGTAAACATCTAAACCACAACTCATAAAAAGTGAAATGCAGCTTTGTTTACTATTTCAGTTTTGCCCCATTCCCCACTCTTTGTCTGCCTGGAAATATCATCTCAGTCTACTGTTCTACCTTTAAAATATACACAGCGGAGTATTTCTTGCCTCCTCTACTGTTATCAATTGATCCAAACCACCACTAGCTCTCAACTGTTATTTCAAAGACTTCTACATTGTTTCTCTAGTTTTATGTAGACATCACATCAAAAATGATTACAAAATTGTAGTCATACCATCTTAAACGTTTGCTCAAAACCCTCCTCTGGCTTCCCGTCTTACTCAGAGTAAAAACCAATGCCCTTCCTTTAGATCATCTCTACAATCTTTGCATCTCTTGATATCTCTCAGAAATCACCTCCCTCTACCTTCCCTTCAGCCACAGTGACCTTGTCATTCTTCAGAGAAGCCAGAATGCTTTCTGCATCTGGAATGCGCTTCCTTGCTGTTGTACTTGCTGTTCCTTGTGTCCAGAACATTCTTTCCACAGATATCCACGCAGCTTTATCTTTTCTTTTCTTTCACTATTTAGGTAAATATTTCCCTGTTATGAAGCACTTTCCTTATCCACTGTGTTGAAACTTCTGCAACTTAACTCTTCAGTTTCTTCTTCCTGTTTTGTGTTTCCCCTTACCAGTTCACACTTTCTAACAAACTATGTATTTTACTTACTTATGCTGTTTATTTTGTGTCTCCACCCATTAAGATACGAACTCCATAAGGGTAGATTTTAGTCTGCATTTTTTTGTTTTTTTTTGTTTATCCCAGGATCTAGAGCATGGTTCTAGCCTCATGTATAGTTAAAATGTAAAAAATTAAACAAGTAGCCTAGTTGAGACTTTAAATTGCATAAAAATAAAAAGTCAAGGTTTAGAGATATGAACATGCAATATACTAATAATGAAAGTATAAAACAAGTCCAACTTCTCTGTAGAAAATTAGTCAAAATATATCACAAACTTTAAATATGCATATATTTTGGTAGAGTAACTCTCTTTATTAAAAGCCATTCTAAGGAAATAATTAATAATGGATGTAAATATTTAGCAATAAAATAGCCATTAAAGTATTATTGTTAATAGTGGAAAAATATTTTAAATCAAAACTCTCAAATTTCCAAAGTAGAATCTTAGTTAAATGAAAGACAATATATTCATATAATGAAATATTATGCAATCATTAAATTTATACATAGATAAATACTTATTGACATGGAAACTATTAACAATATACTGATAAGTGGATAAGATCTGTCTATAAAAAGAGTGTGCTGAATGATGTCATCTTTGAAGAAGAGAGGCATTTTTCTGTATATTAGTCTGAGAAAATGGACAGTTGTTTATGTGGTTTATAGAATGGATTGGGTATGCCTTTCTTATTTACCCAATTTGCGTTTTTAAATTTTCTTTTGCAGTAATGATCACATAGAACTGTTATACTGGGAAAAGTCAAAATGACGTTTTTACTGATCTTCAAAAAACTATTAGTATTAAATTTGTAAAGGATTTTCTTTAAATGGGAGTTGTATATAAATATTTTCCCATATGGCATCTTATATGTTTATGATGAATGTCCTGAATGAGTAGGTAGGGACTCATGCACACAATTTATTTAGGAAATAGTCTATTCTGTATATTTCTGTCTTTAGAGCCCATGTGGCCGCAGGTGTGACTGTACTGAAACGTGCATTGAACATGACTGCTGACAGGAGCGTTACATTTATGTCATGCAATCAATCTAACATGTTGTCTCAGAAATTTGAATGAAAACTAACCCGCCTCTCTTCCCTCTGTCTCTAGTCAATTCTATTTTAGTAGTAGTGCACAGAGCTCTGTGGAGCAGAGGAAGGGGAAATTCCCGATCTGGCCAGAATGGAGCGAAGCTGACATAAATGCAGAAAAGTGGGACGCAGGAAAAGGAGTAAAAGAAAAGGACAAAATGGGGAAAAGCCCTGTATTTGTGAGTAAGCTCGAATGTGTCCAACTTCATTTTGCCTTTAACTTTACAGTGGAGTGAGACTTGCTCACCTGTGGGTGTGCACATCCTCCTCCACAGCCTCCATTCAAAGAGAACTTAGTTTCTGTCCTCCGTACTGCCTTGTCTTTCCAAGCCTCAGTTCTGAGCTTCCGTGAATCCCATCTGAGTAAGTGGGAGGAGGGGGATGACCAAAGAGTCATAATGAAATAAAGGGGGAATTGATGGGACAGGGTAGCTGGTGGGTTTTGAACAGCGTTGGGAACCAGGCCTTTGGCGACTGTGGTTTACAAAATGAGAGACCTCTGAAGGCTTGTGAGCTGTTATTTGGAGATTACAGGGAAGATCATAAAGAAAAGACGTTGCAGAATGGCTAGGTTGAATTCTGGAGTCTTTATTTACATAGTACTCTGAAAGAGTACTTAGTAGCATTTACATTTTGTTCACAAAATGCAGAATCATAAGCTGCATGATTCATATCAATAGTTTGTTTACAAAAGCTATTCAATACATATAACTAATTTCTGCCTCTTGGTACTTGAACAACCTCACATTAGCCTGTATGTGGGAATGCATTCTTTGTACCATACCTAGGGTAATTATGGAACTTAGATGCAGAGGGCTTTTGAACTCTATGTGTTTGAATGAAAAAGGTCATATTTTGCATATTTTTAACAGCAATTCAAGACTTATTGAGATCATGTGTTAATTTACACCAGGAAGGTGGTTTCTACAGATCCTCAGTGGAGCACCAGCTCAAACCCTAGTTATTACAACAGTGCCAAGTGGTACCATCTGGGGCACAACCTTGCTCCCCACCCCTAGTTCTGTTCCTCAGCCTCAACATTCATGGAAATATACCTAACACAAAGTGTCATGGAACAATTACCGTTGACTTAAGGCTAGAGAAAAGAGAGTCATTCCAGGATGAGCCCCACATTCACCTTGGTTTTTGTTTGTTTGTTTCTCTCAAAGACTATTTATTTATTTATTTATTTATTTATTTTGGCATATGCCCCTCACGGGAACCAAACCCGGGACGACGTTCCAATGGCTGAGCCAAACCGGCCAGGGCTCAAAGACATTTATTAATTGAAGACATGGTAATTAGATGCCAAGTAGAGAGTGATGTCTTGGGGCTCATATCAGAAGGGAGAGAGGATATTGCCAAGGGCTACCAAAGTAGCCAGAACTTATCCCGAATCCCCGAGGTCACTACAGAGAAGTGATCTGAAAATTTTGTGTATCATTTCACTTTGAGACATTTGCCCAACTCCTAAGCTATGTTTGCGAAGCTTTTGCTGCTGAGAAAATGAGTAAAAAGCAGCAGCTCGAAGGCTAAATAACTGAAAGAAGAATTCCTGGTGCTATTGCGAGATTGGAATTCAGGGCACACCAAGGGGAGGGTCTCCAGCCTTCCGGTTAGGACTCCACCGTGGCCACAGTGTTCTGCATTGAGGAGGGCAAACCAAGTCTATACTAGCCTTACAGAATACTGAGGCCCAGTCTTGACTGGGTCAAGTTCGTCTTGTACTCTGTCTGCTAGAAAAGAATAGCATTCCCCTCTCTGGAGGAAGACATTATCATTTAGAGCCTGTATACATGTTATGTTCAGTACATATCATACAATCAAGTTTACCAGACATGAAGAAAAACAAAATCAAGCAACTGAAAGCCAAGAGGAAAAATCAGGTAATACGAACACAACCACAGGTGACTCTGATTTTTGAGTTGTCAGATAGGAGACTTTAAAATAACTAAATTAATATTTGCAAAGATGAAAACGATGTGAGGAACCCCAGAAGTCTAATACAGCTTCTGGAAACCTCAGTTTGGATGTTGGGGTTGCCTATATCTTCATCCAAATTATTCCAATATCCTAAATGTGTCAATAAATCATATGCTCCAGATACCCTGAGACCCTTTAAAATATAACCCATTTCTCAGGACACATCAGCATTGGGGTAAAACTCTGATTACTCAGAAAATCACAAAACGGTATTTATTTTCGCCAACCCTCATTCACTCGGGTGAAATTTAGTTACCCATTTTTTTTCTGTACAGATAGTTCATATTTCTTGAGCATTTTGTTTGTACTAGCACTTTTCATATTATTTCTTGTAAGGATACACACACACACACACAAAGCCTTATGAGCTGTAAAAATTTTTACATAGTAGCTACCTGAAGTCTCTCATTTACTAGATTGCTAGCATTTGTGAGTACATTCTTAGATATCATTCTTTCTTCAGAGCTCACTAACTGACCTCTACTAGGGGCTCGGAAATTAATGAATCAATTGACTTTGGGGGCATTTATCCGAGGGGAATGGAAACATGTTCACACAAAAACCTGTAACTTGTACACAAACATTCATAGCAGCTTTATTAGTAATAGCCTCAAACTGGAAACAGTCCAGATGTTCTTCAGTGTACGGATGGTAAACAAATATCCATAGTATAAACTATAGCTCAGCAATAAACAAGAACAAACTATTGATACATATAACAACTTGGGTGAAATGAATCTCCAGGGAATTAGGCTGAGAGGGGATAAAAGCCAATTCAAAGGGTTACATATTATATGATTCCATTCATATGACATCAAAATGGCAAAACTATAGAAATAGGGCCCAGGTTAGTGATTGCCAGGTAGTAGAGATTAAGCACTGAATGGGGAGGTTAGGGTAGGTGTGGCTATAAAGGGGCATAGGAGAGATCCTTGTGCTGATGAAACTGTTTTGTATTTTGACTGGGTCAATGTCAATATCCTGGCTGTGTGATACTATAGTATATATAGTTTTGCAAGATGTTACCACTGGGGAAAGAGAAAGCAGGAACTCCCATATTATTTTATACAATGGAATGTGTATGCATAATTATCTAAAAATAACAAGCTTAATCAAAACAATTAATAAATGAAAGTCAAATCAAAGATACCCATTTCATTTATGTATTATCTTGTCAATGATTCTAACAGTTGACAAGTAAATTTGTTCCATGTTTTCTATTCAGGAAAAAAAAAGCCAGTATTTTCAGTGAAGTATAAGTTCGTATCTGGCCCATCTGAAATTGCTTTCCCTCCACACCTAATTCACATCTAAAGCAGCTCATGCTTGCTTGTACTTATTCTTCTTCAATCAAAGTGCTACTAAACAATCAAGGTTTCATTAATTAAATGCCATTGTTAACTTCAGTATTTTCCAAATACTCTATGAACTAGCTCTGAGAACAAACACAGTGCTCTATAATTGCCTACTTATTAAGCTATGTATTTATTAATTGTTGTTAATGTTGAGTTGTTTTTATTTTAATAAAACCATATGGAGATAAAACTCAATATATCTTTATGTAGCATTTTTTTGAAGACCCTGAGGGCAAGATTGAATTACCACCATCACTGAAAATGTATTCCTGGAAACGTCCACAGGACTTTTTAATTAATCAGGTAAGAAGTATTTTTTATTATTAAACAAAATATATATTAACAATGAGATATAATATGCTAATTATGAAAATCTAAATTTACAGTAATTTTTGCCTGTGATATCCAGTAAATAATAATTAATTACATTTTGACATTAAAATTAGAAATATGTTTATCAGTACAGCTGAATATTTCTTATACTGATTTCCAAAAGAATATTGAAATTTTATTTATAGAATATTGAAAGTTTAAAGTTTTCTTTTTCTTCAAATTATAGATTAAAGTGTTGTGAGAAACTATTCCTTAATTTCTGACAGAATCCTTTCTACTTTTTAGCAAGAACTGATATGTCGTGAAGGTCTGTTTACTTTGGTGTGTGTTAGCATTAATTTTCCAGCCCAAGAGATTTGCACTTGGGTCTCTCTACTCCACCTTCATTTCTGGACCCCATGCCCGGCCTCGTGAATCACATTGACTGGGACATCGCCTGAGAAACCTTTATTTCAAACAGCACTGACACACATTAAACTTGAGACCCACTGGTCTATCTTCCTAAGAGCTATGCTTATTTCAGTATATTTGGTGTTTCCAAGGGCTTAATTATCATGAATGCCTATTTTTCCACCTTCCCAGATCTTTTATTATTTTCATATAAAGCACAGCAAGTTCGTAGGCCTAGTTAGTTACTAGTTAGCTAGTCAGATAGTTGGAGTGAAGCTGACTCTTCCATACATTATGGAATCCATATTGGATCTCTGTTTCTACACGAAGCAGTTGTATTCCTAAAAGGTTTTTTGTTTGTTTGTTTTGTTTTGTTTTTGTTTTGTGCCCCTAGCAGGAATGGAACCCAGGACTCTCTGGGCCGCAGGCCAACGCTCCAACTGCTGAACCAAACTGGCCAGGGCAAAGTTTTATTCTTTATAAGCACTGCTACCAATGCAAGAAAATACAATTTCCCACCATATTTTTAAACTACTGTTACTAGTTGAGAAAGTAAAATAATCCTAAATTTAAAAATACTAAAATGAAAAAGTAGAAAGATGCATCTCTTTTGATCAGAGTATTTATAGAATGTCTTCTTGAAAGACATTTTAAATACAAGAATCAAATATTTATGAAGCATGCCTTTATTTTTTTATATTTTTAATCCTCACCCAAGGATATTTTCCATTGATTTTCAAATAGAGTGGGAAGGAGGGAGGGAGAGAAAGAAGGAGAAAGAGAGAGGGAAACATTAATGTAAGAGAGACACATCGATTGGTTGCCTCCTGCATGACCCCCAAACTGCAACTTAGGTACATGTCCTTGACCAGAACTGAACCTGCAACTCTTTGCTCCATGGGCTGACACTCTTAACTGCTGAGCCACACCAGCCGAGGCTGAAGCATGCCTTTACTTACAATGTTAGGTAATGTTGACATAAATAATACCAATCTATGTTGTTAATACGATGCACTTAATATCAATGTATTATTAATAATATTTAAGCTCTGCTCAACTTAAATGCAGAGTTTGCATTCCACGCCAATAAAGGATAGGAATTCCATAAAATGGGAGTGCCATAAATTTGAGTAAGGAGAAAAGTTTTATAGATCATTTTTTTCTTTTTAGCATACCTTAGTTCTGAGAGATACACTTATGCTAAAAACAAATGTATTCATTGTTGTTGATAGGTCCAACATTTATCACAATATTGCTGTCCATCTGCTTCCACTCCCCCTGTGCACTGACTCCTTCTCTTGATCCATTATGTTGGTGTATGAACAAGAACAGCCAGAAATGAAAGTCTAGCTATGTAGGAAAGTTTTAGGATAGTGTTTTTTAAGTTTTAATGTCTAGGTCCACAGTGATAAATAAATTTTACATCGAGGCTCATTAAATATAGACTATATAAAGTTTAGACAAAAATTTTACAAAATAGTACTGACTTTTCTATGTAAGATTTACTCTATTCTAGTCTATTCCATAGACGATAGATAGATGATAGATAGATGATAGATAGATAGATAGATAGATAGATAGATAGATAGATAGATAGATAAATAATAGATAGATAGATGGATATGGCTCGCCCCGTGTGGCTCAGTGGTTGAACATCGACCCATGAACCAAGAGGTCACTGGTTTGATTCCCGGTCAGGGCACATATCCAGGTTGTGGGCCTGATCTCCGGTGGAGGGTGTGCAGGAGCAGCCAGTTGATGTTCTCTCTCATCGATGTTTCTATCTCTCTCTCCCTCTCCCCTTCTCTCTCTCTAAAATGAATAAAGAAAAAAATTTTTTTAAAGATTAGATAGATAGATATACAGACAGACACAGACAGATGGATGGACGGAGAGATGAACAGACAGACAGACAGACAGAAAGACAGATAGAGAGACAGATATATAGATAGACAGATAGGTAGGTAGATAGATGGACCTGACCATTATATGTATGGTCCTGACTCACTAAACTGATTACATGAATTAGTAAATAATTGCAACCCACAATTTAAAAAGCACAGTAGAGCCTAGAAACATGCCCAGAACATTCTAAACAAAAGATGAAGTCAGAGGACATGATTTAAGTCATGGAGAAGCTAAGTTATTAAACAACTTAAAAGCCTGGGTTTGAGATATCAGAGTCAACATGGGCCATTTTTAACCAAGAAGGTTAACAAGCCCTGATCACAGAGTGGATGAGCAGATCTGTTATTTCTAAGAACCCAATATTGGTGGCCCAGGTCCTTAACTGTTGTATTGAACACATCTAAGATGTCTGAAGATTTATCTTGTCCCAGGTATAAACACAGGGGATAGAGATGGTAAAACAGCATTGTAGAAGACTTTGCCTTATTGTCTGTGTCTTTTACAAGCTGTTAGCGCCTCCTTTTCATTTGTCAGCAGGTGTCCATTAAATCTAACCCTTCAAACTTGAGGTATTCAAGACTTTAATGAATTAATTGATTAATTATAATCATTTATAATTAATATTTAGTTAATAAAATTTAATAAACATTGGTACTTGCTGAAAGGTATGGATATTTTAGTTACATCATAATCAGTCAAACCAAAATAAATAAATATATATATAAAATGTAAATATAATATAAAATATAAATATATATAAAACTATGTTTATAAATTCTGAACATAGTCAATTCAGGCCTTTAAGGTAGTTTTAAGAAATTTTTCTTGGACATAACAAATATTTTATTGCGGTTTTAGATGTTAGGTATACAGATGATTAAGAATAATTGATGGGCCCTGGCTGGTTTGGCTCAGCGGTTAGAGCGTCGGCCTGCGGTCCAGAGAGAGCCGGGTTCGGTTCCCGCTAGGGGCATGTACCTCAGTTGCAGTTTGTCCCCGGTCCTGGTTGGGTCATGCGGGAGGCAGCCACTCAATGTGTCCTTTACACGTCGATGTTTCTCTCTCTCTTTTCCTCTTCTCCTTCCCACTCTATGTGAACAAAAATAAAAAAAGGAAAAATGTCCTTGGGTGAGGATAAAAAAAATGAAAAGAATAATTGATGGCCTTAGTTTTCATAAAAATCTTTTACAGCCCAGCCAGAGTGGCTCAGTTGGTTGAGCACCGTCCTGTGCACCGAAAGGTTGCCAGTTAGATTCCTGGTCAGGGCACAACTGAGTTGCAAAGTCTATCCCTGGAGGGGGCACGTACGATAGAAGTTTCTCTCTCACATTGATGTTTCTTTCTCTCTCTCTCTCTTTTTTCCTTCTCTCTAAGCATGTCCTCGGATGAGGATTAAAAATATTTTTTTCAATAATCAAAACCATTTTTTGTTAATTTAGTGTCTTAAATGTATACGCTTGATATGAATTATAATTAATTTTTATTAAATTGATTAGAGTGATATTGGTTAATAATTATATAGGTTTCGAGCATACTTTTCTATGATACATAATCTGTATATTGCATTGTGTACCCACCACCCAAATTGTCATCTCTAACAATTTACTTGGCCCCCTTTTCCCTTTACAGTCTCCCCACAACCTTCCCTCTGATAACCACCATACTGTTGTCTGTGTCTATGAGTTTCAGTTTTATATCCCACAAATGAATGAACTCATATGGTTCTTAGCTTTTTCTGACTGATTTCGCTTAGCAAGGTCCATCCATGTTGTCACAAATGGCAATGTTTTATCATTTCTTGTGACTGAGTAATTGATTTTTAAAAACAGTTACAAGTTTGTTTTTCCTTATTATGTTTATTCCTTACTGGACTAAATATATAAAAGCAACTTAGATGATACTGATTAAATAATGACCATCAAATTAAAATTTAAAACAAAACAGGATTTAAAGTTGGGCAAGAATTTTAAAAGCTGTCACAATTAATAATTATTTATCCAAGATGAAGATTTTTTTTTTTCAGCTACCACAAGTTAACTGAGCATTAGTTTTTACTTGCATGGTTAATTTAAATTTCAAATCACAATTTCAAACTCAGTTTATGCATGCTCAGTTTATCTGCATGTATTATATCTTATAACATTTTATTTGCGTGTTAAAAGATTGCATTTTATAGGCCCTCTATTATTAAATCAATGTCACCTAGACCTGTAACAGAAATAGCGTGCTTACTTTTTACTTCTAATTCTCTGGTTGTGAGAAATGAAATCAGGTTGGGCCTGTGGACGATGCATGAGTTACATTTCCCTTATTTTTCCTAAGGAATAATATCTGCTTTACGATTTTTAATTCCAGGTTCCAGTAGTTGTGAAGAATGAAAGCCTGTTTGACTTGTTTTCAGTAAATGAACATTTGCTCTGCAGTGAGGTGTGTACGAAGTATGAACTAAAGCCTCAGTGCAGAAGGCCTTCCAGGCCTGCGTAAACAATCCCCCTCTCGTGTCTCCCTGCTCACCTTCACGTTTTGGTGTCAGCCAGCACTTAATTCACCAGGCACTAGAAGGGAAAGAGAAGCCCACTGAGGTTAGCAAGCGGAGTGTGGGAAAGAGTTAGCATGGGCACTGCTTGTCCCCTCTCTGCCCAGGGCACTGGCCTCTCAATCTAGGCATTTCTCCTGCAGATCCTCCCGCCTAGCAACTGACTTAAAGTTGCCTCCAAAAGTAGGGTCTGATATTGTTTGATTTGCTAACGTGGGGAAAATCCTGGGGTGCAGTTTGATTGCAACACCTCCTCTAAACACGCCAGATACTCACCACAGCTGTCATACTTCCTGTGGGGGTGCACTTCCCCACCTCCCCACCCTGGCTTTTACAGTTCAGAAGCAGACTTGTTCTGCTTCCCTAAGGTAGTTATTTCAGACACAGGGGATTTTTGATTATTTTCTTTTAAGACCAGCCAGAGGAGTGGAGCATAGCCATCATTGATTCAAACCCTTTGTTTTTCTTATGTTTAATATCTTAACCAATATTAGGACAAAATTATCTCCAAATTTATGAATCCTAAACATATATATGGACTTTAACCTTTTTATTTTTCAAGGGAAGAAAAGTATAAAATAATATATAATATCTTTATATACACAAGAGGATACCTGATTGGCCTTTTTCCACTTAACCAAAATTTAAGAAAGTTCCTAGATAAAGAAAATTGAGAAAAACAGATTTCATGAGGTCAGTCTCAAGTATTTAATCTCCATGCAGACCAGGCAGTAAAACATGAGATGAATATTTCAGAAAAGCCAGCACTATAGAGGGGCAGTGGCCAGTGGCCTTACTTAACACCCACGAGACCCAGAGATTTCGTATGCATTGTTTCTATGACTCACAAAAATGCTGAAAAATAGAGAGTTTTATCTGCATTTAACAGATGAAAAATGAAAATTTAGAGAGGCTGACATGACTTGCCCAAGAACAGAAGGATCTGAAGGAGGATTCAAATCTACTTCAAAGCTCAGCTCCCCTCTGCGCCTTACTGCAGGGTTTTAACACTGCACGTGGGAGTTTTACTTGGAGCATTTCTGCACCTATAGATCAACACGTGAAATATGAGTTCAAAGTATATTAAAGTGGCCCTGGCCGGTTTGGCTCAGTGGTTAGAGTGTCGGCCTGCGGTCCTGAGAGACCCGGGTTCGGTTCCCGCTAAGGGCATGTACCTCGGTTGCAGTTTGTCCCCGGCCCTGGTTGGTTGTGTGGGTGGCAGCCACTCAATGTGTTCCTTTCACATCGATGTTTCTCTCTCTCTCTCTGTTCCACTCTCTCCCTCCCACTCTACCTGAACAAAAAATGGAAAAATGTCCTTGGGTGAGGATAAAAAAAAAAAAAAAAAGTATATTAAAGTGGATGAAATTTTAATTTTTTTATTTCTTTTCCTTGTCTAATTTGTCCTATTGACAAAAAAGAGATATTTTTCCCCCTCAAACTTCTCAATACTTACAGAATAGTAGCTCCCTCATGTATAAAAAGTTGATTCCAAAGTAAATCATGTTTTAGAAGCATTCAGTCTCTCTCTCTCTCTTACAGAATTCAAATTAAGATCTATGTCAAATAAAGGTCATTAGTTGTTTACTCCACAAGATAGCTCTTAGCTAAGAGTCTGTTTAATATTATACTTTTTAGCCTGTAATATGACAATATTTCCTGAAAACAAAAGCAGGATCTATGACTTTATTCTGCAGGTCAGAAATCAAAATGTAGAACACATTATATATATAATTTAATATTATTATTGGAAATAGGTTTTCAGCTGATTTCTCCCCTAAATTACAGTGCCAAAACTGAAAAAATAACTAATTAACACAAATTTTTTTCGCCTCTAGCTGATGAGATGGATTATCAGTGAAATCTATGCAGTGTGGAAGATATTCAATGGGTCTGTTATGAGCAATAATTTTAAAGGGACCACAGGGGAACCTCCTCTTCTCTTCTGGAAGCCCTGGGAACACATATACTCTCTGTGCAAGGCCGTGAAGGGTCACATGCCTTTGTACAACAGCTATGGCAAATATGTTGTGAAGCTTTACTGGATGGTAAGTTTATGTTCATGTGCATTAAAATTCATTTGTCTTTAATATTGAAATAGATGTGCCTTAGAGGCTGACACCTAGGCTAATACAAAATGATGCAGTTTATGCAGGATATGAATCAGGTAGCTACTGGGGTGGAGGGTGTCCTGCAGATGTAATGTGGGATTAATAAGAAAAACAGTTGTTTCTCCTCTGATACCAATTCCCTGTGCTTTTTAAGCTGGTGCTTCCTGGAGCAGGGAGGGCTGTACAGGCAGGTGGGGCCCGGGACTTTCTCCCTCCCTTTCTTCTTTGTGACACGCTGTCAGGGTCATGAGCAAGAGGGAGTACTTGAGCGTGTTGTGCTCCTTCTCTCCTGGATTTTGCTGCTGCTGGGGGACCTGGTCCCATCTGGTGTTTTTTGTTTGTTTGTTTGTTTTTGTCTTAAACGTGAGATTTGTTTTCATGTTAACAAATCTTACACTGACACAAAAGTTTTAACTCTGCCTAAAAGGAAGCAAATGGGAGAGTAAGAAGTACAAATAGAGAATTTAAAACCTGGCAAAGCAGACTCACACTACATTTGCCAATGCTGAGATTATATTAAACACCTTTGGGTTGTTCGTGGTGGGGTGCTCTTTCTAAGGACCGAGAGTCACAGGCAAGACCCAGCTCTATGATTAGCAGAACCCCTTGTTCAAAAATTGTTAGGAATTTCAAGACAGTGATGGCAGTGCTTTAAACCAAAGACGAGGCCCTGCTGAGCACGGGGTGTTGTGTGCAAGGCCAGGTACCCATGAAACCGGTCCTAGTTGTTGAGAACGTTCTGGATTCTCCATCTCAGAACATGACTTTTTTCTTAATGAGCCCAAGCTGTCTATCTTCCTGGGGTGGAGGCACTGACAGACCAGTGCTTAGGGACTAATTGGATCGTTACAGGGGGAAGGCAGAAGGGGAGGGGGTGATCTCAGCCTCCATTTTCCAAAATAGGGTTTGAGGGTCTGTGTTTGATATTCACAGCAAGACAGTAGAAACGGAAAACCAAAATATTACTGGAAGAGAGAATAACTTCTTAATTTTCTTTATCTTCTTTAGTTATCAATTAGGAGGCAGATTTGTATGGCGTGAGAGGAAGGTACAGCATTGAGAAAGTGGATGCCCGTAGACAGGGTTGAGGGGTGATAGAAAGAAGGTAAACCTGGGAAGGGTGAGGAGGTCAGATGCCTGGGCATTTGGTCCCCACTTCTGCACATTCACCTAAACCTGAATCTAGATGGAGTTCGAAATTATTAAGAATTTCAGAAACAGCATCAACAGATCATTAAACCAACCCTCTTAGCTTCAATCTCTCTCTTTCTCTCTCTCTCTCAGCTTCCTGACATCCCTCCTTCTTTTCAAATCCCCTTCCAGGTAGGGGTCAACATTTACTAACACTACATTCCTTTTTGAAAAAAAAAAGTGATTTGTTTCTCTTTAAATATACTGATTCCTCACAAGCCCAAACCTACTTAGATTTAGATTTTTTTTAAAAAGGTGTTTAGCCCAGTTTGGAGAGCTCAAACAGATTCAATCATTCAACGTATGTCCTTAGAGAACACGGTCAGCGCTGGAGAGAAGTGGGCCGGGCTGGTGGCAGTCAGAAAGCCTGACCCGCGCGTGCGGTGGTCCTGTTTCTTCGTCGCTCTCATCTAAGGAGTGTCTGGTGGGGATGCTGCCAGACACTGAGCACTGAGCTACAACTGGCTCCATGTGAGTTATTCTGGCAGGCAGCTTGCTGGCACTGAAGCTCATGGCCATGGCCTCACTCACTGACACCGAGAGAAAGCTTTGCGGGCCCTCAGCTTTTCTGGATCCATTGTTGGGCCACGCGAGGCCTTCAGGGCCACACGTACAACATGGCAAAGGGTCCACATTTCTCAAGATAATAGATAGAAAACATATCCTGGACGAATAGAGGTGAAGATAAAATGTGGTAATTATGTAAAAGAACCGAGCAAAGATCCTGACAAAGAGCAGATTCTCAGCATTATTAGTTCCCTTCCTTCTTTCATTTCTTCTTTCCTCTTCTCTCTCTCCCACCGCTGTCTCCTACTATGTCAGACCGTTTCTCTCCCTGGCCCTCGGTGGAGCCAGGGGGAAGCACATGATTATACAATCGGGTGTTCACTCACCCAGCAGTGGTTCTTGAGCGGGGTGTGCAGTGTTGTTGGCAGGGCTCTGCACAGTTCTCTCTGCAATATGGCCTTGCTGTGGTTCCCGTGACCACACATGCGCAGTTCCTGTCCTGTTTCAATGCTCTGGCATCCAGTCCAGTTGGTAGGGCTCAGTCAAAGCCTATGTGCTTATTAGGTGTAGTAAGGATTCAAGTAAATTCTTCCTGACAAGGTCAACTATATTGTTTTGTTTTTTTCTTTTTTTTTGTTCCTTTTCAGACATAAACAATTTAATTTTTTATTTTTTTCTCTTCCAATTCTAGTTCAGTGTTTAATGTCTATTCTTTGCTTTTCGCTGCAAATATTTAAGAATCATGTTCATTAAAATATGCTTTGTTTCCTTCTGCTGCTTAATTCACTATCATTATGCTGGAGATATGTCTTCTGCCCTATGCTGATTTTTCTTCTCCTCCTCTCCGTTTTCCCCTCCCCCTTCAATTTATCGATGCTGTTTTTAAACCTTTTGTTCTGATTGGACATGGATTTTCCTTCTCTGCTTTGTTATATATACTCCTCTCCCTCTTTCCTGTTGTTTCTAAGAAACATTTACCTTAACTCCTAAGAGGCAAATCTACCTCTCAGACCCTCTTTTAAATGTCTTCATGACATTTAAAGTTCATATTTTCACACCAGTTTTTCCCATAAAAGTATTCCCATTATTTCCAGTTTGGATTCTAAGTAAATAGCATCAGGGTTCTTTGACATCAGCCAGACAAGATGTACTGACTAGCATAAAGAGCAGTGTTATGAAATAGCCGTTCTCTCTCTTTCCCCTGCAGTGATAATACCGCTTCTGGGACATACACAAGTCTCATCAGGTACTTTCCAATGTCAGCATTCTTTTGGCTCCTTGAAAGAAATAAACAAGTTATTGCTTTCCACTTGAAATATTCATTGCTCTTGGCAGCCTCTCTCTGCCTGTCCCAGCTTTCATTTGTCTCTGAATAAACAGAGAAAACACACACATAGGGACCAATAATTTTCCCGTTGCCATCCATTTATTTATATAAAAAATGTATTAGCTTTTGTTTCTGATTAAAATTTGTACTTATTGTAGAATTCAGCATTTCCTTTTTTTGTTGATTTGAAAGAGAGCGAGAAAGAGAAACATCAATTTGTTGTTTTACTTATTTATGCATTTGTTGGTTGAGTCTTCTATGTACCTTGACCAGGGATGGAACCCGCAACTTTGGCATATTGGGACGATGTTCTAACCAACTGAGCTATCCAGCCAGGGCTTGAATTCAGAGTTTCTTGAAACGTGGGAGTGCAGAAAACTTTATATGCTTCTCATGTGCCAACTCAGACCCCTGAGTCGGTCTCTGGGCAGACCCTACAGTCAGCGTTTGAAACAAACTCTCTCCCACTTGGTGCTATTTTTGTTCTTTAAACTATATAAACAAGATATATACCATGACAAATTATTTTTCTAACACTCAATTAGTTTTTTACAAAATGCAAATGTTTTATTCTTAAGATTCTACATGCTTCTAGTAAAACAAATTCAAACACTGTTAAAATATTCAGAGTAGAAAATGAAAGTTCCCTCATTCTGCTTACATAAACAATCAAAGTAAATGACTTATGTGTATTCTCCTAAACTTTTTTCTTATAAACATAATGCAAATTTACTATATATAATTTGTAGTAACAGTAAGATCATGTAGTAGTTATTGTTCTGTAAAGTATTTTTTCCTGACTATGGACATTTTTTGATACCAGTTTATCTACCTTGTACTCTATTGTTTGAATGTAACAATGACTATATATTTTGCTAATTTCATATTGACAGATTTTTGGGTTATGGACCAGTGTTTAACCAATACAAATAATACTAAAATAGCATCTTTGTGTGTATATTTTGCCCATTGACATGACTATTTTTTCTAGGATTTCTACATGTGTAATTAATTTTTTTTTGTCAAAATATATGCAAATTCTTAACTTAAGTATGTTTAGTTGCTCTTTTATTTTAATTTGTGTGTATTTTATATTTGATATTGGGATTTCAGTCTGCCATTTTATTGTTTACTTTGTTGCGTGTGTGTTTTTTTTTGTGTGTTTTTTTTTGGTATTTGTTTCCTTTTTCCTGTCCTCCTGTGCGTTTCTTGAACATTTCATAGGATTCCATTTTGATTTATTGTCTATTAGGAAAGAAAAAAAAAGATATATAGCAACTGAACTAAGCAATATAAGTTTAGGATTATAAGTGTCATGTGAAGAAAACATTTTTATTCTATTGCCCCTATCTACGTGGGGAAAATATACTGTTCCTTGATTCTTCAGTTCAAATGCCACTTTCTTGTGAAGACATTAGCAAAATCAGTTACACTTTCTTTTCTGGTCCTAGAGCACTTCAAACATATTGTATTTTATACTGTTTGCATATATTTCCTAACTCATTAAACTATAAGAATTCAATAGTATAGGCCCTGTGTTGTGTCAGTCTTGGGATTCACAATACTCTTATCACTGCTGAAAATATTTACTGGGCAAAGGAATGAATTTAGAATAAATTTCATACGTAAAACCAAAGTTAAAAATCTTTGGGTTCACAATCATTAATGTTATCATTGTTCCAACTTAATTTTTTTTTTTCTTTATTGATTTTAGAGAGAGAGGAAGGGAGAGGGAGAGAGAGATAGAAACACTGATGAGAGAGAACATCGACTGGCCACCTCCTGCATGCCCCCACTGGGGATTTGGCCCACAACCTGGTCATGTGCCTTAACCTGGAATCAAACTGGTGGCTTCTTGGTGCAGGGGTCAATGCTCATCCACTAAGCCACACTGGCCAGACTGTTCCAAGCTTTTAGTTATGAAGAAATGTACATAAATATTAACCTATAATGATTTTATTAAATAAAATATTAATTAACTTTATGTTAAAAATTAGATCTTTAATTATAAGTGGGAGTGATATTATCATTGGAAGCTTAAGATCACTGAGCTTATCAGGATAAGTAATAGTTACTAAAGTTATCTTTGGAGAATTTTCATTATGACTATATTACATTTATTATGCCAGACTCGTGCATCATTGTATAATATTTTGGTTCTGCTATTTGAAACACTTTAATTTATTGCTCTGTATAGAATGGGGCACCCATAAATGTGTTTACAAGACCTCATAAATAAAGATAGATGCCATCTATCTATGTCCTTAATTTCATTAAATAAAATAATAAATTACAACTCTCAGCCACAGTAGTATTGAAGACCAGTATGTCAGTCTTTGGATGTAAGAAGTTAAAACAAAATTATTAAACAGCCAATAATAATGTCAGCAGTATGCAGGGTGGGGCAAAAGTAGGTTTACAATTGTTTGGAAAATAATACAATAATTAATAAAAATACAAAAATAAACTCTGTCACATACAATTGTAAACCTACTTTTGCCCCACCCTCTATAATAATGCATGAGTGAAAATAATATAAAGCCTTGATGGTATATTTATTTATCCTCATTTTTAGGGTTGCTGGAGAAAGATAACCATTGATGACTTTATGCCTTTTGATGAAGATAACAATCTATTACTTCCAGCTACAACTTGTGAATTTGAACTCTGGCCAATGCTTTTGTCTAAAGCTATCATCAAGCTGGCAAATATTGAGTACGTAGAATGTGGAATTATAAATCACTTGTATAAAAACAAAAAGGCAAACCACAGTATAAACAATCATACCTCATCTATATTTCATAGCTGTATTTATTTAAAAATTAATTTAAGAAGTTTTCTTTCCAAACAGTGTAAATTTTCTTATATAAAAATGAATATGCCAAAGCCAGTGATTTGAAATATTGGGTTAGTCAGCTATCGAAAAAAATCCCCTCTCCCCCCAATAAAAGTACTCAAAAAACGATTCTATATTCAATGCTCTCTATGAATGGAAAGTCAACCGCAGAATATAATGTTTCAGCAAATGGGGAGAAAGAAGTTACTTTGTAGAGGAAAAGATTGGTTCTAAATACTGAATAATATGTGCTGCAATCCAGTTAGAGGTTGAGGTTCTGTATATGCAACAATAATTTGCTAATCTTGAAAAACCTAAACAGTTCTGCAGGACACCAACATGCTCCTCATGGTTTTGATAATATTGGTCCCTTTTAATATATTCATGATGAAAACTATTCCTATTTCTTCAATATTCTTGTGAAATCTGCTTGTGTGTCATATTCCTGCATCACTTGTGCGCCAACACAGATGAGACATTTCTACTCTGTTTATTCTCGGAGATTCCACATGCAGAGACCTGTGGTCATTCCATCTTGGCCCTAGCAATGCAAAAAAAAAGCGTGAGTTGCTTGAGTTGCCAATACACGGCCACTCCGGGGCTTTGCTTGGTGGGAGTGCTCACATCCACTGCACCAGTGTGACTTTGACACCCTCCCCCTCATCCCCCAGTGTGTCATAGCATCTCAGTATTCAATAGAACACCCTCACATGCTTTAACAGATCACATCTGCCATTTGCTCAAAGCTCAGCCCCCTCTCCTATTAATGCAGCAACATCACCCATAAACCAGTTTTGCTTTTCCTGTATTTTCTTTAGCTCAGCTTCCGTTTTTTTCTCCCAAGGCTAGGCAGCAAAACAACCACTCTGACCTTCATCTCCCTTTTCTCTTACCAGTCCTCAGTTTTTTATTGGGGATGAGTTTCACCCAGTTTGCAGCCCTTAATTTCAATGATTTTTTTTTTTAAGAAAAACTTATCCCATTAATGTATTTGTTTTGGGTATACTAAGACATACTGCTGTTTATGTGTGATAGGTTACAAGGATTTACAGGTTTTGTAATCTAGTTTTGATCAAACTAACCCTATAAACAAATAATTTATGGTGATGCTATTAACCTTTCTAAATTACAGACTGCCTCAGGTTTTCTCTTCTGTTGTCCAGAGCAACTGACCTTCTGACCTTGTGAACTGAGAGAGTATACTAGTGTTAATCCATTTATTAAATATTAGCAAATCTTAATTTATGTTTTATTTTCTATATAAAAAATCTAAGTTAGAATATTTTCTTCCTGTAAAATAAATGAGTAAATAAATAAATGAATAACTCATCCCAGATCTTTTTAGGTAGTTGAACACTACAAAGTATTCACACTGGTGACAACTATGTTTGTTTATTTTGAAAGAAAGTAACGTTCCTAATGTTCCTGATTGTCAAACCTCACTTGAAGCTCTGAGAATTGGAATGGAAGGCCAGTGAGGCATTATAGGCATGACATGAATAATTGGAGTGGCATGTTGACTTTCTTAAAGCTATATAGTTCAGTAGAGTTTTATAGCAACTTGAGTAATATAATAATTATTGTTATTTTTAATATATATATATATATCTAGCTTGAGGATAAAAGATCAGACTAAACATAACACATTTCTTAGGTTTTCTAGGGGAACCCTGCATTACATAGTATAATTTATATTTGTCTAGTCGTTATTCTGAGATTTTATTTATTGTCATATGAGTTTTAGCTTTCTCCATATAAAAATTTGTATTTAGTCGTTGTTTCAATATCACCATGAGATATTCAAAGGAGGAAGCATTATTTCTATGAGATTTGTACATTTACTTCCTAAACGTGATTATCCAAAGAAGAATTTAGACTAGACTGAGAATTATCACAATAGATATTTGTTATCTTTGGGATACGTAGACACGTCAGTCCATCAGTCACCACCATTGGCACATGGTCTATGGAAGCTGTGACTCGTGGGCAAAACAGGGATGTGTGTGTTGCTGGTGTAAACAGACTAATCACTACAGAAACAAAACAAAAAAACTAAAATGAGAAGAGTGATATTTGGTCAATCACAGTGTCATTTGATTTTATGCTATGGTAGCAAATCTACTGTTTTGTACAAGATAGGACAGATGTTTCTGGTTTCTCTGAAATTGTCTAATAAATTATCTAATTAAATAATCGAAGGTATCTGATGCACATTTGACCTGCTGTATATGACACTGACCATGCATAGCTTAATAAGCATTTAGAATAATTACTGAAATCAAAAGCACAAATGACACTGTTGTATTTTTTAAAGAACATCATGACACCATATTGAATATATAGAAGATATATTATCCATACATATTTAAAAATATATCACATGTATGAATATTTTTATTTATATGACATTAATATTAATTTATATCTTTTTAAAATAAAACTTATAATCCTTTTTTGTAAATAGACATGACATTTTGTCACTGGAAAAAATGCTTTAACAAAACAAGTGCTTTAATAAAACAAGGCATCTGACCATTGGAACAGTATTGCCTTGTTCTATAATGTATAAAAAGTACGACCCCTACATTTATTAATATATCATCACTATTTATTAGAGATTCCTACTTCTTTTATATCTTTCTGTGTTTTCAAATTGTATTAACTGTACTTCTGTGTATTTGCTTTTTTAGTATCCATATAGCAGAGAAGAGGGAACTGGGAGAGACCACCGTTATTCATGCTCTTACAGGATGGTTGCCGGAAGTCATTCCTCTCCAGTAGGTTTGACCATTAACCTACTTATTTATTTTTCTTTCTTCCCTAGTAATGTTTCTTTAACCAAAATGTTTTCGGTTTTTAAAAAAATTTCAAGAGCTCTGGCCAGTTTTCTCAGTGGTTAGAGCACCAGCCCATGGACCAGAGAGTCTCAAGTTCAATTCTGGTGAAAGCCATGTACCTCGGTTGCAGTTCAATCCTGGCCCTGGTTGGGGTCCTGTGGGAGGCAACTAATCGATGTGTCTCTCTCACATTGATGTTTCTCTCTCTCTCTCCCTCCTACTCTATCTGAAAATCAATGGAAAAAAATATCCTCGGATAAGGATTAAAAGCAAACCAATAAATAAATTTCAAGAAATATTACATTTTACAAAAGTGTTTGGGAGAACATTTTCTAGTTTTATATAAAATTCCATGAGAATTCCAGGATAAATTCTGCTTATATATATAATATATATATAAAATAAATTTAGTCCTAAAATATCTGAATTCCAAATATTAAAATAATATTATTAGACATTATACACTTTAATATATTATTTCTAATTAAAAACCACAGTCCTGGTAAATGATCTCATTCAGTCATCCATATGACCCCGTCAACTAGGTGCATGTCATTATCAGAGAGGAAACTGAAGCTCAGAGTGGCCAACCAAGCCTGTGTACATTGTAACTGGAGGAGATAAAATTTGAATCTAAGTCTTTTTGGGTTCAAAGCCCACAGCCTTTCTCTCATATGAGTCTAGCTATATAAAGATTGCTTATCTACATTCAAATAAAGAGAGACTATTTAACATAATGCTTACTTAAAATTTTATAGATAATTTATTTCACACATTTGATAATATTATTGACAGCGGAAACTAATCAGGTTAAAGTGGAGAGAAAAGACTATATGAATAAATCTGGACATATCATCAATTCAGATGTTTATTTTTACAAGAAGATCAAAGCCATCTACAGTTATCAGTTTGAATCATCATTGATCTTTGACTGATGTTGGGAAGCTACAGTTCCCCTGGTCCAGGTAAAGGGAGATCGAAGACAGGCCCCGGAACTTGAATTCAACATTGAACAAGATCAACTAGCTGCTGCTTGATTCAAATACAAATATTTTCAGAAGAAAAAAATGGAAGAGTAGACACCCTTCCTGAAGGGCCACTTTGCTGAAAGGAAGCTGACCTTACATTTTTATCTGAGGAAAAGGTCCAGATGGCACCCTTTGACATCTTTTTGTGGAAAATCTTTTTCTAATACCTAAGAGAAGGTGCTATTAACTGGTATAATATGCTCATTGTTAGTGTAGAAAAATAGAGAGACAATGGGATTTAAAAGTATGGACTTCTCTAAATTTTTGTCTTCAAGTGTTGATGGTATTCTTACAATTTTGCCTTTGTTTTCCCTGCACAGTGGTCAATAAAGATATCAGAGACATGAAATCATCAGAGCTCTATCAGAAATAGTAGATCAGAATTATTCACACTATAAAATCAGTTAATTATACATTTTGAATTGTCTCTTGCTAGAATCATACATAAATTAAGTGTTCACATACTTTCATAATTTTAAGATCGCTTTAATAATTAATACAAAACTTGATTATAGATACTTAATTTGCATGCATTTATGGGTTGCTTATGAAGTATCTATGAAAATGATATAAGAGAGAGAAGCTTGAGCTTTGGAGTCAGAACTATATCACTAAATTTACATTCTTATACTTCCAATTTCAAGCTATGTGAATTTTGTAAGTAATGAACTTCTCTGGGCCCCAGTTTCTTCTTATGTTAAAGAAGGATACAATCACCTTTTCTCTATGGTTGTTCTGAAGATTAAGTGAACAGGTGAGGGTGTCAGAAAAATTCACTTGTGTATGGTAGAGACATAATTAGTGGAAGTTTGTTTACCTCTCTAATGACTTTCACAATTTATTATTATCTAGAAATATGTATGATAGTTAAAAATCAACCTTTGGAGACAGAAAAAAGTCTAAGGAAGAATAAGCAAGAATGACCCAGACATTCAAATTTATAAATTTATTTTAAAATACAACCAAAATGTGAAAATATATACACTATCTTTGATCTATATTATGATTTGTAGAATTTTTTCTTATATTCTGCCACATTATTCATGTAATTTTAAATGAATAGTATACTATAAAATCACAAAATCGATTCATGTGTGTACATGTATTTAATTTTTAAATGAAAAGAATGTCATGAAACAATCCATAAATTATTATCAAGAAATTTTAAGTTAAAATATGGGTGCAGTCACCATCTGCCAGGGTTTCAGAGAGGGGTCAGGTGGGGCTTCATGGAGAAAGTTCTGGCTTGATCTGAACCTTTCCTGTTGGCTGTGGTTGATTTGAAGGTAAAGAAGGCGAGGACTATTGAAAGCAGGAGAACAATATGATCAAAGCTATGGTCTGTTCAAGAGTGGGGTGTTTCCATTCCTAAGGAGGATTAGAGTGTGCAGGGGAAGCCCCGAGGAGCTTGGCCAGTGTGGTCATGGTTTTACAGAGGTCAAGGAGAATTAGAGAATTAGAGTTCCAAATATGTGTTCACCTCTGATTTTTTTTTTCCATGTGAAAATCGGGGTGAAAATGTTTTGTAGTATCTCAACTTCTTCCCTTGCGCTCTGCATAGGCACACCAACTTGAGAAACTATTTGCTGTTGTTGACCTTGCCTTTTATGTTTTACTACAATTAGTACAGTTTTTACATTAAAAACAAAAACAACTTCTAACTACCCATATATAATAGAAACGCAGTCAATGACATGTCTGAGTGTATATTAGATGTCAAAATTCCAATCGAATAGATGACTTTTCTCAGTAAACTCATCTGATCTCGGTGTAGTGCATTTGTGAATAGAGCACCCCACACCCAATATTTAAGCCTACCTGTCCCAAGAAGTTTTTGGTCTGATCATGTGGTATTTGAATATTTCTCTTCCATTGCCTAGCATTTTTGTTTCATATTGTAGATGAAAAGAAAAACTAAGCATGGGTTTTTGCATTCAGATCTGCTTGAATTCTGATTCTATCATTTGAGAGATGTATGATAGCATAAAATGTACAACCTCTTAAACCTCAATTAGCTTGTGATACCTATGTTGCAGAAATTTTGTGGGATTAAATGCAAAAATAAAATGCACTGGGGATCCAATGCTGAGAACAAGGGAGCTCAAGAACAGAAGCAGATCACAGGTGCATACGGAAACCAATTATTATTTTTAAGTCACCAGTTCATCTTTGTTTTTTCCCTCAGAAAAGCTTCGCAATTGAGTTATCTATACACTGTCTCTATCTTTACACCTCTCAATCTCTTCCCACTGACTCTCTGTGCTTCCTCCTCCTCCACACTAGTGAAAGGGTTCTTCCTAAGGCAAATAAAGACCTTAATATTGTCAAATCCAATGGTCGCTTCTTTTTCCCCATTTACTTGACATTCTAGTATTTGACTTAAACAAACAAACAAACAAAAAACTCTCCTTGGGAGCGCTTAATTCGCTTGTCTTCTGCAACAGCACATCCTCCAGGTTTTTCTCCTATCTTATTTGCTGCCCTTTTTCTGCCTTCTTGGATAGTTCCTCAACCACAAAATGTGATATATAACAGGGCTCCTTCCTGTCCCATAACTGTAAATAACTATTCGATAATGACTTTCAAGTTTATATTGCCATACCTGTCACCTTTTCCTGTAGTCTAGTCTGTATTTATATGCAACTGCTTCAGTTGCATAGCTATGTGGATGTCAAAAATGTATCTCAAACTTAAAATATCCAGAAAGGAACTCGGGATTCTGTAGTCCCCAAACCTTACCTTTCCTACAGTACCTCACCTCAGTACATTACACCATTGTTCACTCAGTTATGCAAATTAAAAAGCAACAGATAAATAAGCAAACTAACTTGGAGTCATCCTTAATCACTCGTTTTTCTCACATCCCACATCCAAACCCTTACTGATCTTTGTCAATAGTGTCTTCTCCACTCATTATGAATGTATTTATTTATTTATTTCGTATCTTCTTTATTACCATCCTAGATCAACTATCACTGCTCACATGCATAGATGACGTACTAGCTTCATAACTGGACCTTGTGTGTCTACCTCAGCCACCTGTACTGAATTCTCGACATAGCATTTGGAATACTTTTTAAAAACATAAATCAGATAATATCACTTGCCTTGCTTAAATCCTTTCCATTAAACTTGAAGTTTTGAAAGCTTCCTGCTGTTCTTTAGGGATCTGCACATCTCTCCCCTCATCTCTGTCTAGGCAACTACTCACTGGCCACATATACCTTTGTTGTTTTTCCCAAATATACTAAACTCATTGTCACTTAGGGTCTTTATATGAGGTGGTGGTTGTTATTTATGTATGTATTTATTTATTTATTCTCACCTGAGGATATTTTTTCCCATTAATCTTTTAGAGAGAGTGGAAGAGGAGGGAGGGCGGGAGGGAGAGAGAGAGAGAGAGAGAGACGTTAATGTGAGAGAGACATATCGACTGATTGCCTCCCTTACCCACCCAGACCAGGGCCGAGAATTGAACCTGCCACCCAGGTACGTATCCTTGACCGTGAATTGAACCTGTGACCCTTTGGTCCTCAAGCCTGTGCTCTAACCACTAAACAAAACTGGGCAGGGCTGTTGCTGTTTTAAAATGCCTAGAATAATCTTCTATCAGATAGTCACTTGGCTGAGGATGACATAGCAGTTAGGTCTCACCAAGCTTAAACATCAACTCCTCAGACAAACCTTCTTGATCATTCAATTTCAATTATTCCTTCCCCAAGTTTTGTCCTAACCCATTGTCTATTATTTCATTTTCCCGATGGAAGTTATCACTGCCTGTTTTTTTTTCTCTCTCTCTCTCTCTCATCCATCCACTAGGATAGGAAGTTATGTGAGAGTAGGGACCCTTTCTGTCTTGCTCAGTGTTATGCCTTCTATGAGTTAGAACAATAACACTGAATGTCTGGCAAACAGTATGTTCTCAATAAATGTTTGTTGATTGAGTAATTTAAGAAGTATTTTTAAAGGTTATAAGAAGTGTGTAAAGATTCTTTGGGAACTCAGAGCATGAACATAGAACTTAATTCATCCACATTTATCACATTTTACATATACATCTCAATATATATCACATTTTCTTTATTCATTCGTCTATCAGGAGACAGCCAGGTTGTTTCCATGCCTTATCTATTGTGAATAATTGTGCAATAAACATGGAGGTGCATATATATTCTTAAGTTCGTGTTTCAACTTCTTTCAGTGAAATACCCAAAAGTAAAATTACTAAATTATATAGTAGTTTTATTTTTAATCTTTTGTGGAAATTACATACTGTTTTCCATATTAGCTGTACCAATTTAGAATTGCTACAACAGCTCTCAAGGGTTCCATTTTATCCACATCCTCATCAACCACTGTTGTTTTTTGTTTTTTTGATAACAGCTATTCTAACAGGTGTAAGGTAAAATATCACTGTAGTTTTGATTTGCATTTCCCTGACGATTAGTGGAGTTGAGCATCTTTTCATGTCCCTTTAGTCATCTGTATGTCCCCTTTGGAAAAAAATGTCTATTCAGATCCTTTTCCATTCTTTAATAGCATTGTTTGGGTGTGTTTGATTTGTTTTGTTTTTTTGACTATTGAGTTGTATATGTTCTTTATATATTTTGAATATTAGATATATGATTTGCAAATATTTTCTCCCATTCTATAGATTGCCTTTTCATTTTGTTGATGGTTTCCTTTGCTGTGCAGCTTTTTAATTTCACATTGATCCCCTTGTTTATTTTTGTTTTGGTTGCCTTTGCTTTTGGTGTCAAATCCAAAACCTCATTGCCAAAACCATTATAAAAAAGCTTATCACCTATATTTTCTCTAAGAAGTTTATAGTTTTTGGTCTTATGTTCAAGTTTTTAATCCAATTTGAGTTGATTTCTATGTATGGTGTAAGATAATAGCCTTGTTTCATTCTTATGTATCTGGTTGTTCAGTTTTTCTGACACCTTTTACCAGAGAATCTATTCTTTCCACGTTGTATGTTCTTGTTTTGTTTTTTTTGTTTGCCATTAATTGACTGTATATGTCATTAATTAATAGACTGTTTCATTGATCTATGTGTCTGTTTTTACGCCAATACTATACTGCTTTGATTACTATAGCTTTGTAATATAGTTTGGAATCAGAGAGCAGGATGCCTCCACTTTGTTCTTTTTTCTCAAGGTTGCTTTTGCTACTTGGGGTCATTGTGGTTCCCTTCCTTTATTTGTGTATTCTTCAGTTTCTTTTATCAATGCCCTATAGTTTTCAGTGAATAGTTCTTTCACATCTTTGGTTAAATTTATTCCTATGTATTTTATTCTTTTTGATGTAATTAAAAATGGGACTTAAACAAAAATCCTCTTCCTGATAGTTATTAGTGTGTAGAAACAACAGATTTTTGTATACTGATCTTGTATTTTGCAACTTTACTGAATCATTTTACTAGTTTTAATAATTTTTGGTGGTGTTAGGGTTTTCTCTCTATATATAGCAATATCGTGTCATTTACATATAGTGAGAGTTTTTCTTCTTCCATTCTAATTTGGATGCCTTTTAGCTCGCTTTCTTGACTAATTGTTCTGGCTAGGACTTTTATTCAACAAATATTAATTAATGGTTGTTGAATAAAAGTGGTAAGAGTGGGTATCCTCATCTTATTACTTATCTTGGAGAAAAAGATTGTAGCTTTTAAGCACTGAGTAGGCTGTTAGCTGTGGGCCTGTCATATATGGCCTTTACATTGAGGTATGTTCACTCTATACTCATGTTGTTGAGAGTATTTATCATAAATGAATGATAAATGGCAAAGGGAGTGCATTAAGAGAGCGCCTGCCCTCCAGGACAGTGGGGAGAATTACTGTTGGCTCTTAGCTGTGGGTTTAATTAGAAGCCTGCTTCTTGGGCCAATGCTTTAAGATAAACAAATAAGCCTCTTTCACAGAAAGTCTGCTGCCTCTGCACTGGGCTTGGGTTGGGTGAGTCTTTGCGAGCTCTTTTAGAACCATTTCTGAGGTTACTATTGCCTCATGGGTCTTTGGATACAGTCTCTGTGTGCATTCAAAGCTAGATGTTTTGAGAGCTCATTTCCCAGGGGAAGGTCTTGAAAGTTGGGGTGCCAGATGTGGGTTTTAAACCCTTTACTCGTGGGGAAGTCCAGGGTTGTGAGTTGCCTCCAGTTGCGGGTCACCATGCTGGGCTTATGGCGATATTGTGCCTTAGGCTCTCTTACCTGCATCATGTGGGGTTTTTTTCTCATTCACCGGATGTGCAAGAGTCAGTCAGCTAGTTTTGGGGCGTTTCTTCAGAGGCAATTGTTTTACGTGTACCTGTAGATCCAGTGTGTTCATGGAAACCGGTGAAGTCAAGGTCCTCCTGTGTCTCCATCTTGAACCAGAATTCCTTATTTGGTCTCCTTCATCAACAAATCCCAGCACACCATAAGGCACTCAGTCAAAGCTTGTTGAATGAATGAATGCATCATGGTGTTTTAAACTAATATTTTATGTAACTATAGAAATTAGTCTTGTGAAATAGTAAGCTGACTTTTTTTCTGTCAGTAATATCTCGATGTGGAATTTAAAGCTCAATTTGAAAATTAATGATGATGTGTTTTATCAAAGCCCACAATATAAGGACAAAGTTTGGGAGCTTTTGAAAGAAATATTGCCTGAATTTAAGCTGATGGATGTGTCCTGCTCTGAGAGCAGAACAACAGAAGTAGATGCCAAATTAAAGGAACCAGGGAAAGAAGTGAAGGATGGGAAAGATGTAAAAGATGGCAAAGAATTCAAACCCGAACCTTCCGCTACCACACTAAAATCACTTGAGAAAAGTGATAAAGTTCTAAAGGGTAAGACGTTTTATATCATAACAGCATCCAGTATGAATATTGTATACAAATATTTTATAATCTTTGCTGAATTTAATGGTTCTTTGTTGTTATTATCGTGTATTAAGTGTTGTGGAAATAATTAATATTCTTCCTTGATAGAATTTCAGAACTTCTAATGGTATTTACCACATATTAATTATCATTCCATATTGTACTCTAAATATCAAAGGCAATTATACAATTTGATACTAAATTGATATATAGTAAATATAGAAAGAAATATTAAGTTTCAACGTTCATTAAACGCATCTTTCTTATATGCTATATGTAGGGTGAAATGAACTAAAATAGCAAAGGACACAGTTGTCCTGTTTAATTTTTCAGGAAATGTGAAGTGGACAGAGCTTAGATGATGATTTATTGATCATTTATTGTGAAAATTCAAATATGAGAAGAAAAAATTCTAGTTATTTTACAAGTGTAGGATTCTTTCTTTTCTTGAGGTGGGAAATGTATTAATTTTTTATTTTATGTTTTCTAAAATATTTTATATAGCTATGCAAATAAACAATAATGCTTTTATACTAAAGTAGTAGAACTAAATATTCTAGAAAATACTCGGCTTTTTTGTATACTTTGATAATATCTATTATGATCTTCCAAATATTTATGTTTTAGAGAATATTTACATTTTGTCCAATTATTTCTTATCCTGGTCTCATCTACAGTGCAATGCATATAAAGTATTATGTAAATGTTCCTCAAAAATATAGCAAGATTAAGTGTGTGAGTGATATCTGCCTATCATAGGCTCCTTTTTGAAATCACCTAATATGTGCTAGTATGAAAGAAAAAGAAGAAAAAAAAAAAAAAAGCCTGCTTGAATTTGTTTCATCCCATATATCTCCAACTAATCTGAATTTAGAAGCCCTTTCTCATGTATAACAAATGAACATTCATCTATTCATCTATTCATCCAGCCACTCATTCATCCAATATACTATTTACTGAGTATAATTCCAATAAATGTTCTAGGAATTAGTGATAACTTGTTGAACAAAATTAGATGTGAAAGTTACTTCCTAGTCCTTATTGTCTAGGGATAAAGACTAACACAAATTTTAAAAATTATAATCATCTACTAAGAAATAAGCCTGAAATGCAAATGAAGGAAACTATGAGAGTTCATATGGGGGACCTAGGCTAAGGACAGAATTTCCTAAGGGCTTTTGAACTGCTTTTGCAAAGATGAGAGGAATATCTGGAAGATGACGACAAACCATGGAGGGAAGACGTTCTGTGTCGAGGAAATAGCCTGGAGGAATGGCATTATTTTGGAAGACCTGGCAGAAGATATATTTACTGGAGGAAAGGATATGAGGAGTAAAGGATAGTTTGAGCACACCTGGAGAAATAGGTAGGAGAATGATCATACAAAATCTTCCAGGTCATGTTAAGATTATTGATCTTTATCTTAAGAAAAATTAGCAGCTAAGGAAAATCTTAGACTAGAGTCATACATGATCTAAATCACAGTTTCAAAAGAATATTCTGGATCTTTGAGAAGAAAAGATCTTACAGTAGGGGGGTGGGTGACATGAGTGTACACACACACACACAGTCTGGAGACTTTTGCACCAGCTCATGTTAGAGACAATGGGAGCTGGGAGTTAGGGTAATAGTGTAGTAGCAGTGAAGTCACAAATAAGGTGAATGACAAGAGAGAGATTTAAAAAGTAAAAAATGTGGTACCCGTAATGGAGATAGGGGATACTAAAAAAAGAATGGCTTTATGAGGCGAGAACATAAAATGATTTTGAATATATTGAATCTGAGGTGCCTTTTGAGAAACGTCAAGAGTTCCCAAGTGGTGATATACATTTTGGAAACACAAATACATGCTAAGTTAGCTGTGGATGATATTCTCAAGGAGACAGCATAGAGTGAGAACACATGGCTGCATAAGGCTGAGCCTTAAGGAAGTTAAACATCTGAGAGCCAGGTAAACAGTGATGATCTGGCAAAGGAGGCTAAGGGATGGCCAGAGAGGCAGGAAGAAAACAAGCAGAGCTTGTTGCTACTGAAGTCAGAAGAAGAGGGTCTCAAGAATCAGAGAGATAGTCTGTGTTAAATAGTGAGAGTTAAAATATTAGGGAACTTGGATTTCCCTGTTGAACGTTGTGATGTGAAGGTCATTAGGCACTGGTGAAGGATGGGGGTGGAAGACATATTGAGAGTGTTAAGAAGTAAGTGGAAAGAAAAATGATGTTAGAAGTTTGTGAACAGGAGTGCTGCAAAGCGGAAGCTGACAGGGAGTATGTGGACACAGGATACTTATGTTTTAATCTGTCGATGGAGAACTGAGTGTTTTTAGGTGTTGATTGAGAGAATTCAGCTGAGATTACAGCAATAGTGTATGTTTCCTGGTAGGGCAGGAAGAGGAGGATCCAGAGAACCTAGGTAGAGAGGTTGGACCAACTCAGGGGAGCAAGGGCTCCTCCATCCTACCAGATGGGCACATGCCATGGGAGAGGATGGATGTAAATGTTGGTGGGTGGATGGCTTTCAAAGGGAAAAGCTGAGTGTTTCTTACTAAAGACTTCAACTTTCTCTTTTTCTGAGCAGCTTACGGATGAGCTGAGAATGAGGTGGAGGAGGGGCAAGGTGAAAGTCCTCATGGTGATTTGATTTAGATGTAGCAGAGGTTTGCAGAACTAAGGAAAAGTTATCTCCAGTAGCACTCAGTTGCCAACTTTACTTAAAGAGGCTTTTGGGCATTTGCTACATGGATGGGGTGAAATGACAGAGGAGCAACACATTATTGGCAAAACATATTTTGATAAACACTGTTGTATATTACCCAAATTTCTATGTGAAAGTGTATTTTTTCTATTTACACATTTTATTATAAATTATATTATTTCTAAATTCTGAATTCAGAATAGGAGTTTGAAGGGTTTTAAATCCCTATTTTAAAATCATATATGAGCCCGACCAGTGTGGCTTAGTGATTGAGCATCGACCCATGCAAGAGGTCGCAGGTTCCATTCCCAGCCAGGGCACATGCGCAGGTTGTGGGCCGGATCCCCAGTGGGGTGGTGTGTGGGAGGCAGCCAGTGGATGTTCTCTCTCATTTATGTTTCTCTCTCTCTCTCTCTCTCCTTTCTTCACTGTCTAAAAATCAGTAAAGAAAAAAAATTTTTTTAAATCATGTATGAAATACAGTGATACCTCGGTTCTCGAACATAATTCGTTCCAGGAGGACGGTCGAGAACCAAATTGTTCGAGAACCGAAGCAATGAAACCCAATAGGAAATAATGGAAACTGGATTAATTCGTTCCAAGCCCCAGAAAATGCCTATTTACTGGCCTAATTTGTATATAATATGTAGAAAAACATAAGTCTCAACAAGAAATAAAAGTGTACAGTATGTCTAAGGGTTAAATTCAGTGTAAAGCGTGACTCTCTCCACAAAGCGTGACTCTCTCTCTGCACTCACACTGAGGACGCGAGCAAGGCGCGCTGGGCCGAATGAACGCCATTCGGCTCAACTTGGCTCATCTCGGAAGTTCGAGTTCCAAATATTTGTTCGGATTCCAAGACAAAAGTTTCTCGAATCTCCTGGTCGAATACCGATTTGGTCGAAATCCGAGGCGTTCGAGAACCGAGGTATCACTGTATATATTTCTACCTAAAATTAACTTTATTGAGTGAAGTAAAATATTTATAGAAAAGTCACAAAATAAAATTTGATAACCTGTATTTATATTTTAGTTTCTTAGTTATATATCTCCTTCTACACTTAAAGTTAACAGTTATCTTTACTTTTGTATCTGACATAGGTGATTAATCTACTGTAAAAGCTAAAATACGAAACAGCTTTACATTCTAGGTTAAGGAACATTGTAACTTGTTAATGTCACAGTTTTCATTTTCGCAAATTGAAAAAAAAAAAAAACCTGATTACAAATTTAGCAGATGATGGGAAAATAAAAAGGCAGAAATCTGATTTTTTTGGTTTCAGAATTGAATTGGCTTTATTAGGGAATAAAAAAATCTTGGATTTTTTATTTTCAGCCTTTATATACTACATTTTTTTTCAAATTTTCTTTTTTCTTTTTCAGTTACAGTTTGCATTCAGTATTATTTTGTATTAATTTCAGATATTCAGCATAGTGGTTAGGAAATCTTGCACTTTACAGAGTGATTCCGCTGATATTTCAAACACCCACTTGGCCTCATACACAGTTATCACGACATTATTGATTATATTCCCCATGCTGTAATTTATATATCCATGACCACTCTGTAACTTCCAGTTTGAACTACTTAATCATCTTTTTCACCCAACCCCTTAACTTCCTCCCCTCTGGCAACTGTCAATCTATGCTCTGCATCTATGAGTCTATTTCTATTTTGTTTGTTTGTTTATTTTGCTCTTTATATTTCACATATAAGTAAAATCATGTGGTACTTGTCTTTCTCTGAGTTATTTCACTTAGCATAATACCCTCCAGATCCATCAATGCTGTCACAAAAGGTAAGATTTAATTATTTTTCATGGCTGAGTAGTATTCCATTGTATATATGTACCACTGCTTTTTTTTTTTTTTTTAAGTTGAAGGAGAACATGTTTCATAGAAATGGAAATATAAATGGAAATTCAAAGAGTGCATATAATTCTGTGTACAAGGTGTGATTAAAGAAGTCATGTTGGCAAAAAGATGTTGCTTTGATATCCATTTAAAATGAGAAAATTAGCCTCACACTATAATTTAATATACAAAAATTATCAAATGATCATCTATCCTTAACATAAAATTTATATGTATTCAATAATAAATAATGGTGTAGGTCTTTCACAATACCCATTGATTTTCAAAATTTTTTCTTTATTTATTGTAATGTTTCTAATTAGAGATGAAGAGTGTTTGGGGGAATTTGTGGCTTTTGTATTTGAGATTTTATAGTTAAAGATTTATTATATTTTTAATATGTTAGAAAAAGCAGATTTAAAAGACTTTGGAAAGAAGAAGAGTAAAGATGGAGAAAAGGAAAAGGAAAAATTCAAATGGTCATTTCACGGTTCCAGACCCTCCTCAGATGTACAACACTCTCTGCTGTCTCTGTCAGACTGTAAGCTCTCAGTCTTGTAGAACAACTATTTTCACTGTTTCCTAAAAGGTTGAAACTCTCTGGATCATAGAAGTGTATCCTTAGACATATCTAAATAAGCTTGCTGGAGGTTGCCCATAATCATCAGGCCTCACATGGGTAATGATACTGGGGCAAGGTTCTACATATGAGACAATAGCCAAGGCTGCCCAAGTCCTTATGGTACAGCAGTCACAGGAGAAGTGCTCATATGAAGGAGGACATATGCTAACATATATACATATGCTAACTAATAAATAACATATTAGTATATTGTAAAATATATATTACTCTACATAAATAAAATATATCATATGTTATATATTCTATATAATATACCTATGTATTAATATACAATTATACAAAATGTGTAAACATAAGCAATATATAATATATTTGTATATGTCCTCTGTATAAATTATATAGGACATATATAATCTTTTTTTTTTTTTTTTACTTTTTATTTATTTTTTATTTTTTTAATTTTTTTTATCCTCACCCAAGGACATTTTTCCATTTTTTTATTCAGATAGAGCGGGAAGGAGAGAGAGAGGAAGAGAGAGAGAGAAACATCGATGTGAAAGGGACACACTGAGTTGCCGCCACCCACACGACCCAACCAGGGCCGGGGACAAACTGCAGCCAAGGTACGTGCCCTTAGCGGGAACCGAACCCGGGTCTCTCTGGACCGCAGGCTGACGCTCTGACCGCTGAGTCAAACCGGCCAGGGCGACATATATAATCTTTTAAAGACTATATTATATATATTGTACACATTATCTTTTTCTAAAGGTTTTCATTGATTTCAGAGAGAGAGGAAGAAAGAGGGAGGAACATCGATGAGAGAGAAACATCTATCCACTGCCTCCTGCGTGCCCTGAACAGGGCATTGAGTTTCCAACCCGGACATGTACCCTGACCAGGAGTTGCACTGGTGACCTCTCAGTGCATTGGATGATGCTCAACCAACTGAACCACACTGGCCAGGGCATATTATACATATTATATTTTTAAATACTTTATATTCTTACTATTGGTTCACCTATCTTGTGTTTCCAGAATGTAGGTTATAATTTTCAGCTTCCCATGTGTTAGATAGTTGGAAACTCATCCATTTTCTTCTAGCACTATGTTTTATCTAGTTTCTTCTTTTTTTCATTTTGTCTTCTTTCTTTTTTTTTTTTTATCCTCACCCGAGGATATTTTTCCATTTTTTGTACAGATAGAATGGGAGGGAGAGAGGAAGGGAAGAGAGAGAGAAACATCATCGATGTGAAGGGACACATCGAGTGGCTGCCACCCGCACGACCAACCAGGGCCGGGGACAAACTGCAACCGAGGTACGTGCCCTTAGCGGGAACCAAACCCGGGTCTCTCCGGACCGCAGGCCAACGCTCTAACCGCTGAGCCAAACTGGCCAGGGCTTGTCTTCTTTCTTAATACATTATTATGTTTTCTGTGAGGACGTTTTAATAATTATGTTTTTTTTTTGTTTTTTTTTTTTACAGAAGCATGCCTGGTAATTTGTTAGAGAAATGAGTCACTAGTCATTATATTTTTAATTCTGTATTAAAAATTGTTTTCTTATACTGGTGCCTTAAGCAATCTTTTTTGATAGTGGGTGACATAACACTCCCAAAGTTACCAATAATTCATCATTACTGTGAAAATTACCAAACTTTTCTGAGTTTCTTTCTTTGGGACAATTAAGATAACAATTGCTTCTCCCCCCCCCCCCAAACTAATAGTTAAGGTTAATCTCAAGATAGGGTTAGAATTCAATAAACATATCTAATACACATACATATAAATACTGAATTTGTAAAGAAGTAAAACAAAACTTTTAATTAAAAACAAAGATGAAAAAAGGGCTAAGAAATTCCATTGTTTTGGTCAGAATCTTTAAAGAACAAAAATATAGAACTATCAGGGATGTTCAGGAACATGTCAATAAATAAGTGATGCTCAGAAGCAAAGTCTACATGCACTAAATGTTCCAAGCTAAGTTACTTATGTTTTCCTTCTTTGTAGAAGGATTCATTTATTTATGTTTTCTTTATCTTGAAATGACATATAAACTCCTGGACTTCTTTAAATTCAGAATAAAGATTTTTATCTATGAAAGCTAATAAATGTCAAAATGTTAAAATCATTCCTTTGATCATAATTATTTGTGGATCATTTTGTTACATTGACTAAGAACTAGTAAGTTTATGTGATAGCATTTTTACAGTGACATAAAACGATTTTTAAAGCAATTAAATGGTACTATATTATGAAAGTAAAATGAATGAGATATTGTATAAAATGAATGCATATTTGAAATTTAACATTTATTAAATAAATTTAGAACCATTTACCTATTTTTCACCAGCAAAGATAAGGAATTATCTTTAATTCTAATTCTTTAACCTTTAATTCTATCTTATTGTTCATTAAGAAAGTTTGGAGTGGCCCTTTTGGGCTAGAGTTTTCATGGCACAATATATGTCTGTTCTTGCAGGTTCTTCGGGAATACAGCCCCCTTACATGGTTGTATACGCGACCTTTACACCTCTCTACTTGTTTGAAAAGAAGATCTTTTCATTAGAGAGGATGGTAAGTACTCATGTCCAGGAGGTACACTATCATTTATGGTTTGTGTGTGTATGTGTGGGATTACTCTTGTGATGGAAGATATACCAGAATTTAATTAAAATCCTATTACTAAATTTTGGTCTCCTTATCTTTAATATTAGGCACCTGAATACAGGGACTTAGAACATCCAAAATTGTCTTAGATAATTACAGTAGTTCCATCTTTTAAAAAAGTAGTTATATATTGGTATCGATTCCTTCCAATATAAGCAAAATAAAAACCATAAAAATTATATAGGTCATGTAAGTAATTTCTAAGTAATTATAAAACACCTTTCCATAAACAGATTGTACATATTTTCTCAATATGTGACTTAAATGAACTCACACACAGAGCCAGTAAAACATGCTATTACCACCTTATATCTTAAAATAATACATCTGCAAAAACATTAACTTCTTTTTTTCCTATAAATCTGACAATTTATAGGAAATTTAGCAAATATATACAAAGATAATAAAATTAAAATATTCATAGAATAAACACCCAGACATAGGTAATGCTAACATTTTAGCATATATTCTTTGATTTTTTCCTCTCTGCATATAGTCTGTGGATACGTGTATACTTTTTATTTATTTTTTGCACAGTAGAATTAAATGTTCTGTTCTCTTTGAAAACCAGCTCTTTCACTTGACACTGTATCATTAAAATTTTTCCATGATGTTAAATATTTGCATGATGTTAAGTAGTTGCATGAGATACGTAGGTTTCCCATATCTTTTTTTCTTGCACATAAAAATTATTTTTCTCCTTCTCTTATAAAGGGTAAAGATCACCAGATTACTCTTCAGTTTCCTTAGACAAAAGCCCTATTGCATTTGGGGTTTATTGAATCCTAATACTTTGGGGAACTTTTAGACATCTAGCATTTTGTTTTCAAAATTCCATGTTCTGAAATCACTACATCAAAGTATGAGACTAGATAGTACAATGGTGCACATCAACCCTTAGTAACCACAGAGGATTGGTTCCAGGATCCGCCAACGATACCAAAATCCGAGGATGCTTAACTCCCTTAAATAAAATTGTGTTGTGCCCTGGCCGGTTTGTCTCAGCGGTTAGAGCCTTGGCCTGAGGTTCAGAGAGACCCAGGTTCAATTCCTACTAAAGGCACGTACCTTGGTTGCAGTTTGTCCCCGGACCCGGTTGGGTTATGTGGGTGGCAGCCACTCGATGTGTCCTTTTCATGTCAATGTTTCTCTCTCTCCCTTCCTCTCTCTCCCTCCCACTCTATCTGAACAAAAAAATGAAAAAATGTCCTCGGGTGAGGATGAAAAAATAAAAAAATAAAATTGTGTTGTATTTGCATATACTCTATGTACATCCTCTTCTATATTTTAAATTATCTCTCGATTACTAATAATACCTAACCCAATGTAAATGCTATATACATAGTTGTTATACTGTATTGTTTAGAAAATACTGACAAGAAAAAAGTCTGCACATGCTCAGTATAGATGCAAACATGTTCACCTAGTTACATAGTACATGTTAGCAACAGTGTAACTAATTTTGTTCCCCTGGATATTTCAATGCCAGGCTGGTTGAATGTGTGAATGCAGAACCCATGGATAAGGAGAGCCAACTGTAATTATTTCTGTAATGTGTACTTGGCTAGTTAGAAACATTAAAGTATTAAAAAGTCAATGGAAATTTGGGTGAAATGCAAATACCCCGATAGGATGATTATTGTGCTTGATTATTTGTCTCCTGAAGATTCAGAGTGTAACATTACCATTGCTTCTGCCTCTGCATTTTATCTTCCTCCTCCTCCTTTCATTTTAGATAGAAGCTCCTCCTTCCTGCAAAAGTCAGCCACACAACAGGGATAATATTGTAAGCTAAGAGGACATACTATGCCATTATGAACATATAGTGGCAGTTTCCCTGTTCTAATTAAAAGTTAATTAACTTTAGTGTGGGTAAATCTAAGTGTGCTTCCCAGGCCTCCCTCCAACTTGAGTCTCTGGTGAAGATTCAAATAGGCCATCTCAGCCCTAGCTTTTGTTTTATTTTTTATTTTAATTTCTTCTCATGGCAGTGTCTTGGGTGCTATTTTAGATGTTCCAGAGAGATTAAATGTTCTAACACCCTGGACTACAAAAGAATACGAGCCATTTTTTTGTGGAGTGTCATGGTTTCATGCACAGGAAGTACTCAGACACTTTTTAAAAGTGCAAAATGTAAGGATGGATGAGCGCATTACAAAAAGAAACGGGCTCAAAATAATCCGTGTGAACTTCTGGCCGTCCTACTTAAAAACTAACATTTAAGCACAAAGAAAATTTTGAAAAAGATATGAGAAACACAAAAAAGACATGTTTATTCTTTAATTCAACAGATGTTTATTGATTATCTATTATTATGTGCTAAACAGTAATCTAGGCTCTGAGGACACCATGATGAGTAAGATTAACAAGGCGCCTCCCCCCAGAGTTCAGTGTCTAATGAGGAAGGCAGACAAACAAACAACAGTAATAAAGTTGGAAAACCGGTATAATGAAGAGCATGCTAAGGGTCTGGCATATGGTAGAGATAGTGTTCAAATAATGTGTAGGAAGGATGAATGAATGAATGAATGAATGAATGAATGAATGAATGAATGAAGAGTAGGGCACACGTAGCAGGAACACATCTTTCTGATGACTGACCACAGAAGTCGTCCCAAAGAAGAGATGTTCAAGCCGTGACCTTAAGAAGTTAGCCTAATAAAGAGGAAAACCTGCTCAAAGCAGAGGAGAGCTTGAAGGTGAAGGAGAAGCCACTTGGTTCAGGAAACTGCTAGAGGTCGAATAGACTGCAAGGGAAGGGATCTTAAAGGCAGTTTGAGAAGTGGAAGGGAGTCAGGACAGAAAGTATTATAATTCCTCAGAGGGGGGTTGAAAGTGGCTTAAGGGGCCGAGGCTCAGGAATTTGCCCAGTGTCGGTAGCAGTAATGAAATGAACTTCCAGGCTGTAATGAACTGACTGTAGTGTCACATCTTCCTAATGGGCCCACTGGTTGCTGGTTGTTTTACATTACTCATTAGGGTAAGCTCTATATAATGTTTTAAAGATAAATCTACAAAAAACCTCCTCTAATAGAATTTTGTTAAATGGAGTACACTGATAAAAAATTATAGCCCCAGAGATAATGAGACCAACTTGTAAAATAAAGACAGTACCTTACATTTATTTAAAGAATTAATCCAGAATGCAGTGGGGGGGGGGCAGGGGAGGGACAAACCTGAGGAAGGGAGGTGTCATGAATCACTCCACATTTCCCCCATCTTCTTGCTCTTGGGTGTTATAAATTGGTTTCGTTTTATTTAAATGGGGGACCTGGCAGGTCTATAAAAGCTTCTTTCCGCTGCTCAGACCCCTGCTTTCGGAATGTTTGAGGTGGGATGGGGTGAAGGAGCGAACCGGTCTGGTGGCCAAGGTCACATCAACACAGGGATTATCTTAAAACGTTTTCTGAGTGCCTGCTTAGCATTTCACTAGAATGTTTCACTATTCTAAATTCCTCTCTGCCCCTCATTCTAGTGGAACTTGAGATCCTTTAACAAAGTTTCTAAACATCAACCTGTAACTATTATTGATAGCATCACTGTACACCATTCAGAGTGCTGTGTGTTAGAAATAAAATGCAGCCTGAGGAATCGGCTTGCTACCTTAAATCAGGCCAGGGCTTTTGTGAATTATTCAAATATAATAAGTACTAATACCAAGCTTAATTGTTTCACACAATACCTTACCTTTTCGAAATGTTTTATATTGTTTTGTTTTTCAATGTTTGACAGCTCAAGAACAGAAAGTAAATAGACTGCAGCTGGCTTGCAGTTGTGAGAAGGAATTGAGATTTGTACTAAGTTTTATGAATAGTAAAGTCTCTGGGAAATACACAGCTTAGAACGGCTACTTTGAATATGGCTTCCCTTTGGACAGTACTTAAATGTACATTGTATAGCAATATAGTTTTTGTTATAATAATTGTCTTTTCGAGTAACACCCATCATTTTTTTTCCGCAAATTTCTGTGAAAACAATTACTTTCAACTATGGGGAAACTTCTAAAATTTGACAGGGTTTAAACTGTAGAAAAAAGGTTTAGACTTTAAAACATCCATAAAAATGTTTAAGCTACTATAGGGCTTAAACCAGAAACCAGAGTTTCTGATATATTTTTCAGTAAATTACTAACATTCACAAGTGATTAAGTAGAGGTGACAATTTTACCTACTTTTAAATTAGTCCTTTTTTAAAAAAAAAAAATCAAGTCACTCTCTCTTTATTTTGAATATTTATACCAGTTGTAAATGGCTCACCTGGACTACCTCCTTCTTACAATTACTGGTTGTTACAGTGATTAGTCGACCCCTGGATTCAGGCTGCACTGTCCTGGCTCACAGATCCCCTCCTATTTTGCGCCTCCCTGAAGTTTAGATTGAGCTCTAGACAAAGTCACGAGAGCGAGGCATGTTCTAGCTGTGGGAAAATTTGGAATAGGCTAAAAGGTGGGCTTCTGGTCCTAATGACAACTTTATAAATTTATATTTTCAAGCATTTCTGTTCACAGAGAAATCACTGATGCAAAAGCACCAGGAAGAATAATAGTTATTGGTAAAGCTGACTTGAATGCAGTTAATATTTTATTTTACTCTAACTGTGTCAACACTTAGACTGTGACATCAGAATTTGACTACAATGTAGATTCCTTTCATTTTCACACACCTATTGATTTCTTATGGCGTGTACTTCAGCCACCAGTCACTACTGAAGTTCCGCTTCAGTGCTCTTCTGAATTGCTCCCAAGCCCAGCAGCTCCGGGGGACCTGACCAGTGGAATGCGGGCAGCGGCTGTGTGGGGCACGACTTGTGTTGGCAGGATACTGGGCAGCCTCTACGGGCTGTGAATGGCCCCATTGTCCGAGGAAGCACGGGGATTTCCTGTGGGGAGCTGCTGTGTGCCGGCGGGGGGCATAAACTGGGCAAGGCAACTGCTTATCAGCTCCCTGACCTCACGCCCTCAGTGCGGTCGGTTTCAGGAACATTGTGTAGCGATTGCTGGTGACACACACACACACACACACACACACACACACACTTTACATATTAAGTATCTGTTTCAGAGTTTTAACCTATAAATATAATGACTGATTAATTTGGACCAAAACTCATGTGCTAAGATTTTTGCAATCTCATAGAATCAAACATTAAGAACTCAAAAGTAGCTTACGGTTGGTTCTAGAACCTCACTTTGTATAAGGAAATGGGGCCCCAGAAAAACAAAAAGGTGTTAACAAATACAAATGGTAACAGTGCTTATGTTAAGAGACATAGAAATGTAGATGGTTATTTTTTTCCCGTTATTACCCCTACATCTCTACAGTGGTGATAGTATCTTTATAATGATAAAAAGTATTATTTTAAATGCACGAGCCAACAGCCAGCATCCTTTTAAATCCGTCTTTCACCTGTTAGGCCACTTCTGCTGAGAAGCTGAGAGAATATGGCCTGTCCCACATCTGCAGCCATCCTGTGCTGGTGACCAGAACCAGGTCTTGCCCTCTTATAGCACCCCCGAAAACACCCCCAGTGCCTCCCTGGAAACTCTTTCGTCAAAAAAGGAAAACTGTTATAACAGATGAACCTCAAGGTATGGTTTACGTTGTCTGAACGTCTTCCAAATGAACACCACTCTGTATGGAGATCTCGTAGTTTCATTCGTAATGAAATGTATGTCAAGGCAAACTACCCAACATTACACCTGAAGCTTCATTCAACTTGATGTCTACTTTGTAAAGTATATTATTGTCTAACCACTATGAGGTATACCTGAAACTAATAAAAAATTATATTGAATGTAAGAAACAACAACAAAACAAAACAAATATACTTTTGATTAAATGGGAAAATTTATGACTAAATTTTTTATCTTTAAAGGATGAATTCTCCACAAAAGAAGAACATTTTTTGGTTCATGTCTAAAACTAAACATATATCAAGGCCAATCTATGAGTGATGGTATTATGGTTATTGTGGTAGAGAAGTAGTTTGTAGTAAGTATGTAGAAACTTAGGTGGTATAGGTTAAGCCACTGGAGTAAGTTTCTGATATGGAAATCACTCTAGGGTGCCCTGTAAGACGCAGCCTTTGACATAACTGGATAACTGGTTTCTATGTGAGCTTCTGCAGGAGTAGAGCTCCCGTCCTGGATGGCCTCCTGTGTTAAGGTGGTCACACAGGCACTGAGTGGCGGCATTGTCCTCAGGAATAAATAGATCCACGCAGACTGAACGAGGCAGGAAAACTGTGCCCACCTCGCTCTTACTCTCAGCTCATTGCTGAATTCCTCCCAATTCACCTCGAGGTCTTCAGTCCTTCAATATATTTTTTTTCTTTCCAAGTCTTCACTGTTACTCCTTTCTCCGTGGGCACCAACTCTGAATGGAAGGGAGACCAAGATGGCCAGAGAAGAAATGAATGAAACCACAAATGAAAAATCAATGTTCAAGTAGACGTACAAACACAAGGAGATGGAATTCAAACCAGAAAACACTCACGATTTAAAAATTGAGACCCCGCTGAACAACTCCTAATGGGTTCATGTTTCAGCATACAGAGCCTTATTCCTTCAGCACTTGTAGTTTATCATGAAGGATGAGAAGAAAATTGGAGTTCCATGAAATACATAGTTCACCAAAACTTAAATTGTGTTTAATAGTAACAACAGCTTTTGGTCATTTTGTGGCATTCATTTTCTCGCTTTTGCATTTTCTCCCTCTGCTTTTTCTAAGACCTCATTACTGTCTAGTGTATTCACCCGTCAGGGGCTGTGTTCCCAGGTCTGTCACCTGACTGAACAAGGAAGACAAAGCCACAAGAGACATACCTAGAGCGAGCTTATAGAAAGCATCCCTGTGAAGCTATGAATGTGCTGCGAGCATTTGGTCCCATGAACCATGGCTTGAACCTCTTTGGTGGTGATTCTTGGTGTGGCCCCTGCTACCAATTTAGGCATCGCTGATTCTCCTTTGCCGGTGGCAAGAGGAGCACCTCCCAGCCACTGTGTTATACACATTTCTCAGTGCTACGCAGGGTCCTAAAGCTGCAGCAGCCTCGGGCATTGGAATATATACCTCTTCCTTACTTCCCTCTTCCAACCATCATTCCCACATTTAAAACATATACATAACCACTGTTAACCATGCAATTTTCCTCACATTTGCGTTCTGCCTATATTTCTACAACCTGTACAGCTTGTAGCAAAGAGTTCTCTAGCACCAAACATTTTATCCCTGCCAAAAGGGAACAAAGAATAAAGAAATATCTGGTTTGGGTGGAGAGGAGGAGTGGTCAGTGCATTCTTTTTTTTTTTTTTTTTTTTTTAATCCTCACCTGAAGACATTTTTGCATTTATCTTCAGATAGAGCGGGAGAGAAAGAGGGGGGAAGAGAGAGAGAAACATTGACGTGAGAGACACATCGACAGGCTGCCACCCACACCACCCCATCCGGGGCCGGGGACAAACTGCAACCCAGGTACATGCCCTTAGCGGGAACTGAACCTGGGACTCTCTGGTCCTCAGGCCGAAGCTCTAACCGCTGAGCCAAACTGGCCAGGGCAGTGCATTCTTTATTTAGGCCTGACTGCCTCTCTCCCTCCCGTTAGAGGATTTCAGTCATCTCTGTGCATTCCTGTGTCTCCGCCATGGGCCATTTCTGCCAAAAGTGTCGTAAGACTCTTGAAAGGAAAGAAAATCTCTGACTTTTAAGTAGAATATTTTAGAGGAATACATGGAGACACACCTAAAACCATTGTTCATTCAGATCATCAAGGAGTTGCTAAATGAAAGGAAACATATTACACATACAGATATTTTCTGATTTCATTACTGATTCATGTGTAATTTCTACTTTTGCTAACGGCAAGAGAATCTCTGGAGTGGTAGGATTATAGATGCATTTCCCACCTCAAGGCTCACCTCTGTCTGTCTTCCTTCCCTCTACTGGGTTGAATATTTGGAATGAACACTAACAGGAAGTGGAGAGAGAGGTCACGTGAGACGTTACCCCAGAACACGCACAGAAAAGTCATGCTCATATGTCACAGCCTCAGTTTCGCTCCAGTGGGCATCCTCTCATTTAGCGTCCACCAGGCTAGTGTACAGTCTGTCCCATATCCACTGACAGTTCCTTCCAGATCCGCTTCAGACTCCTGGGAACGTCCACATGTCCTTCCTCGGCACATTGCTCTCTTTGCTACTCATGACCTTTACTTTGCTACATTTCTGTTCTTGCACTGCTACATCCATGTATTAGTCCACATTTTCTCTTCATGCCCAAAACTATTGCATAGGGATTAACTAAGAAAACACCTTTTTTTTGGTAAAAGACTTTTCTAGAAAAGTCACTCCTGTATCTGAAATAGCAAATGCCAAGTAATAATACCAAAGGACACTGCTAATGTTCTCCACTGAGATGTTATTGTTTCATGCTGTAAAGCTGAAAAAAAAAATTGAGGAGTAAGCTAAAGAAATCTCAAATTGGCATGAACAATAAGCTTTTTCAATTGAAAAAAAAAACCTTATGTATCCTAAGACATTCCTATATTCTATTGCATTTTATTGGGTAAATAGTAGTCTAATTAGTATTGCATGTAATCTTAGAAAATGAGAGAAAAAAAAGTATATCACGCTGTCTGTTTCTTTTTAGAAATAATTGTAAAGAAGCCTGAACAGTTTCTTGAGATATCAAGTCCATTTTTGAACTATAGAATGACTCCGTTTACAATTCCAACAGAAACGTAAGTACGTTACATTCTTTCCCACAGATATATCTTGCTCTCAAAAAAGGAGTTTGTGGTTTGTGTGGTTAAAAATAACACTACATGGGAGCATTTTGAAAAATATTAATTTAATAAAAAGATGAACTACATATATAAAATCTGTTAAAGGACATTTCTTGGATCTTGTATAGCTTGTGTTTTCACTAACCCACTCAATCAACAGACATGTTTTGTTCACCTTTCATGTATGAGTGTTCTGGGCTTATGTCTACATCCTGCTGAAGTCCGTATGTTGAAGCACTGACCCCCGTGTGGCTGTGTTTGGAGACAGGGCCTCTAAGGAAGTGAATATGGTTAAGTGAGATCACAGGATCTGTTACCCTCATAAGGAGACAGAACTACTCTCTCTCTCTCTCATTAAAAATAAGACCTAAATATGTCTGGTTTTACAGCTTTGGTTACTGTTTTAGAACAATAAAATATTTTGTTTTATATATACATTAGCCCTGATAAATGTTTTGGCTTATTACCTGATAATTAAATTACAAAATCAGATGATTGTCATGGAAACCTGGGAGATGAAGTCTGTCATCCTCGGGGGTGGGGGGAGAACTGAACATAAGGACAAAGACAGCAAAGAAGGAGGAGGAAGAAGAGGAGCTGGGGGAGGGTGTGGAATTCAGATTTAATATTATTCATAGTGACAAGAGGAGCAGAAAGAAAGACTGTAATCCTAGGTCTGAAGTTTTTAATGAGTTCAGAGAACTGACCAGGCAGTCCACTAACAGCTGTAATAAAAGGGGATAGTGGATGATGAGTGGAAGGTATGATGATTTTCACTAAAATCATGGTAATTTATATGCAGCAGTAGATAACAAATACATGGTTATGTAAATATAGCAAAGATGATCAAATCTACACTTAATTTTTTATACTTCAAAATTAATTGTACTTCAAGTATCCCTCAATAAAATTGTAAAAATAACTAATAGCATGTAAAATGGTTTAAAAATCTAATAAGAATTCTAGAAACACATGCATGTGTTTAATCTTGGAATAGATACAGCAAAACAGAGAAATGGCAAAATGGAAAAAGGTCCAAAATAATATCCAGACTGAAGCATAGAAATTAAGGAATAATCATATATATATATATATATATATATATATATATATATATATATATTGAAATTATCCCCAAAGTAAAAAAAAAAAGAACAAGTCAAGATTCAGGACTTTTAACTATTCTACAAATACACATTAAGAAAACTAAAAGAAGTCTATGGCATTAGAAATCGTGACGGTGGCCATCGGGGCGAGGAGTATTGGCTGTGACTGGGCGGAGCATCTGGTAGGGTGGGGGGAGGGGCACTGGTTGTGTTAATATCCCTTGATCTGAATAAAGCTGATTTGGCCATGTTTACTTTGAAGTTTTCTAGCAAGGTGTACATTAATGTTTTGTGTACTTTTTGAATGTATTTTAAACTTCAATAAAACTTTATTAAAGTTATTGAATGACATATTATAGTTTACACTTATAATGACCATTAGCTATGGTTTTAGCCTTTTCTTGGATATATTAAAATCCATGATAAGAGCATAAGCTGATGAAGAAAAATAGTCAACATTTAGCTCAGAGGTCTGTTTATTGTATTATCTTACTCTTAAAGCCTCTCTACGTTAGAGCCAGTTAATTTACATTTTATGGACTCTATTAAGGTTGAAAATATGAGTGATATTTCAAATCTGTTACCTTGAAGGCTCCTGCTACTTCCGTGCAGCCATGGTGGGGCCCTGAGGAGTGGGTGGGGAGGGGCCAGAGGCGCACCAGGAGGCGGACGGGTGGTTAGCAATGCCAGGCCTCAGGGGCAGCTTCATAAACAGAAAAGACCGTTTGCTGCTACTTCTGTTTTTTAAAATGTGTTACTGTTACTAATTTGTAAATCTAATTTTCCTCAAACTCTCATTTTCATTTATAGTAAATTTTATTTCAGGCACAACCCTATCAATTTCTATGAAAGTTTTAAATAAATTTAATTAGCTGAATTTAAGCATATTTAATTGCATTTACAACATTACTACTGTATATTTTATTTTCTCTTTAAGTACTTTAAATGCCAGAAATTATAGCAAACAAAATCTCACCAAGTGCTACATCACATTAAAAATTCAAATAATCAAACTCTTGTATTTGTGGAGCCTTAATTTTTTTCTACACATATTATTGATCTTTACAAACCAAACTTTTCTCATGTTTTAACTTAATCATAAAGCTGAAATTAAAATTAAGATTAATGCGTTGGATAATGTAACATGCCAAATTATTACATATGTTACAAATGCAAAGTTCCACATATACACAGAATGTTCCTAAACTTAACATTAAAATATAAATGATTCCTAATTTTTCTAATTAATCATATGATCAATATTAATGACCCAGGAGATGATGTTACCATTTCAGATACTTTTTTATTTTCTCTCCGCTTATTTAGGGTGCATATTAGTCAGACATTTTTGTAGATTGTAAGAACAGAGTCTGCAAACCACCAGGACAGATTTCTCGTGATTCCAAATGCCACCCAGACTTCTAAAATCTCTATGTCAATAGGGACCACAAATGGATTGGTTTTATAACCTGAATTCCCCAGTTTACTCTCTTACTTGATTTTCATATGCTTTCTTTCAGCTCTATCACTTGATTAAGATGGATTAACTTCTATAACCCAGATCCAGGTGGCTTTAGCACTAGATCAAATTCAACTAACCTATTTACTACTTGAAACTGTTAAGAATTTGCTACTGTATGTATTTGTTTTATCTGTCTGAGACAAAAACAAGAATACGTGAATGGCAATTTACCCTGTGAAAGAAATGTGCCTTCTCCCGCTTTGCTGTAGTCACAGATCTCAGGTCAATATAAAAGCAAGTCTTTTAGGGGGGAGCCCTCAAAAGTGACTGTTGCCACCACTGCCTTTCATTGGAGCAGTCACTGGAACAACAGGCCAGATTGACCCATTCTGGGCTCCTGACTGGCGAATGGAAACCTCATAAATATGTTTGTGCTACCCTCTAGTGGCAGCTTCAGGTAAATCAGAGATGTTGAGCCTGAGGTGACTCGTTTTACTGTACACTAGACTAGTAAGGAAAAAAAAGTTTAGGAAGTCTGTATACATGAAATTTAATTTTAACTCTGAACACATTTGCCTAAAATTATATATGTATACATATATACTGTAGCAAATGTCTTTTCATTGTGCTTATAAATTTCTAGCTATGCAATGGTGATAATGGGGTCATATTAACAAGTAATTGAAAGGAAATACTGTAAACTTTGGGTAGTGATTATAAAAGTCTCAGTTATAAACTTAAGTGCTCAAGAATCATAATTAAATCTGACTCTGAGCTTCTATTTCACTCATACATTACCCTGGTACTTAGGTAAAGCAATTCTAAATGTTGTCAAATTCCTACGTCCTGATTCTTATCATTCAAAATTGACAGCCATTGCTTTAAATAAATAGTGTTTCAGAACATTTTTACACAAATGCATTGACTGATAGAGAATATTTCTTTGGTAGTATAGAAATAATTTTTATGTTCTTGACAGGACAGAAATATGATTGGTTGTAAAATAATAAGAATGATGAACAAAATAACGTTCTGTTGTTGAAAAACTGTAATTACTTAATATACAATAAAATATCATTGAGCAGTAATAAAGAAGGAAATCTTGCCATTTGCTGCAACATGGGTGGACCCTGAGGGCATTATCCTAAGTGGCGTGAGTCAACCTGAGAAAGACAAATACCACTGTATGATCTCACTTTATATGTGAAGTTTAAAGAAGAAAACAGAATAGAAAAAAACAAAAAACAAATTCATAGATACAGAAAACAGATTGGTTAGATTGGTGTGTGGGAAGAATGAGTGAAGGGGGTCAAAAAGTACAAAATTTTAGTTATAAAATGAGTAAGTCTTGGAGATTCAATTTGTAATGGTGAATAATATAGTTAATAATACTGTATGTATATTTGAAAATTACCAAAAGAGTAGGTCACACACAAAAAAATGTTAACAATGTATGGCAGTGGATGTTAACCAGACTTGTGGTGATCATTTCACAATGTATATAAATATCAAATTATTAACAATACAACTGAAACTAATATAATGTTAGATGCCAATTACATCGCAATGAAAATTGCAGTTACTTAATAGTAACTTTAAAGAAGAGATTAAGATAACGGAAGTTTGTTTTTGTTTTCCATTAGTCATTTTGTACAATCTTTTGTTAAGAAAGGGATGCCCCTGGTGTCTGGTTTATCTTCCCTTACTGAAAATGATGAAACTGCAACCTTGACCATGTCAGACATAAGTCAAGTAACAGGAACTACATCTCAGGTAACTATGTTGCTCTTATTATTGACCCAATTCTTACTTATAATACATTTTTCTTCAATTTTAAATATGTTCTACATAAAAAGTTGTATAACATGCATCTGAACAGAATAAAGAACACTATTACAACAAGCTTCTTATGTACCCATCACCGGTATTAGCAAATTGAATATTCGTCTCTTACAATAAGTCCCCTGTGTGTCTGTCTCTCTTCTCGGTTGTATTTCCTATTTTCCATTCAGAGTTTGATATTAACTCTGTACACTTCTCATTTTCCAAAGTATACAGACGTTTATAAACAATATGTAGCTTTGTTTCATTGTTATATAATTTTGTTTAAATGGACTCTGGCATTAATGCTCCTGGGCTGCCTTTCACTTAACCTGGTTCATGGGATTCATGTCTTTTGTTGCATGGTCAGTTCACTCATTTCACTGGTCACAGGGAGTCGAGGCGTAACTTTCACGGTGGCAATGCTATACCCACTGCTTGTTGCTTATCACGGAGCAAGCAGTGGTACCAGACTGTCCCTGAATGTCCCTGCACACATGTGCAAGAGTCTTTTAGCTCCGGAGTTGGTAAATTTTATGTTTCATGGCTCCCTTTGTCAATTTTCTAAAACTTTGACGCACAATAGAAACAAATCATCTCTTTCTGTGCATGAGTTGAGCACTTTTGTTAGGGAACAGGGGAAGGCAATGTAGCTGTCTGGGTTAGCAGTGGGAGAACACACAAGGTCACTATTTGGTGGTTGAATGACTACTGAACATAGTTGCTAGATAGTAGGCCAGCTACAGGTCACAGGAATATCTGTAGACAAAAAGATATGACCACCTGAAAGCTAACAATGGGCCTAATTAGTGCTGTAATTTCAAAGTAGTGATCAGTGATATTTTAAGATATTTGCAACAATTGGAATATGAAGTAAAATATTTTTATTTCTTTTGTGGATAAACTCACAGTTACTCATAATATTGTGGCACCTCGTGTCCATTGATACATTGATAATTGAAGAAAATGTTGAACTTGGCTAAACATGTCATTTTTCAAAAAGATCCATGTTCACGAACTCCTGAAATCTACGTGCTGGCCCCAGTGCATGCTAGACCAGGAAGCTGCTGAGACCCGACTCTGGGAGTGTGACTGGTGTCGCACAGGGCGTGCATCTATTTAATGCTGAAATGAAACACCAAGCGGTTTTCAGCATGGGCGTGTGCACACCCATTACGTCAGCACTGGAGGAGAGTCTTCTGTGTCCACATCCTGGTCAAAACTTTCATTGGCTGACGTTCCAATTGTTGCCAGTGTGGTGGGTGTGAAAATGTATTTGTTTTTAAATAGGGAATCTATTCACATTTTCAAAAATAAAAACGATGAGGCATGCTTTTAGAAGTCTTAGAAGTCTTGTTTTCCTCTATGAACCTCTCCCGCATTTTCACTGCTCTGCCCTTGTAGGACACTTTCAGGGTTTGTTTCTTTTATCCTCCCCCAAGGTCATGGTGATTAATTTGGAGAAGAGAGGAAGGGGTGTTGTGTGTGCGGAGAGAGAGAGTGGGGGAGAGAGAAAAACATCGATTGGTTGCCTCCTGTACTCATCTCGACCAAGGATTGAACCCACAACCTCTGTGGAGTCCCGGACGATGTTCCAGCCAACGGAGCCACCCAGCAAGGGCCAGGGTTTCCTTATTTAAATAAAAAGAACCACACACGCTGTTCCACTACCTCTTTTTCTACTTAAAATTTAACAATTAAAAAAGATTTTTACTTAACACACACTGGAAATAATTTCATATGGGTACTTACACAGTGTCTTTGTTCTTAAAGTTGCATAACTTATTATATGAATGAACCATTGTTGGTTAAGATACCTTGGAGAGCACACCCTCTTAGACATAAACACATTTTTAGTATTATTTGAAAAGCAGAAACTTGAAGATGAGAAATCTTTAAAGGAGAATAGACTTTAACATTTTTAAGGATTTTAAAAAGTTTAAACCATTGCGTGCAATAGTATTAAAGAGCCCAAAATTATCAATGCGATCCTAAGAGCAGTCTGTCTTACCCCTCTTCAACCCTTAGGCTTCCTCCTCACGATCACTTTTATTTTTTTATTTTTTATTTTATTTTATTTTTTTGGTACGTGCCCCTAGCGGGGACTGAACCCGGGACTCTCTGGTCTGCAGGCCGAAGCTCCAACCGCTGAGCCAACCAGGCCAGGGTGTGATAACTTTTATTTTATTGAAGTGTTTTTTTTTTCCCTTTCTCTATTGATCTTCATATTTCTAAATTGTAGGCTTCAAGAAGGCAGAAATGTTGGCTTTATTATATATTGTTTCTCCCTCAGCACCTATGAAAATACATCTTACATGGCAGACACCATTACAAACTTCTTACATGACCAGATTCTGTTATCTCTGCTAAATGTGTCCAGTTAGGCATCCTCTCTTGACCTCCTCTGACAGGTGACAGGATTCAGCTCTCCTGTGCTCGCTCACCCTCCCATACCTCTGCGTTCTTCTATCTTCCAGATTTGGTTCACTTCACAAGTTTTGGTGAGTCGCTATTTTAGCTATGTCAGGATCACTACTGCGAACATGGCTCTTCTTATGCAATTTCCTGTGCAAGCTACATACTGCGTTGTCTCCATGTATTTGCTTTTCTATGACACATTTCCAGTCCTTCTTAAACCCTGGGGGCGGGGCGGGGCTCCTCCTGAGCACCACCTGTCATACACTCTCACGGGTGTGACGTCACCCGGGGACCTGTGCCCTGCGGTTTCGGTTCGGTTCACGTGGATGGAGACCTGCACCTTCATCTTGGGACTCCTTTCAGCTCTTTGTTCGGGTGGATTACTTATTTTCCAGAAGCCATGCTCTCCTCCTCGTTTATCCTCTCATTTCGATGGCGCACATCTTCCGATACCTCCTGAGAAACTGCTCCCGGGAAGTGGGAACTCCGGGGACTGTGTCTTCAGAGACGCACGCCACCGCCCACCTGGTTCAGACGGTGGTGGGGTGCAGAATCCGGATCCTCTTCCTTCGTCCCGGGCTTCTCCCGCCCAGCCCAGCTCTGAGAACACAGCCGCATTCGGGTTCTGCGGCTCTTCTGGCCTCTTAGCAGGTCTTAGAATTTCCTCCTCGTTCTTGACATGATGACACTTACAGCGCTTGGCCGTAGTGGGGATCTTCTTGAATGAATCACCTAGACACTGCCGGAGCCCGTTCAACCTGGGAACTCGTGTGCTTTGGTTCTGGGGGGTTTCTGAACGCCGTTTTCTCGTTACAATCTTCAGTACATTCACGCTGCTGTGCAACCATCTCCAGAACTCACTTCGTCTTTCAACACTAAAACAGCATACCCGCCAAACAGCAAGTCCTCATCCCCCACCTCCTCGGGCCCTTAAAACCAACATTTTAATTTTTGTCTCTAGAAATCTACTTTAGGTATCTCATATAAATAGAATCATACAGCATTTGGGGTTTGTGGCTGGCTTATTTCAATTAGTATAATATCCTTATCATTCATCCATGGTGTATCATGTGTCACAATTTCTTCCCATAAAGGCTGAATAATATTCCACAGTACGTATGTACCACATTTTGCTTATTTATTCATGCATCAGTAAACACTTGGTGAATAATGCTGCTATCAACATTGGTGTACATATATTTCTTTGAGATGCTGGTTTCAATTATTTGGGATATATACCAGATGTGGAATTGTTGGCTCATATGGTCATTCCATTTTTAATTATTTCAGGAACTGCCAGACTGTTTTCCATAGAGATGCACTATTTTATATTCTCACCCAGAGAGCACAGTGGTTCCAGTTTCTCTTCATCCTCACCAACACTTGTATTTCTGTGTGATTTTAAATAGTAGCTGCCCTAATGAAGCAGTTATCTCATTGCAGTTTTAATCTGCATTCCCCTAAGGATTAGTGGTGTTGAGCATCTTTTCATTTGCTTGTCGGCCAGTTGTATATCTTCTTTGGATATATGTCTATCCAAGTCCTTTGCCTATTTTAAACATTGTTTTTATGTTGTTCTTTGTACAACTTGTACAACTTCTTTATATGTTTTTATGTTAACCCTCTATCAGATACATGATTTGCAAATAATTTCTTTCACTGTGTAGGTTGCATTTTCACTCTATTGATTGTGACCTTTAAGTAACAGGCGTTTGTTGTTTGTTTGTTTGGGTTTTTTTTTTTTTTTTTTTTTTTGATGTGGTCCAATTTATCTGTTTTACTTTTGTTGTCTGTGCTTTTGGTGCCATAGCAAAGAAATCTCCCCCCCTATGTTTCCTTCTCCAGGTTACAGTTTTAGTCTCTTTGTCTTGTGTCAACTCTACCAGCCACACTTTCTATTGAATATATTTTAGTTTCTAAGAGCTCTCTTTTGTTCTTGATTACATTTTTGCAGATGTTTATTATTTAATAGATGAATATCCTCTTGGTTTTCTGATAGTTACTAACTTAAAATTTTCTCCTGCTCGTTTGTTTTCTATGAATCTTCCCACCCACACCCACTTGTTTTTTGTACTATATAAGAATCATTCCTCAGTTGTCTTGTGAAACTTTGCTGAATATATACATTTAAAGAATTTATGACCATAAAGAGCTACCCATTGGAAGCAGCATTATGACCTTGACAGACCTTGTCCACTGGGAGCTTTAATTCAGGATAACTGGGGATGAAAGAGCGTCATTTGGGGGTGCATTAGCTCCAAATGTTAGATGCCCTGAGGTTTTCCCTGGGCTTTGGCAGTTTATCCACTTGAGGGTCTTCCAATCTCCCTACTGAGGTGGGATGGAGTCACAGGGATAGGCACACTCTTATCCATCAGTGTTATTGAAGCCAAGGTTCGGCACATGGACCTTTACTTAACCCTTCTCTTCTCTATACTGTAGACTCCCCTGCTTTCCATGGTGCCTGTGAACGGAGATCTGCAGGTCTCCCCTGCAATTTCTTCACTCGTAGCCACCTCCAGTGTCCCGTTCAAGCAGAACAACACTAGGTGTTAAGTGGATGAGAGAGAACTGGAGATTGATCTGTTCTTTACAGAGATATTCAACCCATTCCTGGATTTTCAGCCCCTATCTCATCCTGTACTTCTCAGATACCTGCTAATTGTTTCTGGGGTCCTAAGGCTTATGTGGGCTTCCTTCTCACCAGCACTTAGTATCCAGTTGTCTTTATTGTATTTTCACTTTATACCATCCAAAGTATTGTCGACATTACCCATTATCAGGATGTACACATGTACACCATTTTAACGTTTATACTTATTTTAATTGTGTTCAAAAGGAAACAGAGTTAAATGTGAATTTGACCTAATTTCTGTTAATATTTGGGGGAATCATTTTTATTATTCAAAACCAGTTTTTTCTAGGCTCTGTCCATTAATTGCCAATCATACGCTCATTATATTCCATCCATATTAATAATAGGTGCCGGTACTAAGTTATATATCTACTTAGGGTTGTTATTGTCTCAATTTAACTTTTATTGTGAGATTAATTCATTTAATACACTCAGGTATTCTGTATTTTAATGTCAAACTTAAACCTTCCATGAAGCATTTAATCAAATTCACATCTTTTGAATTTTAAGGTTAAAAACAAACTCTCTGTTTTGCTGTTTGCTTTAGTAAGTATTTTCAGAAATGTATTTCCTCAGTGTTTAGAAGACTGTATTAACTCTTTTAAAAACTGTGGCACTGCACAACTATCATGTTTTGTTGAATTTATAAATGGTTTTTTAATGTACTTTTTTTCAATCCCCAGGGTAACATTGCTTTACAAGTTACGCATGGAAAAGGTAAATTAATAATCTTGTCATGACTGTTGCTTCTTGACAGCTGTGTGTTCTCCTCCTGGCTCTCGGAAGCCTCTCTCCAGTGTCTCCTGTGATGTAATGAGTCTAATCTGCCCTGGGCTGGAAAATCAGATAATCTCACTTGTTTTCATTCAAGCTTAAAGTTAAAATAAAAGATTGTCTGATTAGTTCCACGAGTAAAATTTGAGTGTTTTAATGCATGCATGTGGTGATCAAAGCACTAAATCTATTGCAAATTTCTAGTTCCTAAATAAAGAAGACTTGTCCCAACCTCAAATCCCAAAAAAGTGTTAGGTAGAAAACTTAGGTTTAAGAAGTCTGTAAGAATTTTATGGAATTACTTGATGAGCATGAAACAAGATCAGGTAATCACCAACTGTGGGGACCAATAAAGTTTCTTACTGAAATACATTAATTATAATAGATCTTTCAAGTTCTCATTTCTCCTTCTGTTGTCTGAGTCATCCCCTGTTGTATGAATAAGTCTATCTAGAGCAGTTTTTAAGTGCATTAAAATTGGTTTTTTAATGTACTTTTTTTCAATTCCCAAGGTATTGAAAACCAGCTGATTTCTGTTATAACTTTATAATCTCTAAAGCATCTGTGTGCAAATTTACGAAAGGAATTAGAAATTTCTAAAGACTCTATCATGCACATGTTATGAATACATTTTTTGAGTGTGTGAAAATGTGTCTCTGTAGGGACCTCCACAAATGTGAGGCCTACATGGAAATGATTATCTCAGTAATGTTTTCTCAAAAATAGACTTTGAGCCCTGGTCAGTTTGGCTCAGCGGTTAGAGCGTCGGCCTGCAGTCCAGAGAGACCCGGGTTCGGTCCCCGCTAAGGGCACGTACCTTGGTTGCAGTTTGTCCCCGGCCCTGGTCGGTCGTGCGGGTGGCAGCCACTCGATGTGTTCCTTTCACGTCGATGTTTCTCTTATCTCTCTGTTCCTCTCTCTCCCTCCCACTCTACCTGAACAAAAAATGGAAAAATGTCCTCGGGTGAGGATAAAAAAAAAAAATAGACTTTGATACGTGAACCTCCCTCTCTAATTTTCCATGCCTTAATAACTTAATACTTAACAACATAGGTGTGTTTGACATGGTTGTCTTCTTCCATGCACAGAAGAACTAATAGACCTTGGATTGAATGAACCAGCCCGTACAATTGACAGATTCAGTTTGGAAAAAGATTTGCTCGGCGTGATGCCAACAATACCAGATAAATCACAGGAGGATCTTATAGCAATGAATACTAGTGTTTCTAAAGAAATATGGTTAGATTTTGAAGACTTCTGTGTATGTTTTCAGTAAGTATGTGTGTGTGTGTGTGTGTGCATTTAATATAGTGCATATATAAACTATTAATTTCTAGCTATTATTTAAAAGAGTTAAGCCAATATTAGTCTGGTGTTGATATAATATCAAACAAAATTGTTAGAAGGAAAAATGTCTAAGTTGATTGTTCACACAGAACATTAAGAGCCAACCCATTTTTTAGGCCAGTTTTAGCTTATCCTCAAAGACTTATTTGTTAATTAAGATAAAAGCAGTTATCCACTGAGATCATTTTTGTCTCTTTCAGGCAATTATTTTAATAGAGTTGTTATTTTTCCTAGATTTAGTAAGGTATAATTGACAAATAAAATTTTGATATATTTAAAGTGTACATGGTTTTGAATTGGTATATGAATACATTATGAAAGATTCCCCCCTATCAAGTTAATGTATTTATTACCTCACATATTTACCTTTTTTAATGAGAACATTTAAGTTCTAGTCTCTTAGTAAATTTCAATTATACAATTCAGTGTTATCCACCATCGCCAGCATGTCACATACTATTAGATCTTCAAACCTTATTTATCTTAGCACCGAAAGTTTGTACCATTTTATTAACCTTTCCCTATTCTCCCACCCCTCAGCCCCTGACAACCACTTTTCTTGTCTCTGTGTTATTATTTTGTAACTTTCATCTGTCTTTGCCTTGTTCTGCCCATAACTGAGTCTAACAAATTTAACGTGTAATAATAGTCTATTGCATATAATGACAATAACCTGTAATAAATAATGTTTTTCAGGAATCTATTCATTTTCCACAAGCCAAATTCATATTGCTTTAACTTTCAAAAATCAGAATTTAAGGTAAATATAGTATGATCTTGTCTTCTCTTTCCCGTCTTACACTTAAATCTTTGATAGAATCGTGATAGTAAAAATACACTTAAATTTAGCATTTCTGAACTTGTGACATAATATATTTTAAAATTAATTCTTAAGGTTTCCAGATCATTATTATCCATATAACAAGCAAAATTCTGCTACCTCTTATCCCCAAGTGGAATCCATCTGATTATGTTGCAGTGGTTCATTATTATAGAAATTCACATTAAGAGAGTTTTGATTTAGGAATAAATGAAGGAGAAGCATAAATCAATTCACTATATTTGATTTCAATTAATTGTTTACGGAAGTATATGCCCGTCCACCCACCCACCCACGTGATGTCAGCCTCTTTAGGCAATATCAGTACTGGCATGAGGTGGGAACTCAATAAAATATTGATGAATGAATAAATTAACAAATGTCACCTTGAGTGGAATTTTTTGGAAAACTAGGAAACCCATTCTGGGAAAGTAAATTGCCCTGAAACCTGCCTGTTGCCTGCATGGGCCGTACAAGCTGCCCTCTGCCCCAGGGATAGTCCCACGTGGCGTGAGCAGCAGGCAGAGTTGGGGGAAGTCAGGAATCTTCTAGATGACTTTCCATTGCACTTGGATTAGATGAAAACACAGAAAGCGAAAAGCTTTGATCGTTCCTTAAGAGGTGTTATGTGGTTGGTTGCCTGCTTTGAAAGTATCAAATCTGCAGTAGTGACTCCGGGTGAGGGTAGCGGAAACAATGTACAACCAAGTCTTGGAGAGTGTATCTATGAAAACACCCAAAGGAATGCTTTGACTTTATGAAAATAACAAAACTTTTCGTTGGAAATAACTGAACCCAGAGTATGACATGAGAGTAATACACAGCTTACAATTAGCTTAGCAATATATCCATGTTCAAACGATTTGTAAAAATAAATGACAGTCATTTATAGCTGGCTGCTTACTTTATTGCCATCCCTGAACTAAGCTCTTCATCACCTTAACCCCTCATGGCACACCCTATGAAAAGACTATTGTTATCATGACTTTGCAGATAGGAAAGCTGAGGCAGACCAAGGTTGAGTAAATTGCCCAAGATCACCAAACTAGTGAGTGGCACAAGCGTCCCGAGGACGGGGTTGCGTGGCGTGGAGCGGGTGCTGTTCTCACAGGGGGGCCTTTGGAAGAAGCAGAACAACAGTCTGGAGCAACAGTCTGGTTTGGAATCTGTGCTCCATTCGGGGAGGGATTCTGAGGAGCTTAGTTAAGTTCTCTTTGCCTTTGTTTTCTTCTCTGTAAAATGACAGTAGTAAGAGACCCACACAACAAAGTTGGGGAATAAATGGGATAATGTATGTAAAACACTTAGAAGTGTTACTTCTTCTGCCTGTTACTTAGTAAGTGAAAATAAATGTTGGCTGTCATTATTAGTTACTGAGAGCAGTTTGCATATGGGCATTTATTATACATCACCATCCTAATATATATGTGTATGTGTTTGAAAAATGGCCAACTGTTCTTTATGCTGATCCTATTTTTATGAAGTGATGGTAAATATATATTTTTTTCGTTTAAAGTCCCAGCTTGGTAAAATAAAACGATGGCACCTCTATATGAGTCTCTTCATTACCCTGATTTTTTAAAAACATCAATGATATGAGAAAATGATAACTTTTTCTTAAAGTTTGTTGGAACCCAAACTCAACGACCTTTAGTGTGGCCCCAAAGGAAGGATTGGTTGTGGCCTGAGGCCGGGATTTCTGATTCTAGTGGCCACAGTACTGCCCAATAAGCTGGGGGCATGGAGCCTGAGGCCTCTCCTGGGCACCTTCCTTAGATGTCCCCTTGGTGCTCAGTGTTGGGGTGAGGCAGGGGCTCCCAAAGCTGTCTTGTGTAGCACCAGGGCTGTCCTCTCATGTGATCTCCAGGACCATCCTACCCCCAAATTCTCAGATTTTTAAAGCTGACAGTAAATGAACTCTGCTTGGATAATCCACTCAGGCATACGCATAGGGCGAGTCAATCCAGGGTCCTTTATAGGTTTAAATAGTGAACATTTGAAACAATGGTCTCTATCCCAACATGTAGCTAAACAGAAACAAAGGAAATAAAGCATCAAATGCGAAATATTGCAAAATACTAGGGGAAGCCATCATTGAACCACTGTTACATTCTATCAAGCATTTCTAGCAATCTTGTTACATTTGATTAAATAACAAGGTTTCATTTTTCACAGTATTATGAGAGGTTTTTTCTTTCATATTTTAACTGGTTATTTAAATATTGTAGTAAAATAATGTGAAAAGCTTTTAAAGCATAGTGACAGTTAAATCAATTTAACACATTTACCATATACCATCAGTCAAAATTATGTTGAAGCACTGAGGATTTGAGATGCAATCATAGCACAACTGTCGATATTACTAGTCTTGGAGTCAGGCAGACAGAAAGACCTATTTTTGAATCTCAGCTTTGCTACTTGCAAGCTCTGTGACCTTTGGAAATTACTTACCTTCTCTGTGTTTCAGTTTCTTCATCCATAATTACGGATATTAGTAGTACCCTATAAGATGGATTCTACATGTAACTCTTATATGGCTGTCCTCTAAGGGAATTTTTGGTTTTGCTCAGTACTTTCTTACATGTCCAACACAAAAATCCAGCCTGGTGCATTAGCATGTAATGGACATATTTCTGAAGGTCTTGTAGAAAGAAGGAAGGAGAGGGTCAATATCACATGACACCCTGTAAATACCTGAGTATGTTCTATTAGACACTTCCATTCTTTGCCAAAGTCACTCTGTGGCCTCTCTGCATATCGGGGACCCATTCCCTGAGCAGTGCTCAGCCTTGGTGCAGTCTCCTCTTCTCTTCGTCATTCCTGGGACAAGCATATCCTTTCTCGTTACTCATGGAGACCAGCTTTGACTACCTGCTATGGGACCAGTCCCACGCAGGCCCTGCAGACCCAGACAACATTCACTTGCTATGATTTTCTTCATATCATGAAACCTGTAAAGCATTTTTTGTGGTGTCTAGAACAGAGTACGTTCTCTGTAAATATTAGGTATTGAATTATTATGAGAAGTGGGGAATACAGCATTTGTAGGCTAATATTAAGTTCAGTTGTTGGTCTGATCTCTTGCAGTTCTCAGATGAGCGTGTGTCCTACTATCTATTTGTGGATAGTCTAAAACCTATTGAACTACTCATTTGCTTTTCTGCGTTGGTACGCTGGGGAGAATCTGGAGGTAAGAGGACTCTGAAGTTATAGACTGAAAGCCAAGCTCACTTTCATTCTCTCCAGGGGAAATACAATGATACGATTTTTAGGCTCTGGATGAGGGATTCATTTCCTCTACAGACTCCCTGGGAGAGGGACACACCACCTCCTGTGATCGTCCTACTCTCAGACGTCAGGCATTGTGCTCTCTCTCACCACCCACACCTCTTCCCAGTCATCTGTTCACCTCTGGCACACCCAGGCCCTCTGTTTCTGATTCTTTCAAAATCTATTGAAGAACATGAACCTTTCTTCTTTACTTTGACAATTCTTAAGATATTTTCCTCATCCCACTTTGGCCCCCTCCTTTCGTGAGTATACTTTAGAACTCATCGTACCAATAACGGCATCATCTCCACCATCTCAACTTCAAGCTCTCCGACCACCTGGTCCTCCAGTTCCCTCTCTCTGGAATCTCGCTCCTTGGACTGTTTGAGTCCACTGGGACCAACATCCATCCACCCCACCGCTTTTTCTCTTTCCATCACTCTCCTCATTCCCAGCACATTTACCATGGCCCACCATTGTGATTGCATTCTCACATGTACCTCAACACAATTCTTTTTATCCGCTCGTCTTACTTTCCTGGGAAGATCACAATATTGGTTGAACTCAACAATGGAACTCTGCACCAAACCTGCGGTTACATGAGAGCGGCTGAATGTAACTGAAGGAAAAACAGAACCATACCAGCTAACCCCACTTTAAATCAAGGGCCACAGATCTCAGAAAGGCCCCTGGGCACTGATGACACTTCTCAAGCGCCTTGATTCTCCCCGCCCTCTTCTCTGGATGACTGTCTCAGACCTTCCATCTCTCCCTTCAGGTGTCCAATACGCACTCTCATGCTTACTCATTTCCAACTGATGAGTGTGCTGCTGTTTTCGCTGAAGAAACAAAAAATCATAAATGACCCGCCTCGCCTTCCCAAATGGGCTCTCCTCAGCCCCTTGCACACATGTACACAAAATCATTTGTCTCCAACTCAGACGAACAGTACCTGGCACTGTAGAGGTTCAATCAATATTTTTGAGTGCTTAATATTGAGTATCTTACCAAATTTGAGGGCAGAGACTATGATTTTTCACCAAGATGTAGCCAGTGTTTTGAATGGTGTCTAGTATGTAGTGAGTGGGCAATAGATACCTGTTTAATTAAACTGGTCAAGCTTTAGTGGTGCAGACTTAGTATTTCTACCTACCTAAGAGCTCCTAAGCCACAGCATGTCCTAAAACATGTAAATTCTATGTGCATAGAGGTGTTTCAGGTCATGTTGGGCCTTATTATGCTCAGTTTGAGTGTTATCTAGAAATAAGGTAAAAAGCTAAGTCCCAGAAGTCTAATGTGTAGCACAGTGACTAAAGTTAACAATACTGTATTGTATATTTGAAAGTTATTAGGACAATAAATCTCAAAAGTCCTCATCACAAGAAAAAAAATAAAGATGTGTGGTGATGAATGTTAACTGAACTCATTTTGATGATCATTTCACAATATATCATATATCAAATAATTATGTTGTTCACCTTAAACTAATGCAATATTATATATCAGTTTTATCTAAATATTTTCTTAAATTTAAAAAAATATTTTACCCTTAGCTACAAATGAAGAACAGTCAATATTCTTTATTCATTTTTAGAGGAAACACTTAATATTACAATTAAATATTAATGTTCATTATTTGCTATTTCTACACCCAGTCAAAGCTAAGAATCAAAAGTAAAAACTTAGGTAAACAATGGACTATTTTGATCTTCCTGAAAATATCTTATCTTCCCAGGTGTGATGTCTGTGTTCCTTTTTTTAAATTGCATCTCGAGGCATATGGTAATTACTACCGTAGATAAGAAGGATGATCGCATACTGCGATGCGATGTCCTGCTCTGTCCTCCTTTTCCTGGCTCTCCCGTTCCTGGGGTCTTCGCCCGGGGGATGATTATGGGGAAGAACACAGGACAGGGCGGAAGATCTGGGTTCCACTTGAGGATGATTTCCAACAATTATTTACCCAGAATAATTTCTAATGTTTTATGAACATTGAGAACATCTCTATTTCTTGATATTATTATGATCACTATTATTATTATTATTATCATTATTATTATTAATGTTGTGAAGTGAAGGCTAGCTACACTCGAATAATAAACTTCTAACACTTTTTGCTGTTCCCAGCTCTTACGAAGGACAGCCCCCCCGTCGAGCCCGGACTGCTCACAGTGGAAACGTTTTCCTGGAAATCTCTGAAGCCACGTGATCTCATTCTGACCATCCACACTTACAACACCAAGGCGTCTGTGGTTCGCCTGCCCATTGGGTAAGGAATGGCTTTATTTTTCCCATAGTAAGAATTCCTTTAAAGCCTACTAAGCTATTAATTATTAAATAATCAAACAATATGAAACTTCAGATAGTGTTCTCTAAAGTGATTTGAGGAAGAACAGGTCTATCATGATGGTTCTTGGGGACAAATACATTTTTTTAAAATGCTGTAAAATAAATGCCCCTTTTGGAAGATTCATAATTGTCAGTCTAGTAATTTCTTTAGTAAAACATATGTTGAAGCCTGTTTAATCCAGCATTCGCTAAGAATCATTTATTGAAAAATCCTCTTAGTTTTCTTATAAATGTCATTATATTCCTTAGCAAGAATTATGATTTTATTTAAAACAGATGGAGAAACAGAGCCTTTTTCCCCTGCAAATCTATAGTTTTAGCTGTAGTTTATTTTCAATTTCACTTGTAATTTTATTTGTGATCAAGATAAAATTGACTAATTGCATCACATTTTCCATTTTAAAGAAAATGGGTATAATCAAATAGTTTTCTTCATTTTGATAAATAAAATGCAAAATATTACCTCATATTTCAGATGAAATAAATTTTTTTCCTGGATTTCCCAAGATCAATCATGCTAATTCTATCTGATCAATGACAAGTTATGGCTCTGGTCCAAAAAGAAAAGCAGAAGCCACAAAATCAAATGCTAAAATAATCTGTGGCAAGCATCTAATATTTCTCAAAAATAACAAATTTTAAAACTTTAATATTTCTCTCATCTGCCCTAAAAACTCTGACCTGGAGAGAAATCATCCCTCTTCCTGAGTGTTCGTTCATCAAGATAACTAAGGTCCGGGAACTAATAAAGAGGGACAGGGAGACCCAGAGACATGGGAGTAGGGTACAGACGGACAACCCTCAGAGGAGGGATGGGAGGAGGGAAGAGGTAAACCACAGGACTTATATGCATGTACGCATAACCGATGGACACGAACAACAAAGCTGGGGACGGGGTTGGGGGGAGGGGGAGGAAGGTGTCAATGGTGGGGAAAAGGAGAAACATCTGTAACAAAAAAAAAAAATTAAAAAAAAAAGAATCTTCTTAATGTTTTCCTCCACTGGGCATAACCTGTCAACATGTGTATTTTGAACATGCTCTAGTTGCTCAATAATTGAGGGAAAATGAATGTCCCTGCTCTCAATACCACTGCAACCTGGTAGGAGAGACATAAGCAACATTCATGAAATTAGGTGTTTCTGAGAAAATAACTGTGAAATCTACAAAGTCCTACACCACCACGAATTATGAATTAGGGAAAAATCAAGAGGAGCCTTTCACAATGTGACTGCAGGGTAGAGGAGGTATCTCCAGTGTGTGTACATGTGTCACTTAGTGTAACTATTTTTGCCTGACGGTTAGTGAAATGTAGATTCCGGGATGCCTGATGGTTCCTTACAGTGAAAGTGCAAACGTCTTTATTCCATTTGTGTTAAATAATTCAGTGCTTACTAAAGTTTGACTCTGAGCACAGATGATCAGCAAGAAACACACAACAGCCCTGGCCGGTTTGGCTCAGCGGTTAGAGCGTTGGCCTGCGGTCCAGAGAGACCCGGGTTCGATTCCCGATAAGGGCATGTACCTTGGTTGCAGTTTGTCCCCGGCCCTGGTTGGTTGTGCAGGTGGCAGCCACTCGATGTGTCCCTTTCACATCGATGTTTCTCTCTCTCTCTCCCTCTTTCTCCCTCCCACTCTATCTGAACAAAAAATGGAAAAAAATGTCCTTGGGTGAGGATAAAAAAGATAAAGAAACACACAACAGCAAGAATTGCACCAGAAGAAACCCTTGGTCCTCACCCATTCTCACCCCCCCTTCCCAGGAGACACCTGCTGCTCCTCACTGTAAGCTCCGTGGTGGGACACTCCTTACACGTCTGCAGTGCAGCAAGTTTTGTCATCGGCGACGAGGACACGGTGCTGCCCTACTTTGAGCCGGTAAATATTTTGGCCACTGTGACTTTTTTCTGGGGGCCTTATTTTCCAAAAAATTAAACTAAACCATATTCTTATTTTCTATTCAACTTACCCATTTTTTGTAACCTTTAAAAACTATCATAAGTATATTTTGCAAGAAATTCTTGAATATGACACATACGATAAACACTCTAAACTCTGTAGGGACACAAGTCGAATAATTGTAGCTCCTCTCCAAAAACTACCTCCACCTCTGCTCTCTCAGACTGTGTTTCGTCTAACGTTGCACACAGATGCCGCAGCACTTGTGGTCCTTTGGGAGGTAGAAGGGGTCAGTGCAGTTTCTCTTCATACAGTTTAAACTGTTGACATTCTATCTCTCCCTGGGCCTAAACAACTTTAAGTGTGTGCCCCTGGGGTCCAGGGGGAGAGGATCCATGGACGATTCCTATCACTTCCTCACTTTCTCCTCTGCTCCTGGCCTCTCCTTAGTCTCTGAAAGAGGAGAGAGGTGAATGGGGTCAGCGGCTCCCCTGAAGGCCGTCTTGGCTTTAGATGTCCTCTAACTGGCGTCCTCTTTAAATATGTAGGAATGTACATTTGGGGGACAGATCTGCATGGGGACCTCCCACTATAAAAAGTCAGCTTTATCCCTCCCCCTCACCTGGCTCCACACAGCACATTTGCATATTAATAAAATGGGATTTTCTCAGCCAGACTGTAAGGGTAGTAACAGCGTTGATGACCAACTCCCTCATGCTGTGTTTCCGTGGCCCAGAACACGTGGCTACGCGTGTTTGCCCCCCTGGGCCGTGGCTGAGCAGGCTCCCCGTGGCCGCCTGCAGTCTTGGCCGCACCATCTCCCACGAGGCCTCTCCCTCCTGCTCAGTGGACAGCGAGCCCACCATGTAAACAGATGCCCCTCGTTCCCTTAATGTGTTTACCCCGATTCTCTTATTTTAATTCTTGTTTTGTCTTCTCTTAAAAAAAAAAAAAACTGCTTTAGATAGCATGGATTATCTACTTTGTTTCTTTCATTAGGCGCTTTAACTCCCTAGGTGCTTAGTTATTTAGATCTGTGAACTCATATCTTCCTGGGGTTATCAGCTCCTCCATCTTATGCAAATTATTAGGGTTCCAGGACAGGCCCCAGTGTTCTCTAGCTCGAATGAAGAGGCGAAAGGGGACAGGCTGGTTCAACAGCAGCGAGGCTCCAGCTCCTTCGAGCCGAGCCAGATCACCCCCGGCGCTGCCCACTGCGCAGGCGGGGTTCACGACCATGGCCCCTCGGGGAGAGCCGCCCTGGAGGAAGTCTTCCCGAGGCTTCGCGGAGTTGGCAGGAGGTGATGGAGAAGTCGCTGGCAAGTCAGTTGCATTGCTTTTCATCAGCTTCTCACCCAGCCGGGAATCCGTGCTGTCCAGGACACCAGGGAACAAGGGTTGCACCGCGGTGCCCACCAGGGGAAGGAAGGGAATGGGCATTGTTACAAAGCTTCCCTCCAATTCCGCTCTCTGCAGGCTGCCTCCAAGCACCCTCTGCTCTGGGCCACTCCTCCGCTACCCTCCACACACCAGTCGAGATAATGGGCAAACTCCTCAGGGTTTTCTCCTTTTTATTCCGAGCTACAGAGTAATTGCACTCTGACATCCAGTTGTTACCCCCACCCCCACTTTTATTGAGGTATAATTGACAAATACAATGGTAAGATATGTAAAGTGTACATTGTGGTGATTTGATATATATTTACATTGTCAAGGATAGCCCTATCTAGTTAATTACCACATCCATAAACTCACATATTCACCTTTTTATTTTTTGGTGAGAACATTTAAGTTCTACTGTCTTAGCAAATTCCAATGATACAATACAGTGTCAGGTCCTCAGATCTTCCTCGTCTGTCTGCTGAAAGTTTATACCCTTTAACCAACCTCTCCCTGTTTGCCCCCTCCCCTGGCCCCTGTTTCTTTGCGTTTGACTGGTTTTTGTTTTGTTTTCTTATTTAAGATTCTACTTATAAGTGATAGTTTGAAGTAGTACTTGTCTTTCTCTGTCTGACTTATTTCACTTGGTACAATGTCCTCAAGGTCCATTTATGTTGTCACAATTCCAGGATTCTCTTCTTTCTCATGGCTGAATAATATTCCATTCTATGAGTGTGAGTGAGTGAGTGAGTGAGTATGTGTGTGTGAACACTTAGGTGTTTCCATGTCCTGGCTAATGTGAATGATGCTGCAATGAACATGAGAGAGCAGATACCTCTTCAATACTTTGTTTTCATTTCTTTCGGACATAGACCCAGAAACAGGATTGCTAGATCATACGGTATAGTTCATTCCATTTTTAACTTTTTGAGGACCCTCCATGCGCTTTCCCATGTCCCTATCTCCTCGCTTTCATCGTTTCCTCCTCGTTGAGAGCAGGAGGGAACCAGCAGCCCACACTAATTCTCCCTCTTGTCTTCTGAGTCTCAATTGCTCTCTCCCTGAACTCATCTCTGCCCATCTGTCCCCACACGGTGTTTGTCAGACGAATCCCTAGACATTCTTCAGAACTCAGTCTGGGTAGTGATGCTGCGGAGAAATCTCGCCTGGCCCCCATATCAGGTAGGTAGTCCTCTGTGTGTTCCCACGACAGCAGGAAACATGTTCCTTGTTTTGCGTCTCTGAGACAGCATCACCCAGCAAACGGCCTTGATGAAATACCTTCTCCATAAGTAACTATTGCATCAGCCATGTAGTAGAGATGTAACAAATCACACTTTTAAGAACCTAATTACATTCAATTACATGAAAGTGAGGCTGGCTGCGATGCTTTGTCTTCACAGGAGAGCTACCGGTTCACGGAGCAGTCTCTCATGATCTTGAAGGCTGTTGGAAATGTGATCGCTAATTTCAGAGATAAGGGTAAACTTTCTGCAGCTCTGAAGGACCTGCAGACAGCCCTCTACCCGGTGCCCCTGCACAACAAAGAGCTAACCGCACAGCACTTCAGGGTAAGCACGCTCACTACATGCATTATACAAAGTGACCCCAAATCAGAGCCTGAGAAACATTTTCAATAGAGACAATTTGCGGGGGAAGTGACTTTGGGAAGCAGAAATGATGGAGTAGGCAGAATGAGAAAAATGTGTTAATGAATGTGCTATTGATCTGGCCGGTGTGGCTCATGGTCAGTGTGGCTCAGTGGTTGAGCATCTACCCATGCACCAAGAGGTCGCTGGTTCGATTCCTGGTCAGGACACTCGCCCAGGTTGTGGGCCCGATCCCCAGTGGGGGGCATGCAGGAGGCGGCCAATCAGTGTTCTCTCTCATCCATGTTTCTCTCTCTCCCTCTCCCTTCTTCTCTCTCTAAAATCAATAAAGGAAAAAAATTTTCTTAAAAGAATTTTATATTGGCTGCTGTGGGCTGCTGGGCCTGAATTGTCCAAGGGGTTCTGATAGACGGTAGGACATCGCTCAGAAGGGTCCCCCTAAAGGATGGGAGATTCGGACACATCCACCAACTATTTCCCACTGGCAGAAGGCTGCTCCCAGGACACCCCCAGATACAACCTCCGGGGCTGAGTGCCCTTCAGGCTTCCCAGGAAGTCCTGAGGGAGTGAAACAGAGAGGCTTCGTGGTACCCCTAGGTCTGGGTTTTACAACTTAGACACTCTTGAAATGTTGGGCCAGATGATTTCTTCTGTGGGGCTGACCTGTGCACTGTACGCAGACGGCAGTGTGGCTGGCCCACCCCTGCAACACCGGCAGCATCCTGTTTTGACAACTAAAAATGACTTCGGACATTGTGACGTGTCCCCTGGGCAGAGGCATAGCAAATAAACCCACGGCACCTGGTTAATTTTTTTTTTCTTTTTTAACTGAAGACTTTATTTTTTCTAGAAGAGTTTTAGGTTCACAGCAAAATCGAGGAGAGTAAGGTCCAAATTTCCCACATATTCCCTGAGCCCACACAGGTACAGCCTCTCTCATTATCAACATCTCCACCACAGTGAGACATTTGTTACAGTCGATCAGCCTACATTCACACATCATTATCTCTCAGAGCCTGTACCTTACACCAGGGACCATTCTCCTGTTATCCATCCTAGAGATTTAGACCAACACGCGATGACTTGCATCCATCACTGTGATTGCACACAGAATACTGTCACTGCCCTAGAATCCTCTGCGCTTTACCTACCCGTTCTTCCCTCCCCCAGCTCCTGGCCACACTGCGCTGCTCACTCTCCGTGGTTTAGCTTTTCCACAACGTCTTATAGCTGGAATCGCCAGTACACAGGCTTTTCCCGTTGCCTCCTTTCACTTGGTGATACACCTTTGGGATTCCTCCATGTCTTTTCATGGTTCGACAGCTCTTTGTTTTTAGTGCTGAATAATATTCCCTTGTCTAGATGTGCCACAGTTCATCCACTCATCTGCTGAAGGACATCGTGGTTGCTTTCAAGTTTTGGCAATTGTGAATAAAGTGGCTAAAAAAATCCATGTATTAGGTGTGTGTGTGTGAACATAAGTTTTTAACTACTTTGGGTAAACATTAAGGTGCACGACTGCTGGATCCCATAGTAAAAGTACGCTTAGTTTTCTAAGAAACCACCAAACTTTCTTTCGAAGTGGCCGCACCGTTTTTCATTCCCACCAGCAGTGGAGGGAAGCTCTGTCCTCCGTCCCCTCAGCAGCATCCGGTGCTGCTGTGTCCAGACTCCGGCGATTCTAGTCACGTGTAGTGTAGCATTTCTCTGCTGACATACGACGTGGACCTTCTTGTCTTGCGCTCAGTCACCATCTGGGTGTCTCCTTGGGTGAGTTGTATGTTAAGCTCTGTGGTCTATTTTAAAATCAGGTTGTTTGTTTTCTTACTGTTGAGCTTTAAGAGTTCTTTGTATAATTTGAATAATAGTCCTTTATCACATGTGTCTTTTAGCAAGTGTTTCCTCCCATTGTATGGCTTGTTTTCTCTTAACATTTTCTTCCACAAAGCAGGAATTTTTTAATTTTCTGAAGTCTAGCTTATCAATTTTTTTCATGAATCATATCTAAAAAGGTATTGCCATACCCAAGCTCACAGTTTCCTCCTACGTTGTCTTTTAGGAGTTTTACAGCTTTTCATTTTACATTTCAGGCTGTCATTAGTGTTGAGTTCGTTGTTGAAAAGGGGTCAACAAGTCTGTGTCTCATCTCGCCAAGTTAATTTTATATGAACAGACAGCATGTGCAATAAATAGGAGATACGTATACTAAAAATTATTTATATGAAGAATTTATTTTACTTATTCCTCCTCTTTAACTGGGTATGGTGTTGTTGGGGAAAGGTAATTAAAAACAAAATCTCCAAACTCAGAAAACCTCTCCACAAAGATAGAAGAGGAAAAAGACAAGCAGTAAACCAGGAGGAGAGCACGTCACAGCAACCCATTACGTAGAGAGCAAGGACAGAAAGAAACCTCACCCTTTTGCATGGCCAAGCAGATCTAGTGATTACGGACATGTTCTCAAGACAAACGATCACCGGTGCTCAAAGAAAAAGCGTTGAGAGCACCATTCATTACACAGAGCGCATCCTAAATCCACCTGGTGTCGGGGATGGTTGATTGAGTGGACTAATTGGCTCTATCCAAAAGAAAAATAAAAGTCTCCTGTGTTTAGACGAAAGGTCGTTTTTGCGCTGTGGAGGTGGGTGCCCGACAAAGTGAGGCACTGACCCTCCGCCGATGCTGGGACATTGTGGCATCATCTCCCAGATGATTACTTTTCCAGAAAATGGTTCCCAGGTCCTCGTGAAAGACATGCCTGGCTCGTAAAGCTGGCTGGGGCGTTTTTAAAAGATTCACATACATTTCAAAGAGAGAGAAAGAACTTACAAGTATAAGTTATCTAAAGGAAATGCTCTAAGAAAAGGGAAGAGAGGGTTATCTTCCCTTGTTTGTCATAAAGAAAATTAAGTGTCTCATTTTCTATTCATATTTTTCTTTGCAGTGTCCTGTTCTTCACTTGGCAACCTTACCCGGGGTGCAAATCACTCCCAGTCAAGAACCACTCACCTGGGGCACGAGTAATATACAAGAAATCTCGGCCATGAGCTGCCTCTTACATCAGTAGGCTTGTGCCTCCTTTAGGTGAACTCTGTCACCCAGTCTTAAAGGTGATGGCTCCAGGTGGCTCAGGATGGTTGCCTCAAGCTCTAAGAATCATTAACTTACGTGACAAGGCAGCTACAGTGTCTGCTGCTGGCCTCAAGGCTATACTTGGTCTTCAGCATCTCTCTTGCTCCTCCCATCCCACGCTAGGTCTCCCTTTTCCCAGCCAGTGTTCCATCTGATCCAGTTGCTGTCCGGTGGGTGGCTCAGACCTTCCATCCTGATGGCTACAAGACCTTGGCTGTCCTACTCCGTTCAGGCTGTGATTGCTACAATCAATCATTCTTTGTAGAAGCACCGAGAAGTGTCCCTGAAAATGCAGACATAATTCTTTTTGTCCCCATTTTGTAGCAGAATCCCAATTCTCCCCCAAGTCAGTTATATATTGGTTCTTTTATTTTCCTGCTTGTCGACTAGGATGAGGAACTCAAACTCGTCCTTAAAATGAGGCATGTGTCATACTTTAGATTTATTGTAAATTATATTGTGTTCCCTGATGGGAACTTTTCCCGCCACCTACTTCCAGGAATTAGGTCCTCCATTCCAGCAAACTCCCTATTCTGGGGACACTAATTATTGCAAATGGGTCACTGGACATGATAATAGGAGAGACCAGTCCTACTTCTCATTTTTAAAACCCTGGTCTGCATGTTTTAGCTGCTGCAGTTGGAGGATTCTGCAATGTTTTTTGGTTCTGTACATACATACTGCATCCTGGAGGATGCTGCCTCCATTCTGCAGGGGTCGCTCCAGGTGCTTCTCTTACCTGAGCCCTTTGTATGCCATTCCCGTCCACCAGGAGTGTTCTCAGTTCTGTCTATGCTATATGTTAGGACCGATGTGTCCCGAACATTCCCCAGTGGTTACATCTTCACTGTGTAATGTGACCCTCGGTCTAAGGGATGTTAGGCTGGATCCCATGTTTGCAAATCAAATTTTCTGTAACCCTTTGGATATGATGCTGGCAGAGGTACTAAGCACAGGAAAAGCAAACTGTCATCGGAGGTTGGTGTTAATGCTAGTGAGGTCTGCTGTCTCCTTGATAGAAGTCCGCTGAAATTAACTTGCCACTAACAGCTGGCTGACTCCTCAGAGGATGGCACCGTATGGAAGGATTGGTCAGTTTCCGCTGCCGACAGGTTAGACAGCTAAGCCTGGGTGACAGAGAGCCCATGCTGGGCCCTTTCCTAGTCACCATCCCTGCCTCCAAGCTTACGTGTGCAGGAACCCATTGTCACTAGCCCGGATCCCATGTGAAAGGGGCCCTAGTGCATGCAAGCTCCTTGTAAGAGGGAGCTTTTTGGTAATAAAACATCTTCATTTTATACTTTGAAAATTGCACATCCATATGACATTTTTCAAAGAGCCAAAAATCAATAAATTCCAAGTTATTCTTGACAAATTAGGTGCATTGTATTATCATCCCATAGATAAGAACTCTCTAATTGGTAAATAACCTTAGTGTGTGTGCTGGAAGGTCTTCCGTTAGCAGGTTTATGACAGAATTGGCCCAGGTGATCTTTTCTTCTTTCCTGGGCCACCTAAACCCCCTGCAGACTGCTCTCGTGCTCTGCATCTGGCTCAAGGCCGATGGCTCTTTGAGTTGCTCAGTAAGTTCATTGGAATAATATTTTCCAAAGCAAAGTATTCTACTATCAAAATCCAGAGAGGACCACAAAGAACTGTCCTTCTTCTTCATTGAAATGTCTTATTCTTTACCTTAGAGGGAATGTCTCAGCATATCCATACCTTTGGATACATAAAACCTCCATTGATAGGGTGAATTCATGAATCTCTAGGAGTTTACTCCCACTTTCTAGCATGCGTGTGTCTTAATCAGGAATTCAGACAGAGTGCTGGACACTTTCTGCCTACCAAAAGAGTTAACTGAGTCATCAATCATTCATGTGTAGACCAGAGTGATGTACTGTAGAATGTCAAGATGATCAAGAACCCTGAATACTCAATTGTAATAGAATAAAAGAATTAACTTACTTATGTATTAATTTTTTTAAATTTCATCTTGAATATTGAAATATTTAGGGCTTTTTTTTTAGCATGTCACAGAAAACATCAAGAAGCTGGATGAGGATGTATTGATCTATTATAAGTATACAGGGACATTTCTTTGACACATAAAGATAAGTGACTCAGTAAGGGAACAGAAGACCCTTAGAACTTACCACCTTTTTTTTTTCTTTTTCTATTTATAGACACGTTTTCTCTACACCTAAGTTCACCTCATGGAAAATATGGCTTCTAAGTTTTAGATCCGTTTCCCATATGAAACCAATTTAGAATGTTCGTCCTGATTTTTATTATTGGCCAAAGTGACAATGATTTGCTCAGTGTGGGTTAACTGCTTGGCTCTCAGGCTGGCCTGGTATTGCCAGCTGATGGGGCAGGTGCACATGCAGGTAGTGAGGCCAGGTGCCTGTTTTCACACATGTGGGGAGGGACAACGTGCTGAGAGACAATATGGACAGAGCAGGAACTGAGATAGCCACTTGCCTTTGAAGGGCACTGCATTTCACCAATCCCAAGGCTCGTTTCTTTTCACCCATTAACATCAGAATGGAAACAGAGTGTGCCTTATAATTGCTGGTTCTGTATCATTGCTGCTGGTCAGGTAACCTCCAGAATTCTCTGTGCACAAGTGGAAGTGATCCTAAGGGTTCATATTGTCACTGCTTCAAAAGAAATGTGTGTATTTATATGTATTGTTTGACAAACACCTAATCCTTCTGGGAAGAAGATCCAGTGGCATAATAGAGGCTCGCAAAACAACATGAAGGAAGAGAGATTTTTCTCTCGGGTGGTTTTGCATAATCCACCCAGCAGCCCACTCCCCATGCACAGGTGAAGAGCCAGAAGTTAGCCAGCAGAGAAGTGTTGCGGTTTCATTATTATTCTCGGTGGCTTGACTGGATAAATGGAATCCCTCAGCATTTCAGGATAAAAACCATGACAAAATATTGAAAGAAGGAATGTGTGTGTGTTGTACTCTGAAAACTTTCCATCGGTCCCTTGGTAAGATCAATGATGAGCCAGGGCCCAAGCTTTCTGAATGGGCGTCAGTGGCTTGAGAAAAACCCCAGAACCAAAAGTAGAACATTTTTAGCCAATGGTGCATCTTCAAAGCCTTTGACAACATAAAGGACAACTTATGTGAGAAAAACAGGTGTTAAGTATTTTCAAAACATAATTTGTAAAAGTAGGAGTTTGAATGTGAATAAGGTTTTGGAATACTTAACCGATTTATGTAGCTTGCTTTATTTTCTCATGTATGTTTAAGTGTGATACATGATGAAAAACTGTCTAAATCTGAAACAGCTTTTTCAGTAAGAAGTAAATACTCTTAGATAATAAGAAAGTGATAAAAACTCTAAGTAGTTTATTTTCTTTCTTGTAGCACATGCAATGATAGTGTCTTACAATCCATGGCATCTTAGAATCAGTGAAATACTGTATTTAACTTGTTTAAGCTCAAGGACCATATTATTTTTTTATCGTATGTTGTATCTTTTCAACCAGTTTAATGTTATATTTTGATTGAGTGTACATTATAAACATTGTTATAGTGATAAAACTGTATTAAATTAGAAACAGTTAAATGTTAATATTGGTTTCTTACTGGGTGAGTATGACTTTGAAGAGTCTTCTTTTAGAGTGTGTATATATCGGAGAAATATATTTTAAAAGTTTTAGAGCAGTTAATTATTTTTAGACTTCTCTGACCAGATAATGGTATTGTATTTTCTTTGTTTAAAAAACACACTAACATATTTTTTTTTAAAGGTTTTTCACATTTCCTTATGGCGTTTAATGAAAAAAGCTCAAGTAACAAAACCTCCTTCAAACTTTAAATTTGCATTCCGTGCTATGGTTTTGGACTTGGATGTACTCGGTTCCTCCTCAGAGGACACTCCTTTAGGTATTGATTAATTTTAGATATTTATTTGGCAAAGGAATTTCTTGGCTCATGTGGAAGAAATAACTTTAGAAAAGTGTACTCAGCGTGTCTGTGGAGTAAGCAGTTAGAAGAGGTTTACGCCCACGGGTGTCCAGTTGAAGCTGTGCTCTGGGAAGCTCACGCGTGTCCCCGAGCCCACACCCATCCAGAATGTCCCCTTTCATTCGTTCCTGACCTTAAAAGTTGTGAAACTTCATAACACATACAATATGATTTAAGGAATTCTGGGAATTTTTCGGATCCTGGTAATACTCCTTTCCTCCTATTTCCACCATTTTAACATTCTCTTTTAATTCTGAGAAAAACCCTCTTGCTTATTTTATGGAAGAATCAATAGTTCACTAAGATGTCAATATTGAGTGTTACCTTCCCCAGAAAACTTGCTTTCTAAGGAAGGATCATGTGCAGAGTGGTGTTCAATCTAATGACCAGTCTATGGTTGTGCACTACGCCAGGGGGCTTTGGTAGCTAAAGGCATTGAAAATCGGGGAAGAGTTTAAATATAACTTTCAGTACAACGTTTGTTTTTCTCCTTCCAGGGGAATGGGTAGATGTTAAATACTGTGCCCCATTAAGTGATAATGGGGCAGTAATAGCAGCGACTAAAATCCAAGCCATGTGGAGAGGGACTTACATCAGATTGCTTATGAAAGCTAGGACGCCAGGTATAATTTTTCAATCACTTATAAAATGAATTTGCCTGTATATAAATATGTGTTTGGGTCTTTAATGAAAACTATTTTAGAGTCATCTTACTTTATGGATAGGCTGATCATTTTTAATTCTGAGTACTGAAATTCCTTGAGATCAAGGGGCATTGTCAGTACAGGCTGTCTCTTGTTCTCAGAATTTAGCAGCGGGTGGCATAGAGTAGGCACACAACACGTACTTGCTGAAGAATGAATGAACTGAATGAAGAGGTTTCCTTGTATGTCCACAGTGACATACATTCAGAAGGCCAAAAATGTGTTTTAAGTGTATTAATGTATTTATTAAATCAAATATATTTGTGCATATAAAATAAACTATTTTGTGAAAAGATCTATAGTAAAACACTGCAGAGGCAAAAATAATATTTAATTCTTTTTATTCTGCAAATTTTCCTTACATTTCCACAGGAAAAGCCTCACCTCTAGAAGAATTCTTTGAGTATGTTGGAAATATTTTGTTGTAAGAAATGTCTATTTGAAACATTAATAAGAAGCATCAAAATGTTTACCTAAGCAGTAAAATCTGCACATACACACATGTAAAACAATCTAATTACTTTACACAGTTTTGTGGTACAAAAAATATTACTGTTGCTGATTTTTGTATGTTTTTCTATTAGAAAAATAATTATAAATGTATCAAATTAACCATATGGTGAAATATACTTTTTGTTGTTCATTTACTGCAAAAATTACATTCTTACAATAATTGTTTTCACTTGATGGAGATGAAATTTGAGCAATTTAAAAATGTTTTGATAGTATTTGCATGTCTTTCACTCAGCACATTTTTAAAATGCTCTTTTGTGTACAGTGCTGTTCTAAACTCTGGCCTTACAGAAATCAGTAACACTGACAAGATTTCTGCCCTGACGAGCCTTGTGGTCTAGTGGTGGTGGCATTTGGTAGACAGATAAATATGCTAAAATATTACTTTCAGATACTGGTAAGGACTATGAAGAAATTGAGATGAGATCATTAGGAAAAATGTCAGTATCTGACATTAAATGTGAAGTTTTTACTATGGATTTGCATTTTTCTTGCCAAATCATTTACTCTTAAGCCATCTGTGGATTGTGCTTTAGATTGAACTTTAGTGGAATCCTAGTAGGCACTGTTTCTTAGAAAAATTGGATGGGTTATTTTTTCTGACAAAAGAACTTTCGTTAAGGAATTATAGGTGTGATAGAAAGATATGAAGTAAACTCATTAATGAGTATTTCAATGAGATCCAAGAACATTTTGTGATTTTTGAACTAAAAGTTAAGTGGAACAGCGTATAATGGCGAGCACAGCTTCTCCACCAGAGGGATGTTCCTTTATATTGTAAGCATAGTTTTGCTGCTAATAAAGCCTATGGTACCACCTGACTCATGAGTTTCAGATTCTTCTGAGGAAGGAATTCTTTGAATAAAGTAATCTTTCAGGCACCTTATAGCTTGTATAGTGTATTTTCATTGTCATTTTTAGACACAAAGGAAAATGCCATTGTTGCAGATACTCTCCAAAAAGTTTGGGCTGCAATGGAAGTTAATATAGAACAGTATGCAGTTTCCCTCTTAAGGTAAAGCAATATAGTAATAATCTTTTTTTTTAATTCAAAAATTTTTTTCAATTATAGTTCACAGATGATATTATATTAGTTTCAGGTGTACAACATAGTGATTAGACAGTTATATAGTTTATGAAGTGATCACCCGGATAAGTCTAGTACTCATCTGACACCATGTATAGTCTTTACATTATTATTGGCTGTATTTTCTATGCTGTACTTTATATCCGGTGATTATTTTGTAACCACCAATTTGTACTTCTTCATTCATCTCTTCCCCCTTTTCACCCATCCCTCCCACCCCCGATCTGGCAACCATCAATTTATTCTATCTGTGAGTTTATTTCTATTTTGTTTGTTTACTTATTTTTGTTTTTGTTTTTTTTAGATTCCACATATAGGTGAAATCATAGGGTATTTGTCTTTGACTTACTGTTGTAGTATCTTGGTACTGGAATTATTGAGAGAATTAAGAAAAATTGTTGGATACAAGATCAACATAAATGAACAATTACATTTTTATTTATAAGCAAGAAACAAATACAAAATTACATATATATGTAAAAATTTAAAACAACCAGAATTAATTAAAAAAGTGATGAACCAAATATCAGCATTTGAAATATAGAGGAACTCTAAGTCTGAGCTTGCCCCACATTGAGAGTGGATGCTTCATGCACCTCCCCCTGCTCCTGGCCCGCGGGTAGGGAACTGCCGTTGTCAGCCACTCCAGCTTGATTCGCTTCTGCTCCAGAACCTCTGTTTTCTAAACGGGTACTCCTGTGCTTAGTATTCCAATAGCATGGAGGTGCACAGAGAGCACAAACTTCTTCTCCAACCAGATTCTGCATTGTGGGGATGACCTCTGGGCCAGAAATTTCACCTAAAGCCTTACTTTCATGTAAATGAAGTGCTAAACACACGAGCTCCCTTGTTAGGGAGTCGGATCGGCTCCCTGTGGAGATGTCTCTGAAACACAGGCGTAACTTTTTCAGACCTGTCCGCCACGGTCAGGAGCATTTCCCAGAATCTAAGCGAATATCCAATACAGAGGCCATGCTCTTTCGAAAGTTTGAATTCCACACCCATTTCTATTGGACCCATGAAATGGACAAGTCTGACTGATCTTTAAATTTAAATGCCAGGGAGCATCCAAAGCTACCTCCTCATTTTAGCAGGCATTAATTATATGGTCAAGAGTACATCTTTTGCTATTAGACCTAATGCTAACTTCAGCTTTGTTGTCAGATGCATGGCCTAGGATAAGTTTCTTATCCTCTGTGAACTTACTTTTTAAAAAAAAAAAAAAATCTGCAATATTAGGGATAACATCCACCTCATAGTACTATTTCATTATAAAGTTGTAAAGATAAATTAAGGTATCACAAGAAACATACTAATCACAATGCTGCCTACTGAGCTAATACTATTATAAATCATATCTAGTGTACATTAAGTATTATAAATATTGCTATTATTATTACTGCTATATGGGGGGCTTTGAGGTCTGGGAGCTGAGCGTTTTGTTCTTAGATCATAAGGAGCAGAACTTCCCAAGTCTACTTTGGGCTCAGTTTACCAATAGGACGCTTCCCTCTGTCTTAGGATGCAAAGTTAAAACAAAACCTTTCAAGTCTGTCAGGGATATCTGTCTGGGTCATTCAAGATAGTCCACACAGCCCTGGCCGGTTTGGCTCAGCGGTTAGAGCGTCGGCCTGCGGTCTGGAGAGACCCGGGTTCGGTTCCCGCTAAGGGCACGTACTTCGGTTGCAGTTTGTCCCCGGCCCTGGTTGGTCGTGTGGGTGGCAGCCACTCGATGTGTCCCTTTCACATCGATATTTCCCTCTCTCTCTCTTCCTCTCTCTCCCTCCCACTCTATCTGTACAAAAAATGGAAAAATGTCCTCGGGTGAGGATAAAAAAAAAAAAAGATAGTCCACACAGTTCGTCAAGATTTTGATGGCCCTCTATTCATTAGAATTTCCTGAGGTGTATGAAACAGGGACGAAACTGACAGGAGCAGTGATTAGGCCCGCCCTCAGGTGATTGACATGGTGTTCTGCATTGCCAGAACACCACTTTGCAGTTCCTTGTGAGGGTGATTAGGTTATTTATCATCCAAATTGGGACACTCTTGCAGACTGAGGGAACACCATTTATTATCATGCTAGGACTATGGTCGTAAACCAGGCTGCCTCAGGCAAACCAGGATATATGGTCAGCCTTTGTTCTATGGAGGACTTTAAAAAGCTTAAAACCCTTTTGAATATAAACCTACCAATTCCCTCTCACCACCAAAGACATGATCACATGGACCTGTGAATACTTCCCCCATGATCATCTCCATGGCTTTACTTTCCACTGACAGGACAATTAAACAACCTTGAAGCCAAGAGCACCTCAGGCTGTCTAGACCTCTAATAGGGAACCCTTTTCTGTGGTCATTATGGCTTCCATCCCAGCTAATACCAGAGATATTGTATAACAGACCCTAGATTCCTGGTTCTAGATCAGTTCCTGGTGGAGTGGGAAGAATAGGGCCCGGAGAATCCCTCGCCTCACTTTTGTTACGTTTGGAATATGCCACAGCCTTCCAGGAGGCAAGCCCAGCAGGCAAGCACGGAGACCCGTCGGCCCGTAATTTAACCAGTTGCACAGACCACTTTTTCATGCAACAGAGACCATGTAAAAGGAGAACTCTGCACTCGTCCCTTGGTCAAGGCCTTCGTTTTTGTTTTTTAATCTATTTGTCCAAATCCATTCCTCACTTGAAACTCAATTCTAGTATCAAGTTCTCTATCTTAACTCCATAACTTCTGTGGCTGCTGCCCAGTTTAATTGCTAGTTTGCCTGCTTCTAGTTTTTCTATCCTTATAGCTTGAACGTTGGCACTGATTATTCACCTATAAACATAATTACTCCCTCAATCATGAGTTAGGTTCTTCTCTGACAAAGAACTTCAGATAACTTTGGGCACCTTGGAGAGACAGCATTCATGGGTGACCTGGGGTGGTCTGCCCTACTTTGGTGCCATGCACCATGAACCCCAAGGCTCCCCTTTGATCAAGGACTTAATCCAGCCAAAAATGGACTGGAAAAGTTTATGCTAATTTTGCCCATTTCTTTTTGTAAATAGAATTTATTTTAAAAGTTGCTTTTGCCATTGGTACTTAAATTATTTTTATGTTTCTAGACTAATGTTTAAAAGCAAGTGCAAGTCCATTGAATCTTATCCATGCTATCAAGATGAAGAAACTAAGATTGCTTTTGCTGACTATACTGTAACGTATGCAGACCAGCCACCAAATAGTTGGTTTATAGTATTCAGGTGAGGCTGTCATATATTGGTAAGCAATGTCTCCCTCAAACGGCATCAATACCATATGTGTAGAGTTTTATTCATGATAGTAGTGTGTATGAACTTTTAGATTGCTTTCACAGCTTAAAATTTTTCCTACATGCGCTGTGGATAAATGAGATATATAGAAGCATCTATCCATGTTTCCTTAAAATATGAAAACTGCAAAGTTAATTGTTAGAACTTTATATGAATATGATAACCATAATATAATACATTGGTGTGCTTTTAGTATAGAAAGAAATCATTTAATTTCTAAGCAATAGCATATTAGGTAGAAGTCACAAATTACTTACAAAATTGGATTTCTTAAAACATTTGCATTTACATGAGGAAATAACAGGTTAATCATAATTTTTAAAGGAAAATACGTGTATCTTGTAGTTATTTGGAACATTAAAGTCATGTTTTTTATTTCTTAACATCAAACCTACTTTCAAACTTTCTTCATGATTCATGTCAAGGGAAAGTTTATGCTTTTGTCCTTACAGAGAAACATTTTTCATTCATCAAGACATGCTTTTGGTTCCCAAAGTATATACTACACTTCCAGTCTGTATGCTCCATGTCGTTAACAATGACACGATGGAGCTAGTGCCAAAGATATTCCAAAGAGTGGTGCCTCACCTTTACACCAAGAACAAGGTAGGTGTGGCGTGTTCTCCCACACGGTGGGATGGCTAGGAGAAGCCTGCACATGCTAGAAGCTTCAGGAGGGGTTTGAGCAGAGAGGCCTTCAATCTACTTAACAGAGGAAGAGGGTCATGGTCTCGTTCTGTAGAAGTTCCATTATTTGACAACAGCAGGTACTAATGTGAGTGCTAGAACATTCGCCTCTCAACCCTCTTCTTCCTTCTCTCCAAAGAAAAGAAGGAAAGCAATAGAAATTCTCATTATTAAAATCATACAAACCCTTAACATGGAAATGGAGCTCAAGAGCTCACTTAGTCCTCTCCCGACATCAGAGCAGCTGGGTGTCTCAGTTAGATCTTTCTTCTATTCCTAAAAATTTCAGAAAACTGATTGCACAGCCGCTCCACACCCAGCACCGCATCTTCTCTAGGGCACCGGTAGCTTCCGAGGAGAGGAACACTTGGCACGTTCCTCCTGCCGAGTGACAGACCCTGATGTTCACTAAAATCATGTTGCCTCTCTATTTATTTAAATCTCATCTTTGTGTTTTTGGTCATTTCCTCTGAGGGGGAAGCATGACAAAAAATAGTGTGTTCGTGCACTGGTAACCAGGTGATCTATTTTAGCTGTCATCTTCCATTTTTTAGTCGTATGGCTTTGAACTTAATTTTTCTCTTTGAGTTGTGGTTGTAATTGACTTCTGAAGTTCACATCAGACTGTGATTCTATGCCTTATTTTGAGGAAATTAACACATACCTATCTAATAAGTACTGATTTATAGGGGAAATAAAAAATGTAATGACTCCATAAAATTTCTAATAGCTCTTTTGCGTTGTTTTAGAGGTTTTTAAAATAGGACTATTTTTTAGAGCAGTTTTAGGTTTATAGCAAAACTGAGACCTAGATTTTCTTTTGAATAGAAACATTTATTTAACTTGCAATTGGAAATTAATAATCACAAAGATTCATATGGAAAAGATTATTTCATTCAAGGAGAGACTCTATTAAGCTCATAGATGTCATCAAATTCTAGATTATGAGCTCTTTGTTTTATTAGATAAGTAAACTTATATTAGTCATTGACATTTAATTTTGGTAGGGTTTATCTGATACTTATTTACATATAGCAACTTTGTTTGGGTTTGGTTTTTGTTTATTAACCCTAAGTGTGAGTTTTGGGGGAGCTCCAAATCTTGCATTTTTCATCAATGTGCAGAAGACTATTCTATTTCCATTTAACTGTAATTTTTCATTGAAAATCCAGGATTGCAACAAAGATAGCACTCGCTCCCTCCAACTCACCTCTTCCATCCTCTCATTTAGCTAATTTTAGAGAAAGAGAGAGAGAAGAGGGAATGGGGAGGAGAATGACACACAATAGTTTCAGTGGTCTCTTTTGTGACGTGGTCTTTCTTTCTTAATAATTCCTGATCTTTGAATATTTCTCCAAAGTATCAATGTTTCTTCTATATTGTGATTTCCAGAACTGAATGTAGCTCAAAAGAAAATTTTGACCCACCTAAATGTAAGAAGGATAGTTATTCCATTGTTTGGTAGCTGTGATTGCATTGGCATTTAACACCTGCAAGGTATTTTGACATTAGGTCAGCATTTTTCAATGTATGTCCACAGAACTAGTGTCCCTTATGATATTAATTTGCTTTATCTCAATATGGTGTTCTAGATTAAAAAATAAATAAAGTAGGGTTAAACAGTTTCATTCAGAATTGTTTGTTGTATTTTTTTTTTTTCATAATACTTTAAAAATTGTGATTCGGAACACTCATTTATGAAGTTTCTCACTATGCAGCATACTATTATGTTACTCTTTTTACTCATTCTATATTGTGGTTTCCAGAACTGAATGTAGCCTCTAAAGAAATCATTCAGGATAAGCCAGGTGCTCTCTTAAAGTCCCATCAATGGTTTAGCTTTAGATTTCCACGTACCGCCATCTATCTATTCTTGTATAATTCTTCCCTTTCAAAGTTATTCTCTGAGTCTAGACAAACACAGAATAAAAGTCCTGTGGTTTTGTTTTGCTTCTTTGATGCATTAATACACAAGTTCAAATAATAATGAAAATAACAGTAAATCTTTGCATAACAATTTGCAAATAAAAATACTTTCCTATACCTGCTTTATCTTCCTTTCCCCCTGCTCCAAACATATCGGAAGGTTTAGTGGAGGTGCAGTTTTCATCTCAAGAGTATTAGAATTCTAGTGAATATTTCTGGACACTTATTGCAATCTTATTAATTTATCCTGTCTGGCGTATTCTTAATTTTTGTTTCTGGAAATCTAAACACCGCAGAGAGCTTCCTCACATCTGATGGCAACTGGAATACAAATCTATCGTTTTCTTTCTTATTAGAAGTGTCTGGAAGTATAAACTCAGAATTACTTTGAGCTCTTGTGTCTCTTTATGATATTATCCTTGTTTGTATCTCGTTATCAGCCCTTACTTCCCTGAGTCCTTGGCCAGGTATCCAATGATGCTGAACCGAGCTATTGCCCCTCGTGATGGCATCACTTCCCAGGCTCCTTAGCTGCTGTTTCTCTCCAACCTAAAAAACTCACCTCCAGGCTCACACCTCAGGTTTCTGGAACCAGATCTGTTGTGAATGTCAGAGCTTCCGCTGCTAATTGTCAGCCCAAAGGAACTAGACTTCCACAAACTCTTCTTTTCTCATCTTGCATTTAGAAAGACAATTCTGAGAAGACGGGGATACCAAGTAGGAAGCTATTAGGCTACTCCATGATGATGCAATGATAAAAATCTATTTTAGGAATCATTAAAAGAATTAGAAGAAAAAGTAGTATTTATTACTACAGTTAAGCAGTTTATTTTATAAGTAGGGAACCACACAAATCCAAGTGTTGAGTTATTCATGTTCTTTGAAACAAGTAAGATGGCTCTTTCTTACAGGGATTTAAAGAAATGCTACTGATTTAATGTTTATCAAAGATCTAGGGATCTTTATGTATAACAAAATAATAAAACGTTTTTATACTAAAAAACACACACATATTGTACGTTGAAGAAACTAGCAACAACGTGACTTAGTTCTGTGTAATTCTTTTTTCTTATAGAAAGGATACGCATTTGTGGCTGAAGCATATACTGGTGACACTTATGCATCATCCTCACGATGGAAACTGCGTCTCATCGGTTCCTATAGTCCACTCCCAAGCCTCTCTCGAGATTTTCCATGCAGCACCTTTGTCACAAAAGAAATCAGAGATTACTATATACCCAATGATAAGAAAATTTTATTCAGGTACAAGTGCATGACAGAAGGAGGAATGCATCCTTTTAAAAATCGTATTTTTATTACATTTTTACATATTAATATCATTAACAATAATACATTCTGTAGCAAAACTCTGAGTCATTTGGAATTTTAATTTTCACACTCCCTTAGAAACAATTAATTTAGAGAGTAATTTGATTATATAGATGGTGTACAGAATATTAAGCCTATGTGGTTGCATATAATGATAATAATACTATCTTAGTATCACTTGACTTTAATTAAACATCCTTCCTAACACTCTTTCCTCTTAGTACTTCCCCCTTGTTCTGCTTCTTCTTTGACCAGTGGGTTTCTCCTTATCTGTCAGCTAACCTTCTTTTCCTGCTTATCTGTATACTTTCCATGAAAGTCTCATTATGGACTCCACTCTCTTTCATTAATCAGTCCCTTTGATTCCTATTCCGCCTTGCCTCTCACCTCTAAGCCCTGCTCTCTATTTCCTGTCCACTACTTCAGAGCCTTGTTATATTTTGTCTGTAGAAATGCTGTTTTCTGGAATTCATGGCTCCATTGTATTCCCTCTTTTTAACTCCCTTTCTCTAACAGAAGAATTTTCTTTCTAACGCACATTTTAAAATGTGATTTCCTTCTTTAAGACCTTTGCCGCTGACTAAAGAATAAAATCCAAACCACAGGGTATGAAATTTAATGCTCGTGCCCAGCCATCAAATGCACCGTGCACTCTCCTGGTGGAACTAGGCACCATCTCCCGATGTATGTGCCACACGATTTTGCTTTGCCCGTGCCTTTTTGTTGTCTTGGGGTAGACTGGTTTCATTTTTATTATTTGTAAAAATCTATCACTTTAATGATGATTTTCAGCTGTCAAGTCCTCTGTTCTCAAACTTCCTGATATAATTAGTTGGTCTTGGTAATTTCCTACAGCCCTTTCTTCTTTCTGAAAATGTGACATCAAATTTTAGCTGGTTAATTACTTTTTCGTTTTTTAAATCCTCACCTGAGGATATTTTTCCATTGATTTTCAGATAGAATGGGAGAGAGAGAGAAAGAAACATTGATTGGTTACCTCCTGCACAACCCCAATCAGGGCCAGGAATGGAAATGCAACCATGTTATGTGCCCTTGACCGGAATCAAACCCGCAATTCTTTGATCCATGGGCCAACTCTCTAACCACTGAGCCAAATGGGCCAGGGCATTAGCTGGTTAATTTCACATCAACATCCATGAGAATTAATATCGACTGAAGGCAGAAATCATGTCTCACGGAAGAACTAACATAATGACTAATACATACTTAGCTTTCATTAAATATTTGTTATTATTAGATGAGCTGTTAGACTACTTATTATCTCTTTTTAATATATATTAGTCTACACAAAATATTTGGAAACTATAAATATATTATTAAATAAATAAAAGTAACACATAATTTAAAAAACTAGAAATAATTATTAGTATTCTGTTGTATTTTTTATGGTATTTTTTTCTAGTCACAGTTTAATATTATTAAAATAATAACATACAGTTTTGTGATCTGACCTTTTAACTTAGCATTATGATATGAGCATTTGCCAATGCCATTAAGATATTTTCTAACTCTTTTTCATGTTTGCCTAGCAATCATTCATATGGATATATGATAATTTTCTTAGTTATTGGTTATTCCTCATTGTGATAAATTTTTATTTTTTTCTATAGTATTAATAGAGATGGGCATACTTTATTGTAATTGTTAAATGTCTTATTATTATCTAAAGATTTATTATATTAAAGAGATTATGTTAAAAATTTTATACATATTGGTAAATTGATATTCAAAATGAAAATCTAAGTCTTTTTGACAATAATAAACCAATAATAGTTTATTGTATTCTAGTTGATTTTTCCCTCTAATTTTCATTTTTATACTTTTAAACTTTTTTCCCTTTAAAAAACATAATACGTTTTCATAATGGAAAATAACCAGCAATAAAATTAAATTACAGAGCTATATACACAGTATATGCTAAGAATGTTTACTTAAGCTTATGTTTATTTAAATATTTTATATATGTAAAAGTTTTGGAAAAAAACATACAAAATGAGGGCAATCTGAAGGGTGAAGGATTCTCTTTAATCTGCTGCTTGTAATATATTTGCATTTGCCTATTAGAAAGAAAGCAAGAAAAAGAAGAAAAGAAGGAAGGACACATAGCAGTAACTGAAAATAACAATTGTGATAAAATATTTCAGTTGCTCTGATAGGAGTCATTCTATGACATGGCAGAATCACCAGTAAACTAAGAGGTGATCTTTCACCTAATACCTAAGTTGCTCCTAGAAGCTGGTCCTAAAGCTGTCGAGCTGAGCAGGGGAGGAGGGAACTGCTCGGCTAACATTCGTGAAAGTTCATAAATTAAAAAGCAAATGACATTTCAGGGAACTAAAGACATCCATTTGGTTTGCCGGGTGAAGCGCTAGGGTGCCATGGCCAGGGGCACGGCTGGAGAGGTTGGATGCCTTTCCTTAAGGTCTTCGTAAGGCAAGCGTTAGATTTTAGCTTAGGGGCCATGAGATGGTTTGAAGAATTTTAAGAAAAAAGGCATTAATAGACTTGTGTTAAAATATTATGTCTGCAAAGCATGAATGGTATAAAGCTTTAAATATAATTTCTGAGAACAGAAAAATCTTAAAACCATGCAATTGTGAAATTATATTTAATCATAAAAGATATGGAATGTGTGTGGGTGCGACTCATTCAGAAGACTCAGCGTGTTGACTGGATGACAGGAGCATAACTGGGGACAGGGAGACCAGCCAGGAGGAAGTTTTGAAATAACCCGGGTGGGGGTTAATGACAACCGAAGTCAGTTGGTCTATTAGTTTGCTGTGGCTACCATAACAAAGTCCCATGAACTGGCAAAACAGGTGGCTTACCCAACAGAAATTTACCCCTTCACAGTTCTAGATGCTCAAAATCTGAGAGCGAAGTGTCTCTAGGGTTGGTTTCTCCTGCGGGTTGTGAGAGACAAACTATTTCATGCTTTCTCCTAGCTTCTGGGGAATTCTATCTTTGATATTCTTTGCCTTGGAGATCCATGACCCCGGTGTTTGCATTCATCTTCATGGGGCATTCTCCCTGTGTCTCTCTATTTCCGAATTGTCCCTTCTTTTAAGGATACCAGTTAGTTTAAGGCCCACCCAAATGACCTCATTTTAACTTTATTAACTCTGAAAGGCCCTATTTAAAAAAAAAAAAAAAAGGCGATATTGTGAGGTACTGGAGGTTAGGACTCCAACATAGCTTAACCCATAACAAGCAGTGACAGTGGATTGAGGTAGAAGAGAAAGGATTTTAAGAAACCGAGAAGTAAAACCAACAGCCTTGGTTGATTGGGACACTTGGGGTTTCACTCAGGGAACGGTTCACAGTAAGTGTCATTTACTTAGATAAAGGTTACAGAGAGAGGACCCCTTTGCAGGTTGGGCAATGTATTCATTTTAAAGTGTGTGTCCTGGCCCTGACCTGTTTGGCTCAGCGGTTAGAGCGTCCACCTGCAGTCCGGAAAGACCCGGGTTCGGTTCCCGCTAAGGGCACGTACCTCGGTTGCAGTTTGTCCCCGGCCCTGGTTGGTCGTGCGGGTGGCAGCCACTCGATGTGTCCCTTTCACATCGATGTTTCCCTCTCTCTCTCTCCCTCCTACTCTGTCTGTACAAAAAATGGAAAAATGTCCTCGGATGAGGATTAAAAAAAAAATAAAAAAATAAAGTGTGTGTCCTGGCCGGTTTGGCTCAGCAGTTAGAGCGTCGGCCTGCTATTTAGAGAGACCCAGGTCAGTTCCCGCTAAGGGCACACACCTCAGTTGCAGTTTGTCCCCGGCCCTGGTTGGGTCGTGCGTGCAGGAGGCAGCCACTCGATGTGTCCCTTTCCTGTCAATGCTTCTCTCTCTCTCTCTCTCTCCCCGCCCCCACTCTATCTGAACAAAAAATGAAAAAAATGTCCTCGGGTGAGAATAAAAATATAAAAACAAACAAAAAATAAAGTGTGAAATATGGTAAGCCGGTGACAATGTCCAAGTGACATTGCCCAGAGCACTGGGCTGGAGACACAGATTTGGGAAACAGTACAAATCAGTGCTCTGTTTCTTCCCATGGACGTGCCCAGGGAACTTTATACAGATATTTCTATGAATGTCAGTGGGAGAGAAGTCTAAAAAAACAACAACAACAACAGGCCCTGAAAGGAGGTACAAACGTTGTTATGCTCTAGTGGAAGAGTTTTCAGAGGAGGAGGAGGAAATGAGGTTTGATTGAACTTTTTCAAATTCTCCCGGAAGGTCAGAGAACATGAGAACCGGGAGTTTCTGTAGGGTGGTGACAAGCTGATGCAAAGGGTGTCAGCGGGCGTCTGGCACCTCAGCCAGGGCCAGAGGGGAGGCTGGGCGCCACTGGGCGGTGGTGAGCTGAGGACGCTGGGAGCGGACGAGTCTCCCAGATGGCGAGCTGGGAGCAGGGAGCCAGAGTCCAGGCCGACAGCAGGGCTGCTGAAGAGTTTTTTGGTTTGTTCTGCTTTGTTTCGGTCTGTTTTTAAGTTGGATGGGACTGCGTGAGTCCAAAAACCAACAACAATGAGGAATGGGGGGCAGTTAATATACAGGGGAGAGAGGATGCTTACAGGAGCTAATTTTAAGAGAAACTGAAAGTTGATAGGATCCTGAGCATTTGCAAGGATTCAACAAAAATAAGGGGAGGGCATGTGAAACAAAAAAATCTCTTCAACTGCATGAAGAGAGGAGCACGGATGGAGTTAGACTGCATGGTCCAGTCTTTTGCAAGAGATTTCCAAGCTGCAGGGTAAAGGCTGAGAGTACAGGGGGTGGGTACTTCTTTGGACTTCTCTGTATGTTGAGAACCACGGAGAACACTTAACAGCAAAGCCTTCCAGGGCACTGCCCTTGCCAGCTGTATCCTAGTCTGACGGGAGAGGAGGAGGATGGAGTATAGGTTTGCTGAGTAGTAGTTTACAAATTTTATAAGTGACTGCTTATCATATCTAAACAAAAAGTTAAAGTATCTCTTTGAGGTTTACTGGTAATAAAGGTCCCATACTTATTTTATTTTACCATTGCTTATTGGAAATTTTGCCAAAGTGTACAATAGCACTAGTTATTTCCAGGATTTTAGCTGACTTTGCAAAATGGTTTTCCTTTTAGATGATCATATCAGTAAATCATAGTTTCCTTCACGGATTTGAGGGAAAGACCAATATGCTTGCGTATACACTTGAATGTGTCTTCTTCATAGGTATTCAGTGAAAGCGACCGTACCACATCCTGTGACAATTCATGTGCGCACGTCCAAGCCGGACGCGTTCATCAAGCTACAGATCCTGGAAAATGAAGAAGTTGTAGTGAGCGCCACTGGGAAAGGCCAAGCTATAATCCCAGTGTTTAACTTCTTGGGGAATGAAAAATCTCTGAGCTCCCAGTGTAAGTGTGGCTTATTTATTTATTTTTTTCATTTCGTTAAAAAAAATTCCATGTTGACACGGTTGCAGTTGCCCCACCTGTTGTCACTGTAGCCCAGGCATATACCTTCGCAATATGAATAGGAGTTTGGAGGAGCAGAGAACTGAAAAGACACCACACTGTGAGGACATCACAAAGGTAGTGTGGTAGACACAGAGACATGGAACATGCACTATATTAGATTAGTGAGGCTGAGCTTGGGTAAAACGGCAAATTAAGCAGGGGTTTTGTTTTTGTTTTTGTTTGTTTTATGTTTTCTCTCTTCCACCATTGTCCCTTCATTCCTAAATATCCCCTGCATCATTTTCAGTACTCAGTTCACATCACCACTGTATCATTTTTCATTCAGATCTTCCTGCACAACCTCCAGAATCTCCATTACGCTCATGAAATCCCAGTAGTTGTTGGCCAGGCACTGTTAGGTGCTTGTGCAAATGAAATTGAGAAGACTCGAGTAGAATTCTATGCACACTTCTGAGCTCCTTTGCTTCTCAGGTGACTCCTCTCTGGTACCCTGCCTCACAAATTTTAGTTGTCTTACAAGGTCCACACTCCAGTCTTTGCTTCCTGGACATAACAGCACTGCTGCTCACTGTGCCCAGTTCAGAAGGTTCTCACAAACAGAAACCTGGGGAAGTAGAGAGATCATCTTGTATGTGCCTCTTCTTTCCAGGATCATAGTCATGGACTGTCTGTTGCCCAGTGACTACAGTTGCTTTATATGTTTTGTCCAATTTTATCATTTTTATGATATGAGAATAATCCAATGCCCATTATTCTGTCATGGCTGAAATCAGACTATCTCTATGTTATTTACTTATGTTCCCTCAATATACATTTAATGCATTAATTACTAGCAATCCACACATTTTTATTTTTCCCAGTGGTACTCATCATTGATTACACAATTTTAAATGTAGAAATTAGAAAGTAAAATGAAAATTTTTTAAAAGTGTGGTAACACACATACTATAAAACACTGAAGATGTCATATTGTGTGGTATTCGTGTCGTCGGCGCGGCATAGGATGAATGAGAAATTGTTGAGTTGTATATTCCTGTAGCAACCAGTGGTTGCACAGAAGATGTGTTGCCCTGTATGAGTCACATACTATTATAGTTAAGTTTCTTTAAGACCAGAATATTGCCAAGAAGCCAGTAATGTTGGTTTTTATCTCATTAAAACAAAACAAATTGACTTATCCTTTTGAGTGTCTTATAAAGGGAAATGACTACATAATACAGTCAGCAATAACTATACATTTCACATATTTTAACTTGACTATAATATTTTCCCTATACAGCCAGCAGGCAAATTCTTTCTGTTCATACTCCAACCAAGAAAGAGCAAGAATTTTATGTTAAGAAGAAATCTGCCCCGGGAAGTCAGAAATCCTACAAGGGTAGACCCGGAAGTGCAGTAGTAGACACTGGTCAGCTTATTTTGGAAGATGAAACTATCAGTATACCCACCATAGAAGAAAATGCTAGCGTACTACAGCAGGTATATTTACATTTATAAGAATTATTCAATAGTGCCTCTGCTAAAAATCTCACATTTATTATCTTCCCAAAAATTGTCAACGTATAATTCTCTGTATATGCAATGCCATAGGTGTATAACCGGAGTTGAAGAATTGGACATTAATGAACAGTTTTGCTATGCCAAAAAATTTACATGTGTGGCAAATTCAGTCTGTACACTGACCCTATAATGTAGATGTAATTATCTTATGTTACATATATGGTTATCTTATGTTATAAAAGACCACATAACTTTGAAAAGGGTCATACATTAATAAAATCTGATTTGTATATCTAAGTTAAAGAAATAAAAAATAGTGCATATAATTTAAAGCAACAGAAGAAAACAAGACCTAGCCATTGAAAAATAAATAAGAAATTAAGAAAATAAAGCGTCAGAAATGAATCCTAATATGACAGTAATGCAATAAATATAAGATTATTAATAAATTAAAAAGATAAATTTTTAAAGTTAGAGAAAGTCAGGATCCATAGAAAGTTTAAAGTTGAAGCAAGAGAGAGCTATGATGGTATTTTAATATCTCAATATATAGAAGTCATGAATATTACATAAAAATAAAAGGAAGAATAAAACAAATAAATATGTACAAAAAATGTAAATATCTAACTGTTCAGACTCAATAAATAAAAAGCAAAAACTATTAGAACTATGAAGAAAAATTAATGTTAACAATTAATAGTTGAAGATTTTAATACACACCTCTCAGCAACTGATAGATCAAGCTGAAAAAAAAAAAATGCTTATGATCACTAGTATTTGAAAAATGTAGGTATGTACAAACTTAGATATCTATATAAATATTTAACCTATAAGTAGGAAATATATTTTTTTCATAGCACAGACTGAAAGCCTCGATAAAAAACAAACTATATAGTATAGATTGGAACAAAATGCAATAATATATGTTAATAAACAGTCTAAAATTCCATAAATGTGGAAACAAAATAAAATACTCTAAATAATTTTTTAGTTAAAAAGAACAAAAAGAATTTATGAAATACAAAGGACTCAAAACAATAAAACATTTGAGATTAAAATTTGTAGGTCACATCTAGAGTACCATTTAGTGGAATGTTGACTTTTAAATTAATTCGTCAGAAAGCATGAATGATAAAAATAATAAGCTAAGCTATGGAAACAAAAAATCAGAAAAAGAGCAAAGAATTAACTCGAAGAAAAAAGAAAAAAATAACATTAATAACATTGAGGACAAAATTGTAAAATTTTAATAAATGCTAATTTTCTTAAACAATAATAAATTAGATGTGCCTCTTATAAGACCAATCAAGAAAGAAAATATAAATAAATCATTTATAGAACAAAAAATAAATAAACTGGAGGTACAACTCCAAACAATAGGTTTAAAAAATTAGAATATTATATATAATTCTATTCTAGCAAATTTAAAACTGAAAAAGAAAAAATATGGTAAGTTTCTGGGGGGAAAGCATGAATGGTAAAGCTGCTTCACTAGGAAATAGAAAATATAATGAGGAGGAAGAGGAGGAGGAAGAGAAGAAGAGAAGAAGAAGAAGAAGAAGAAGAAGAAGAAGAAGAAGAAATAAAACTTAAATAATAAAGTCTTATCTTTCCCAAAAACCATAGATCCAGCTGGCTTTACAGGTTAGCTTTAAAAAGCTTTCAAGTTGTAAATTATTCTAAAAAATAGAAAAATAATAAACTTTCCAATCTTTTCTTAGAGATTAATATAGTCTTAATTCAAAAGTAATAAATGTAACATAAGTAAAATAGTTTATTTATATACATGGATACAAAAATTATAAATACTAGACTATACCATGGCAGGTATTGGTGAGATGCGAGGATAAACTTTTATACACTGTGGTGTTACAGAATTTTGGAGAACATCTGATAGCATTTAATTAAATTATAATAATATGATTCAGAAAAAAATATTTATTTATTACATGTCTAAAATAATACATTCTTAAGCACATATGTTTATTTTTATTGATTTTGCTTAAACATTGCATTTTATTTCACAGGTTTCCAAGTATATTATACAGTGTTTAGTATTGTATGACAGTTGGCAGCTCACTGAAAGTCAACAGATGTTTGTTCAAGCACTAAAAGACTTGGAGAAATATGATAACAAAGGTATGTCACCCTAAATGTTCTTTATGCATTTAGTATTTTATATAAATATTTAATAGTAAATTTATCATGTAGTTATTGAAACATTTTCAACTCAAAATGGATTAAAGAGTTGATTCCTAAGACTGGAAACCATAAAAACCCTGGAAGAAAACACAGGGGATAAGCTCCTCAACATTGGCTTTGGCAATATTTTTTTTTTATTGACACCAAAAGAAAAAGAAAAATAAATAAGTGGGACTATATCAAACTAAAACACTGTTCCACAGCAAAGGAAACCACCATCACAGTGAAAAACCAACTCATGGAATGGGAGGAAATATTTGTGAATTATCTATCTGAAAAGACTTCGTATCCAAAATATATAAAGAACTCATAAAACTCTATGGAAAATAAATCTGATTGAAAATGGATAGAAAAACTGAATAGACATCTTTCCAAAGACATACAAATGGCCAACAAGTACATGAAAAGGTACTCAACATCACTAGTCATCAGAGAAATGCAAATTAAAACCACAGTGAAACATTACCTCCTACCTGTGACAATGGCTATAATAAAAAACATGTTGGCAAGGATGTGAAGAAAATGTAACTTTTGTGCACTGTTGATAGAATGTATATTGGTGTAGCCACTGTGGAAAACAATATGGAGTTTCCTCAAAAAAAAAAAAAAAAAAAGTACAACTACCATATGATCTAGCAATTTCACTTCTGGGTATAAATTAGAAGGAAATGAAATCACTCATAGAAATAACTGCACCCTCATGTTCACTGCAGCATCATTTACAACAGCCAGGACATGGAAACAACCTAGGTCTCCATCAATGATGAATGAATAAAGAAATTGTGGTGTATATACACAATGGAATATTATTCATCCACAAGAAGGAAAATCTGCTCTTTCTCTTTGCAACAAGAATATACCTTAAGGACATTATGCTAAGTGAAATAAATCAGACAGAGTACAACAAAAGCTGTATGGTCTAATTTATATGTGGAATCTGAAAAAAAACAGAACTCATGGAAATATAGAACTGATGGGTGGTTGCCAGAGAAGCAGCAAGAGAGTAAAGAAAATGCCTGAAGGTGGTCCAAAGTTACAGACTTCAAGTTAGAAGGTGAGTAAGTCCCGGGGATGTAATGTATAGCATGGTGATTATGGTTAACAATACCGTATTATATATTTTAAAGTTACTAAGAGAGTAGATCTTAAAATTTCTCATCACAAGAAAATAATTTATAACTATGTGAGGTGGTGGCTGTAAACTAAACTAATTGTGGAAATCATTTCACTGTATATACATATATCGTATCATTATGTTGTACACCTTAAGCTAATGCAGTGTTATATTTCTATTACATCTCAATAAAACTTGACAAAAAGCATTGAAAACTATGTCCACAGACAAACCTTTACATGGATATTTATAGCAGCCTTATTCACAAGTTTCAAAACTTGGAAATAACTAAGATGTCCTTCACTGGGTGAATGGATAAATATACTGTGATACATACAAACAATGGAATATTATTCATATCTAAAGAGAAATGAGCTATCAAGCCATGAAAAAAAACATAGAGCAACCTAACACAAAAATGTAAAGACCTCCATTTTTTTTGGACTCTATAATCCTCAATCCAAATACCACAATAACCACCATCAAAGCTTACTTTGTTATATTCCAGAATTATTAATGCCTATATATCCTACATCAGAGAAGACACAGATTCTTAGTTCTGATCATCCTCTAACAGATGATATGCTTTTCTTTATTGTCTGCATTCCCTACTAAAAATGCCAGCCCCTTAAGGGCAGAGAGTCGTGTCAATTCTTGCTTGTTTGATCTCATGCATTATCCATAGTGCAGACTACACAAAACTGTGATTGCTCCAAAGTATTTGTTGAATGGGTGAATGAAATCACACATGTAAGCTATTCTTGTACTTGTTGCCCTCATTCACTAATTGCCAAAAATTCTGTTTATGTATTTGCTTGCTTGTACTCTCTGCATGGGTCTCCTTATTTAAAGAGTTAATAGAGGTTTGTTTATTAGCAAACTTAGGAGACAACTATTATTATTGAGCTAAAACTTTATTAGAAGTGACAGATTCTAGTGTGGGAGTTAAACTCAAAAAAATAATTTTTAAGAGTAAATAACACTAAGAGTCTGCATTTTCCTTGGAATGTGTTGAATGTGAGTCCATAGAACACTCTGGAAATCCTTAGCTTGTCTGCCTCCTTCACTGTACCCTCTCATTGTGACAGGGATTCTGGCCGCCTCAGCCTCATTGTTACATCTCCAGAACCAGACAGAAACTGTGAGAGACAGCAGGAGTGTTTAAATTCTAATGGTGGCCCGGCTGGTGTGGCTCAGTGGATTGAGCACCAAGAATTCGCCAATTTGATTCCTGGTCAGGGCACATGCCCAGGTTGTGGGCCTAATTCCCAGTGGGGGGCATGCAGGAGGAGGCCAATTGATGTTCCCTAACTGATGTTTCCATTTCTCTCTCTCTCCCTATTCCTTCCTTTCTCTCTAAAAATCAATAAAGAAAAAAAAATGTCTAACATGGATACATGTGTGCTAGGCCCCTTTAGCTAAGATGGCTAAGCAACTCCATTCTTATCTAGGCCCCTTGGCTAAGGCGACTAAGTGACTTCATTTTTATCAGCAGTGGACCTTCTTTGGTATTTTTCCAATAATAGGTTGACTACCCCTAGAAGTAAAGGAACTTTGCCTAAGGTTATGGTTGACCTAGGTAATGGGATGTATCTTGCAGTTTCTGAGTATCAGGAACTGAAAATCATGAACCCAGTGACTAATGCTTATCTTGGCTTCTGTAATAACCACTTTTGCAACCACTATTGTAGCAGTTCCCTGAGGGGGAGCCAAAAGGGAATGTGGTTTCTGTCTTTAAAAGCAGACTTGTAAGAACAATCAGGGCTGCTGATTTGGGTAATGCTGTCCCTGCAGCCCGCCAGAGAATAAAGCACTCCTCTCATTTACAATATGGCTGTGCATCTCTGATTGTCTCGCTGACTTGTCATAACACATGTGGAGAAAGTGGTAGAAACACCGAGCCTCATAGTCACCACCTCTTTGCAATTCACATATGTTTGTGTATAATCCAGGGCAGGTGTGCTTAGGGGCTCAAAATTTGTGTTTTTGAATTAGTGGTTGTCCTAATACTTACTGGTGATTTACTTAAAAACCTCAAGGCAGGTAGCCTTTTGCACATTCTCTAGATAAACTCATGGAATATATACTTTGCTGAAATATCTCTTCATTCTGCCTCAACCTCTCCTCCCAAAGCCAACAACCCTGCTGCCCAACAACCACTGAAAATCTGAAATATAGTGGGCAGCACTTCAATCTAGAATTCTTGTCTACCGGAAGAGAATCCAATTATTGTATGAATGAATGTCACAGAAGTAGAAAACTTACAGGCCACCTCTGAGCCTGAATATATTCATCTCCCCGCTGTGGTTGCAAAGGCGGTTGGCTTAGGTTCTCAGTGCCCCGTGGCGTGCTTCCTGCGGATACTCGGAGCACTGTCTTCTCTGTGTCCTTGGCCACAAAGGCTTTCTGAGCCCACCTACTTCTCGCTAACTCTGCCTTAAGGATTACCTATAGCTATGAATATATGTTCTTTAATTATTTTGAAACTGACCACCAACACTCAGAAAGTTCTAATGGAAAATAAAGGGGGAAAATCTATTGTTTTTATTTTCCTCTTTATACATTACCATTTTTTCTTTCTCTATGTAGTCTTTTCCTGTCTGGCTGTCACTGTTGGTCTCCCCTAAATTAGTCATTATCTTACCTCCACTTCCTCTGTTGTCCAAATCAAAATATATTAGCTTATACTGTGCCAAAAAAAAAATCTAGATCTCTTTTTTCTATATAAGACAATTAAAATCTGCTTGAAATAATGGATGGTGAAGACTAGTTAGTGGTTCTGTGTTCTCCTCCTGTAAAGCAGTGGATAGTATGCTCTTAATAGTTGGAATAAATATTTTATGCTAAATATCTATGTGCATATAAATTATTCACAATTATAGAAATAAATCAAAATAACAGAGAAAATATACAGTTTTCTGGGCGTGGGTATATGATATGTGTTCAGCAAAGCAATTCTTATTTCTTTTTTGTATCCAGAGAAAATTCATAATACTACTATATTTTACATTACATTTCTGGGTAGCAGGGATTTTAATAGATTAGAGAGTGAGAATCAAACCCCGCTTTTACCTATGTGGACACTTTTAGGAGTTATCTGAGGTTCTTTACACTTCTGATTTCTATATTACAATATTTCATTATGCCTGTCTCAATAAACTAAAAATAATCATGCTATTCTTGTTCTTAACAGCTACAAATGTGAACTCAGATTTCACATGATCAAGAATAAATAATCACAGCATAAATCATGAAAAAAAACCCTACAGAAACAGTCTTATGAAATTCAATTGGAGATCTTGTTCCCAGAGAAAATTGTTTTTAAATAATTTTCCAACAAGATGCAAGAACATGCAATGATAAAGGAAGAAATATGTGTAGTAACATTTAAGCTTTTCAGGAAAAGAGGACCATACAGCACAATGCTGCTAGAATACTGAATAAGTTGTTTTCTTCTCAACCCTCCAAAGTAAACATGTAATGTCTAAAAAAGGTGCAAAATACCTTAAAATACCACTAAGTCTAGTTAAATGCATATTTTGACATTTTTAAAATTTTATTCATAATTAGAAATATGCTCTCAATATATGTAAGCTGTATGAATTATATAAAATTATGTAAATTGGGGATATTTCAAAAAAGAAGAAATGCCACTTTGAAATGGGGAAGAAAGGTATAAAATAGTTTGTACAATGAAGTCTTGAAGAATACCAAGCATGGGTAATGAACCTTTGACTTGGTGATGAGAATGAATCTCAGAAGATACCCAAGAATTTGTTTTGGACATACCTCACTTACAAGATCATCCACCAGGCATCCAGTG